AGTCTAATAGTGACCCTGTCTTTAGCGATCACCACTTCCTCGTAGCTGTCTTCCGGGATCCGTTTGTTGATATAGATTGCCGCTCTGGTATCTGGTGACGATACTTCTATAAGTCTGTAGTTTTCACCAGTCGGATTGTATCCGGATCCGTCGTACGGATTCCTCCATGGTTCTTGAATCGCTAGGATGTCTACCTCTTCTATCCTCTCGTCGGCGAAGAAGTCTATCATCACCTTGTCTGCGGACCTTTGGACATTATACTGGATAATGCGTAGTTCTCGCTTTATTTGGCCGTGTCCTGTCATTAGTTATCGAGGTCGATCTCCATCCTTTGGGATAATTGGGTATTTTCTTGTCCTTTAGATATCTCAAAGGGGTTGCTACCCTTGGGTAACTCTCTCGCAAACTCTGAGGCCCTTGTAGGCCTGCCTCTTCTCCCCCTCTCTTGGTCCCGTTCGAGGGTGCTCTCCGAGGCCTGTCTTTTTCTCCCTCTGACATCCTCAGCGGTGTGTCCAATGTGTGAGAATAACACCAGATCTCTTGGGTTCTCTGGGGTAATCGTGCTCTCGCTCGTGCCTTCCCCCGTCTTCGACAGGCTCGTCTTGAATATAGGTGAAGATCCTCCTCTTCTCCTTCCTCTGCTGAATTTCGATACCGTGCAGATATTGTAATTCAGTACTAAACCGTTGACAATTAGCCTGTTCGCAGTCTCTATGTCCGAGACTATCACTCTTAGGGGCAACGTTCGCTTGCCCACCGGGTTGCCGAGCCAGCTTGCTTTCCAGAGCTCCAGCCCTTTATATCGGAGGTCATTTTGTTCCTCTAATATTTCTGCTGTCTGTTCTGCAGTTAGGCCCGTTGGTACTCTGGAGACCACTAACTCATACTGCCTTGTGGCGGGCCTGGCTGAGTTGAGCCACTTCTTCGCCCACTCATCCCCTTTCCTCAGCTCCGGCCCCATTTCTGCTTGGGGGAAGACTTTCATGTCTCCTCCTTGGTATATGCGGATAGCCATAATCCTCTTGGCTATGGGTTGTCCGACCTTGGTCTCGATTTCCTTGACCAGCTCCGCCGGTGACATGTCCAGTCTGGGCTTCCACTCCGACTCCTTCGTGATCGTGTACTTGATCGGCGGTTCCTCCATTCTTGGCTTCTGTTGGGTGTTTGGTTGTTGCTTCTCTTTTCGCTTTACTGGAGTGGCTTGGATCTGTACATTTCCCGGCTTTTCCCTGTTTGCCTTTCGTGCGACTGTGCTCCATTGGTTTTGCTGAAGTCCTGACTCGTTATTTGTATTTCGCTTCGCCCCAGCCGATTCCCCTATAGCGCTACCTGCTTTCTTTTTCTCCCCTTCGGACTGTGTGGCCCTTGGGCGCGTGCTGTAGGGTTGCTCTTGACGCGTCGTGCTCGCGTCAGGTTCGCGTTTTTCGCGTATATCCTCATTCTTGAGGAGTTTCTGTATGTCCTGCAGCACCCCTTGGGCCGCGTAGGTGTTAATACACTTTTTCTGAACATTGCTGATATTGCTATTGAGCTGCTGTAGCAGCACTCTAAGTTCCGCGATGAACAGTGGTGTGGCCATCGTCAATTCTTCTGTCGAGACCCTCCTTATTTATACTTATTTGTTCTTGTAAGGACTAAACCACCTATTAGAGGTAGGTAGGTAGGTATATCTCTAGTATTAGCGTAATTATAGACTAGGTGGATAGTATTAATTTTATCTTAAGAGTTAGAAGAACCTCGACCTTTAATTCTTATTATATAGTCGCGATATCCCGACTATTTATTAAGATATAACTATAGCGCTTTAATATTAAGATACTCTCTAGAAGAAGATAGCGAGAACGGCTCTCTATACGCTAAATTAAACGCGTTAATAACCGGATTTTACTTCTCGAGAGAAGAGTATTAAGATACCTTAAGGTTGCTAAACGTCGCGTCGAACTTATTTTATAACTACTCTATAGCGTCGACGGCGTTTTCGTTAAGTATAATACTTAAGTTAGTAGTATATAAAATACTTATTAGTAAGTATATAAAGTTTAAGCGAGATCGAAGCCTAATATATATAAGTTATTAAGGTTATAAGTTAATAGTCTTAATTAATATATATATTAGTAATATTACGAGGCCGTATATAAACCTACCTAATTAGTCGACGTATAATTAAGGTTTACTACGTGACTATATACGAAATATAGGGCGCGTTACCTAATCGGGTAGGTAGGCCGCGTTAGTACGGCGCTAAATACGACGGCGCCTTAGCGTGTGTGCGAAATACACACCCCTGTGTGCGAAATACCCGTTACCGGTATTATGTAGCCTGGCTTATCCCATTTGGGCAATTGTACCTGCTCGCCTTTTTCTCTTCATTCAAGCTTCTTCATTTTGTGCCAGCTGTACGAGTACGCTGTACGCCCGTGTTGTGTTGCATTGGTTGCTTGCTTGGCCACTGGCATCTCGGCCCGAATGGTCCACTCATACCTCTCTCGCACTTGATCCCCAGACGACCAAATGCATACAGCACATGGAGAGACCCAACTCCACATCCGATGCCCGTTCAGGCCCAGAGTCGCAAGAACCCGCGCTTGGTGACTCCGTCTCGGATCACGCATACACACCTTACTGGCAACATAGCAGTGATCCCGATCACTCAGACGACCCATCCCCGGACCGTCCACCGCCGATCATTCTCGAGGATCATACTGAATCTCGAGCCGCCAGCAGAGGTGCCCTTTGGGCAAAGTCCATCACCATCGACGACTATGTCGTTGTCCATGGCAGCCCTCCGGGAATTGGAGCGTATGTCGTGTGGAATTGCAAAGTCCAGACACTCGATGGGGGACCCATGGTCATTCGTAAACGCTATTCGGAGTTTGACGAGCTACGGAGCAAGCTGATCAAAGCATTCCCTCAATCGACCAAAACTTCCCTACCGCCATTACCTCCCAAAAGCGCCATCTACAAATTTCGGCCCAAGTTCCTGGAAAGGAGACGTGAAGGTCTGGCCTACTTTCTGAACTGTGTTATGCTCAATCCGGAATATGCCGGTTCGAATATAGTCAAGGACTTCATCTTTCCACCAGAGTCATCATGATGGCACGCAACCGCTGATCAAACCTCTTTTTGTGCTTGTGGTTCCAATTTATTCCGGGATCGAGATGAATTGATGTTGGTGTCTTGCTTGGCCTTCTTCTCCTGGGCCAGGTGACACTTGTTATACTCGGCAACTCTCATCGGAAAAGCTAGTCTTCTTCATATCATACTTGGACGGGGATTTCTATGGATATTCCTTCTGCTACGGGGCCATGTTAACACTGGCTTCATGAATGCGTGCAACAAAGACGAGAATTTCACAAAGAAGGGAGAGGAGGGGATGAGACCCATCTACCATGACCAGTCAGACGTTTGGGATTCACTACTTTGAACCGTTTCTCAACCTCATCAGCACTCATGTGGACTGTCTTGTTAAAGTCGCTGTTTCCGGTCAGAATGGGCCTCATTGGGATTGGATCTCTGGTCGCCCGGAGTGCATACTTGATGACATCTTGGTGGGGTTGGACCATTTTGGAAAGCTGCACGATCTAGGTATGCAACCCCAGGTATTGCGGAGGATGAGCGGAGTATCTGCAAAGTAATTGCATGGCAATGAGGCTCATTCTGGGCGGACGGTGAACGGAATTGAATACGTCATGACTCCCCGAGTGAGTGGCACCAAGTGGTGACAGGGGTCCAAGGGTCTGTGGCAAGCATAGCGAACGTCGAAGGCACAAAGCGTAGCACATGGGCACGCGGATCTCGGGACAGTAGTCCGTCGTGTTGTCATCCGAGTGATCTGCTCTGCAAGGCTGCGGTGGAATGATTTGAGACACTACTAGGTGGCAGGCAGTGATGTTCGGTCAGAGGTCAACTAACCTGCAGACCTGCACAGCATGCCCAAATATAGGAGGCAGAGCATTCCTAACTCCTGCAGGGGACGAATTCCAGGCTAGTGCATGATCCCATTATAATTGTTGACCTGGTCCCTATAAGCATCTCAAAGTGTCCTTCTTGTTTCCGCATTTGAGGTTTCAATTGAGACTGGTTGAGGCGTGCCGGTAGATCAGCCAATCTGGGGCGCAGAGTCACAAGTCAATCTCAACAACCGCAGCTCCGTCCCACAGGCAGATGTGACGATTCTTGTGACTTGCGGTACTCAGGTACTCGTGGCGGAAAGGACGCAAGGACTACCGTGCTTGCTGTGTACCGTGCTGTGTGAGACTGTTTTCCCAGGCAAGAGTCGATGGATGCTTGAATGTACTCAATCAACTTGGGCTGAGGAATCGCTGAAGATGGAGAACGTTGCTGGAGCAAGCAAGGGCGGGCCCAAGCGAACGCAGGGCGGTTCGAACCATACTACCTAGGTAAGGAGCCAACTCAAAGGGAAAATTGGGCGCACCCCGAAACAACATGTGTGCCTTGTCCCAAGTCACGATGAGCATGCGCTGTTGATCAGGACTAGTGGTGTGCGGTGGCTGAGAGATGACATGTCTCATTGGTGTTTGGAGCTGCCGGGGGGGGTTGAGGACGGAACACAGCCAACTGAAATAAGCAGGAGAGAGCTGCTCTACGGAGTGGAAAAGCCCCTCCACCCACGGGGCTTCAAGTTGGACTCCTGATGGCTTAGGCTTAGGGGCCTCCTAAGCTTTAGCCTTTGCCCGGGACCTCCACTACGGACAACATGCTTCTGCCTTAGGAGCCCCTTCTGCTTCTGCTAGTACCGCTGTTACTAGGCCTGGGTCCCTGGACTTTCTTCCGAAACGCCTTCTTCCAAGACCGTTTAGCTGGTCCATCTGCCCGACCAACTACCTGCTAGGCTGGTTGGGACCGTCCCTTCAACTCACGGCACGACACGTCGCGTGTTGCCCACGCCTCATCACATCGATTTCTTGTTTCTGTTTTCGTTTGGCAACGACGTGGCTGACCTGACCAAACTGGCCGGCCTGGTTGATTTGCGCAATTCACTGTTCATCTACCCTCTTTCAACCTCAGCCAGCTGCACCGCAGCACCCAACGCAACTCCTCCCTTTTCCTCTTTCTTTACATTCGTTCTCCCTCCTTAAACCCCGATTTCACTTTCTCAAATTCATTTCGCCAAGGGTGGCCCGTGGTTGTTCTCCGCTCTCATATTCGTCCCGAACCGACACCCCCCCTGAGACTCCTACTGGCATATGCAACTGGCCTGACTGTAAAGATTGCCCGCATACATCTTGCATCATATGCACCGCCATCGCAATTCACTTAAGTTCCTCCAGCGCAACTCCTCCACCGTTCCTGTCCTATTGCTCAAGTCGGGCATCGGACCGATGAAAAGGAGTCGCGAGAATATTCCTATATAGTGTCGATCTGGCGACCAACCATGCCGTTCTTCTCAAAGGTTTTCAAGAGCAAAGACGCTGCGGCGAAGAAGGCCACTGCGCCTGTGGCAAATGGAGATACCCATCAGAAGATACAATGGTCCGATGCTTGGCTGCGAACGAGAGTCGACCCAGAAGAGGTCTCGGAATTGTTGCATATGTGTACTGCTGAACTGAAGTCCAGAGGTCAGTGTTGGCAAGCGACAATATTGTCTGTCCAGTTTTACTCACAGACCGATAGCACTGGATGTTCCATTCCTACTTCTCCCCTTCCGACCCTCCTCGGATCCGTCTGCGGCTCGGACATTCGTACGCAACTTCTTTCTCCCCCCTCAAGAACGAGAGCCATTGCGGGGATCTCTTTTGGAAACGGAACTGCGAATGACAGATGTCATGGTAAGATGCTCAGAGCCTACTCGTCAGGAACCGCGCTCACAATTGCCCTAGGTGCTGATCAGCGTGATGAAGTGGTGCTGGGCTCGGTTGCCTGGTGGCGTTGTGACATGGGAGGTTTATGAAGGTTTCCGGGTGGGCGAGAAAGGTACCGCACTTACAAGCTGATGCCGTGTCATATTTGCTAACACATGCCAGACTCGGGGTTTGCGCGCGATGCGTTCAGCACATTCATTCCACTTGGCGTTGACTCCCCTGCTCGGTTCCAGATCATACAGGACTTTTTCGATCTCCTTACTGCCGTTGCCGCACATGGCAAAGTCAACGGCCTTGGAGGACACAAACTATCCCGTTACGCTGGGTGGTGGGCCTTTGAACATTACGACAACGGGAAGGGCTTTGAATCAGGCTATCAGTCATGGGCAAAGTACGAAATCATTCTAGGTTCTGTATGGGAATCGTGTCGCTGACCGTCCATAGCGCTGCCGACGCAACATCGCATCTCTTCTTCGCCTATCTTCGCTCGCTCTCTCCTACCAGCACAAGCAAGACAAGCGGCATCCTTGGCCTTCCGAGGTCTCTTCAGCAACTCGCAGATGCAACGGAGTACCCTCCCACCCATACTTTACTCTCGAATGACACGACCAAAGTTGTCATGATTGTTGACATAGTTTCACCCACGCCATACGCTCTGTTGCGGCGAGCCAAGAACTTTGAGTATCGAGACGACGATCGAGTTCTCCAGCAATTTGCTAGTTGTGATGATCCTGTCGAAGCGCTCACGGATGAGTGTCGTCGTGTTCTAAAGGCAATTTCTTCAACAAATCAGTCCCACGTTTCTAACGCCAAAACCTCAACCAGTCTGGCTGACCCTTCGTGGTCGAGGTTTGAGGACATTGGATTCGGCAGCTCCCTTGATGACGAGGAAGACGACGATGATGGTGGACTTCTCGGCCCCAAACCCCTTACCACGAGATCTTTGCGTCCCTCCGCTCGCCCAAGAGGTTACGTGGATCTAGCCCGACCGACAACTCCATCATGGGCCGATTTTCTATCCTCAGGCTTTGCGGATGAGCATGGCAATAAGGCTCCTGCACCCATTCTCCTGCCGCCTGATAAGATCCTTCCTCCTATTCAATCCACCATGGTCCGAGGCCAAAGTTCACAGTCACATCGGAGAAATCTTGACGCACAGCCGAATCTCGACCCTGGGGAGCTGGCGAGCATTGCAAGAGTGAACGTTGACGACTCTTTCTGGTGGGTGTGGATCAGCAGCCTGGCGTCCGAGGAGCCGACCTCAAGAAAAGCCGTGTTCGGTCGTTGCGCTCTCATTGAGACCATCCTACCTGACGGTCAATGGATGGTCATAGAGGAACAGGTTAAAGGTGCAGCACCTGAACCCGCAGTCGGGGCATATATTGCGGAGAAGAAGACATTCCTGGGGTTTACCACCAAACGAGGGCGTCTGGGTCGGAGGCGATCAGGAAGCAAGAAGAGCCCTCTTTCTCCCGAGCCACAGCTCGAACCCAATCATAGAGCGACTTTGGCTCCCGACCAGCAAGCAAAGATCCAGGAAGCGGCAGCGCAGCTTTCCAGAAGACGACAAGCCGAAGAGATGGAACACCAAGCCGCCCTGGCCCCGCGACGAGGACGCACACAAGACTTTTTGGCTCCCTCCAAAACCAACAGCATCTTTACTCTCGGTCCCTTCATTAAGGATGAAGCTTCCCCAGCAATGCAATGGGCTACTCAGTACGACAAGAAAGCCATCAGGGCTAAGTACCTGGGTGACTCACTGACCGGAAAGGGTTCGCGTGATATGTTGACCCTCCCTTCCGAGGGCCTTGGAATAAACAGGTCGACATCCACGCTGTCAGTGGTGAGTAAGAATAAGGACCTGCCCGCGCCACCGGCAGAAAACGGCCTTCGTCCTGCGCCACTGGAAAGGAGTCAATCGGCCGAGCACACTCCAAGAATAGCCGCAGCTCCCAATGTCATCGAGCCAGCGCCCATCCCGGTCAAACCTGAAGTGCCCGTTGATGAGACGGCCGCTGAAGAGGCTGCAGAGGTCCCTCTCCCGCCTGCAACACCAGACATTACAGAGGCACCGGCCCCGAAGCATCAGCCTGCTAAATTGCGCAAATCGGTTGATGTACAAAGAAATCCTCCAGAACAGAGGAAGCCCCGGGGTAAGACCCCTACTGGACCGCCTCCGACGCAGCACAGGACTGGTATCCGCCGATTGTTTGGGACTAAGAGATCCCATTCAAGGGAAGGTCGAGCGCCACAGACTTCTGATTCGCCCGCCACTGAGGATCCAGCCATCACTGCTGCAAGACGTGCACTGGAAGGAAAGCCTGCGTTGCCAGAAGACGGTCCTACTTCACCACCGTTGAGCCCTGGTCATTTCCACCGTCTGGCGACCGTGAACACGCCAACAGGAACCCGCCCCGCCGAATATGAAGCAACCAGCACCGCACCAGTAACCACATCTCACGGAGCACCCTTGGCCTCGGAGCTTCCTACTGAGCCCGACAACGTTCCTGGGGATGCCTTAGCTCCGCCCAGAATACATCCAGATGAAGAATACGATCAGTTGTCACGTGTGGATACCAACGAGCGGGAACATGCCGACCGTGAATTTTCGACATTTGATCAAGGACCTCTACTCGACCAACCCGCGTTTGTTCCAGCAGATACGCCCCCCAGAACTGAGTTTCTGACGCCTATGGAAGAACCCGTCACTGGGCCCGTCAGTGTGCACTCTGGTCGGTCGTTCCAGGGAGCGGAGAGCACAGCATCCGCGGATGATCGCGAAGACGAAGTCCCATTGACACAACAGGTGAGCCCAACAGATCGATGGGCACAGATTCGAAGGAATGCCGCGGAAAGAGCAGCGAGAGGATCCGAAGAGCAGACATCTAGAAGTCGTACTGAAACCCGGACTGATGACGGCGAAACTAGTGGAGAAGAGAGTAAGTTTGACAGCTGAGATGCCACCACGGAGACGAGACTGACCTATCGATAGCAATTGAAGCAAAAGTGGCACGAATCAAGGCACGAGTGGCCGAGCTCACTAACAATATGAGCGGTACTAGACGATAGAGCCGGGATGTACTGTGATTCTGGTGTTGCACGGCCATTGCTCCACGTCGTTGAGCGCCTTTCGCAACGTTATGCAGACCTGATTGTTTGCGGCCGCGTTTCACACACTGCAGAGCAAGGCGTTATATCTTGGCTTGGGAGTTCGAAAGTTGTGCGTCCGAGATACCATTTGAGCGTTTGCTGGATGAAGTTTTCCATTCCCTTTCCTTTCACACCTTTCCCTTGATTGAGCGTTCTTGCACAACGAACAGAGTTGTTCATTCAAGCTGCAGGACAGCAACAGCTTTTAATATGCGATTCACATTGTTTGTTTTTATCTGGCCGTCACAGTACTCGCTCGAGTCGGTTGTGGATACAAATGCAAGGAGCGGGTTCTAATATTGTGATGGTTGGAGTTGCGCCGAATCGGTTTCAAACACCATAGACGAGTGGGATGGCAACAGGGATCCTTGGGAGATGGCAGGTCGAGAGTCGAAACAGGAGAAGCACCGATGAAAGCCAGGCATAAATGAGAGGCTAACAGTCATCGTGGCCCGTACATAGATAGCGCTGGGCAGGGAGTGTAATTGGAATCCAATTGAGTGAGCCCTCCTTATTGTCAACTCGGTTGTCAGATGACATTCTTCAGCAGCGGCGTGGTCAGTGACAGGGGCATTCGCTCGTTCATCGTTGTAGTGATCGGGCACAGGTGGGATTGTAGGGTTCAGGATTTGAGGGTTTGAGGTTGAGAAGAAGATGAAGAACAAGTTACAGTACTACTACATACTGTAAACTCTCCTCGGTAAAGGTACGAGTGCAGAGTACACAGGTAGCCAGACAGCAGTGCTTGAAGGGTCAAGGCCATACCGTACTGTAGTAGCTCGGTACCTGAGGTAGGCACCTATAGGATAGGTACCTATCTAGCACTTACTAGTACCTATTACTACTAAGGTGCCTATACCTATGTACTAGGTAATATGCACTTTGGCCGCCTTAACAGCCACTCCCATGCCGCTATAGCAACCCAGATTTCACTACTACCCAAATTGATAATGGGATGTGCGGTACGTTACGGGCTTGATGCCTTCTTTGGTGCCCCGATAACCCACCGAGATCGGCCCATGTACTCCGTACACTTACAGGATATATTTTACAGCGCCCTCAACGTTCATGCTTTGGCTTGACTCACTTCGTCGATCCAAGATAAGATATTATAACCTCTCTCGAAAGAAGCGCCTATACTCTGTACAGCACTGGGCAAAGAATCAGAAACAGAAACTCACGCCATGGCCGAGTCGAAACTTACTCTCTGGTACTCGCCCGGAGCCTGTTCGCTGGCACCCCATGCCCTACTCTACGAAATTGAGAAGCCCTTCGAAGCCATCAGACTGAATGTCAGCGGCGGGTTCCCAGAAGAGTATCGCCATCTCAACCCTAAGATGCGGGTACCGGTTTTGTCGCTCAATGGCGAAATCATCACCGAGAACCCTGCCGTGATGACGGCCATCTCTCAACTGGCGCCCGAGAAGCACCTCATGGGCCAAACGAACCTGGAAATTGTCCGGGTTTACGAGTGGATGAATTGGTTGTCCGGCAGTCTCCACGGGCAAGCATTCGGAGGCCTCGTGAGGAGCCACCGGTTCTCAGACGACCCCAGTACATACGAATCTATCAAGGTCAAGGCGCGGAAGTATATCGTCGAGTGCTTTGGCGAGATTGATCAGAAGTTAATCGGCGTTCATGCGGTGGGAGACCGATTCACTGCGGTCGACGTGTTTTTGTACGTTATCTATCGCTGGGCTTTGCCCATGAATCTCCACCTGAGCCAGAATTTTCCGAATTACACAAAGCTGGTCGAGGAGGTCGAGAGACGCAAGTCAGTGCAGGCGGCTCTCGCGGCGGAAGGTCTGGACTCAAAACTGTAGGCTCAATCTGAAGAGCGAGAGGGCGAAATACAGGCCAAACGCGGGAAGCAGCATATGGTACTTCCATGGAAAGATGTACACCACCTCAACCTTGAATTCTTATGTTAACTGACCCTAATCCCTCACCCTCCCTGACGCCGGGATTACGGAACTCCCTATTGCTGCCTACAGATACCGCCTGTATTTGCTTTGTTTGTCGTGCCCGATGTGTCCAACTTCTCCCTTAACCAAGGAATCTCATCCAAAGAATACCGATACGCGCGAAATAGGGCATTGGATTCTCCCGGGAAGAGCTGCGCCGTCACCTCATCGGGGTAGGGAGCAAAGTGCGGGTTGAGATATTCCCAGCATATATATCCGTCTTGGGTGACTTCGAAAAGGCGCCCAAAGCCACTCTCGCACAGCAAGGTGTTGCCGTTGGCCAACCTCTGCGCACTGCCCATGAAGGGGGTAAAGAAGGAAATCATCTGCGAGCGATCGCGATACTCCCAGACAATTTTCTTGCTGGTGCGGTCGACCTCAATCGCTCGTGTATACATGATGGATTCACCCTGGCGGAAGGCACCGTTGTCGAAGATGAGGATGTTGCCATTGTCCAGCTCGTTGGCATTATGTTGTTGCGCAAGCACGTCCGACCCGAGTTTCCACACAATGTCGCCCGTGGCTCTCTCGATGATGACCACGGCGGAGACAGACCGCATCGACGCCAGAATGTGCTTCCCGTCGCGCATGGGCAAGACCGAATTGATCAGGGGGTAATGTTCGCGCGTGTAGTGTGGTTGCAAGGGGTATTCGTCCCGGGGCAGCCGTTCGGAAACCTTCCATTGCCAGGTCAAGTTTCCGGCGGCATCGATTTCGTTGATCGTGTCTGCGTAGATGATGCCGTCGATCTCCGACCCAGGCACTCCGCCAATGACCTTCGCCGACTCTTCAGAAGACAAAGCCTCCAGGCTGGTGTACAGGATACGGCCGTCGCCATAGTGATACTGGTCATGATGTCCCAGGGGATCCTTGAACTGACGGACGACGTTGCCGTCAACGTCCAACTCGCTCATCACTCCTCCCCCGTACTTGTTGAAGAAAGGGAAGGGATAGGGGCCCCCATTCTTGGTCGTCCGGTCCGAAGGTGGCGAAAGAGTGTTGACAGCGAGATTGCCATTTGGCAGGATTCTCGCATGTCGACCAATTCTCCCAGGAAGTTTCCATGAATGGACCTCATTGCCGTCGATGTCGATAAGATGGGCAACGTCGCTGGTCAATGGGCAAAAGAGTGTGTAGCCTCCAAAAGAACGCTGCTTGTCTACGCCGGTCAGACCGACGCCTCGTCGCTTAAGCGTGTTTTGTTCCATTTCACGACCGGCCACAAGATCCACGCTGTAAAGTGAATGGAGAAGTAGAGAGAATGGTCTGAATCAACCTTCCTCGTGAGCCCTTTGCCGTGGACTTTATATATACTTACAAGCCACTATCTTGACCTGCTTCCATCTACAGAGTACTCACCAAGATATCCAGGCCTTCTAGGAGCATGCCGAAGCAATGGCGGCCTCCTATCGCACACGGTGCCGCGAATACTCTGAGCCCGCCGGCAGACGCCGCGGGAAGCCGGCGGTCCTCCTTCATAGCCCGCGGCTTCCCACGTCTCTGCACCGGCATGCCGGCGGCATACCGGCGGCCGAAACCTCTTCCGCGGGCTCGAGCTCAAAGTCAAGACGTCGGTGGTAGACAAAGATACATACGATAGGTGAACTCCAATCATCACGCCATTCGCGTTATCATGATATCTTTGCTATCGAATCGATGTTATCTGTTGCAAGAAGTTGGATGGGATGCTCCTGGGAGCAAGAGATGTATATATTCAAGGCAAAGCCCGATCGCCTCCACCATGAGAGCGAAGTTTACAGCGATAACAAGACAAGGAAAGCTGTGAAAGCTCCAAATTTCAGTGCTCGAGACGCGCAAGACATCATCAACTACCCAGCGTTGCCAAGATGAAGAAGTTCCCCATGAACACACTCACACTGGAACAGCCTCCGGCTCCGGTTCCCGAGATTGACATCCTTGCCGATGAAGCCAGCCATGTGCCCGGATACGACCCCGACATTCAATTCGATGATGTCGAGGCAAGAAAGGCCTTGCTGAAGGTGGACCTCTTCATCTTGCCATTCATCGTCCTCCTCTTCTGCTTCCTCCAGTTCGACCGGACCAATATTGGAAATGCTCTGACCAATACGCTACGAAAAGACATTAATGTCGGGAACTCCGACATCAACCTCGCCCAAACGCTCTTTATCGTCGGCTTTGTTATTACTGAGCTGCCCTTCAACATGATCAGCAAGTATCTGGGACCCGAGCGATTCCTGCCGGTAACCATGTTCTTCTGGGGGGTGACGACCTGGTGTCAGATCTTCATGAAGAACGCCTCAGGACTCTGCGCCGCTCGGTTCTTCATTGGTGCGTTGGAAGGCGGGTATATACCTGGAATGGTCCTCTACATCTCCAAATACTACACCAACCAGGAACTCGGGCTGCGTTACGCCTTGTTCTGGGCATCAAACAATATCGCCGGTGCGTTGGGAGGGCCACTGTCCATTGGGCTGCTCTCGCTGGAAGGCAAGCATGGGTTACATGGTTGGCAATGGCTGTTTTTGATTGGTATGTACACTCTGGACCCAATCACGCATGCATGGATTCCGTAGTGCAACCACTGACGCCAGATATAGAGGGTATCCTGACATGCTTCCTCGCCGTCCTAGCCTACCTCTACCTGCCTCACGGTCCTGCCAGACCCAAGTGCTTTTTCGGCAGATCTTTCAATATCTTCACGCCGCGGCAAGCGTCCGTCATCGTCACTAGGGTGATTCGAAACGATCCGACCAAGGCCCTTCGATACGGGAAACCGGTCTTGCCATCACATATTTTGGCAACCTTGACGGACTGGCGGTTATACGGACATATTGTAGCCGCATTCCTGTCCATGATCATGATCTCACCCATGAACACATACGCGCCTTCGATCATCAAATCACTGGGCTTCAGTGGATTACAAGCAAACGGCCTCAATTCGGTGGGCAGTGTCTGCTGTTTGGTATGGTCGATTTCTCTGGCGTATAGCAGCGACAAAACACGCGAGCGTGGCTTTCACATATCCGTGGGTTATCTGTGGGGTGCAGCAGGCTTGCTCTGGCTGGCTCTGGCACCCAACGGTGTCAACAAGTGGGTTCTTTATGGTACGTTCAACGGGCTTGCCGTATCTTCTTGACCTACAAGCACTAAACCTCGTACAGGCGGCGTGGTCATGACTCAAATGGGCATGGGTTCTGCCCAAGCCATCTGTGCGGCCTGGCTGACTTCCAAAATGCAAGACTACAAACGTCCTGTAGCTCTGGCTGCCTATGTCATGAGCATTCAGATTGCGGGATTTCCTGGTAACCAACTGTTCCGAACGAAAGGTGAGTCGTTTTCGTCGCCGTCGCCGATGCCCTACACGAAACAAGCCGCTGACTTGACTGACCAACAGACGCTCCCCGATATAAGCATGGCCTCATCATCGCCGCTTCCTGTGCCATTGCGGGAGCAGTGGTCATTCTGCTCTGGAAATTGATGTATCGATTATTTGATCATGGAGATGCCGGGATTGAGACAAAGTATGGTCTTGCCCCGCCACAGGACAGACATGGATCTGAGCCTTGAATTGGATGGACTAGGAACCAACAATGGGACAAACAAGATGTTGTTTGTGAGATGGGCTTTTGGATTCTAGTTTTAGTTTGGTGGAATGCCTCAAGAGAGCACCCAAATTTTTGCTAAAGCTTCCGACGGAAAGCTTATTGTGACCCGCACATGGTGGTTTCTTGTGCAGGATGACCGTACATATATCAAGGATAAAGGAAATACCCCCTCGCATCTAGCGAGACGATAATATACCCTTGTTCCTGGCTAGTTTTGAATACGCTGAATTCCTCGGCTGCAAAGACCGATATCCCTGGATTCTCAGCCAGCTGACAGATCCAGGAGTCTTGGTATGCCATAAGAAAGTCATTTCCATGACACATTTGATACAGGGTTGAAGTGGTTAGAACCAAGGGTATATGGCATATGCTGGGTAATACTTTGAAACCAGCCTGACACGTGACGAGGCCGTCATCACGTGCACGACACGAGTGATTTCGCGTGCTTGCGTCGAGTCGACGAGGACCTCGATCAGTTTGTGTCGAATTCGAGAGCAGAGACTTTCTCTCCCTGTCCATCCCCTGGACATGCCGCCTTTGCGGTCTGGTCGAGCTTCTAAGGCGTGTGAACTGTGCCGCAAACAAAAGACACGATGTTATGCGTCTGACAATGTCTCCGGAAGATGCCTGCGCTGTGAGACATTGTCGCAACCATGTTCCCTTCAAGACGCCACAGCCCATGCCACCAGCCCGCGGAGGCTGGCCCACGAGCCTCGACCGAGGTATACCACCGCGGACACTCAGAGCGCAGATAGTTCTGTCTCTGTAGATAAAAGGCATGGTCTTGACCCTTGTTGTTGGGCCAGTGGTGGTCAGGCTGACCGACCACGCGCAGATTGGATCGACTGGAAAGCACTGTGCAGACATTGGTCCAACGCCTCGACTCCGGATTCGACGCTTTCACAAGCAAGCAAGCCCTTCTACCACCACCTCCACCGCCGCCTCCGCCTCCGCCTCCGCCTGCGTCTGAGGTGGGTCATTCAAATGCTTCTTCCAGCGAGCAGAATCAAGCGCCAGTCCTTTTGATTCGAGATGTCGCAACGGACGCTGGGGTGCGCTCACCACAGCATGTGGATCTCTATCCAAGACGGCATTCCGATGTCATTTCGACTGGGTTGATAACGCCACCAAATGCGCATCATCTGCTCTCGTTGTCAGTGAGATCGGTGTCTTTGTTTTCAGTTTCAGCGTGGCTCAGATGGCTGACACGAAACACAATCAGGTTCCATGTCCATTACGGCCGATGGGTGAAATTCGCCGAAGACCTGTCGACCGAGGCATTGTTGTCGCAAGTCAGGAGATCACCTTTACTCTTGTGTAGCATCTGCCTGATCGCCGTGAGACACACGACGCAAGAACTGGCCGACGAACTCGCGCCCAGTCTCTTCGAAGAGGTCAAGCGGCTTCTGGCTCCTGCATTGCTGTCGGTACCTCAGTCCATCGACTTCTTTCAGGCCGTGCTGGTGTTGAGTCTATGGTCGACCACCATCGGCCAGGTCCCGTTGAACGTCGACAGCTGGCTGTTGACCGGCTATGCTCTGCAGCTGAGTTTAGCCAGTCCTCGCTTCAGTGAGGTCCTCCGGTCCGAGTCACGCCCATCCGGAGACAGGACCCAGCTGGATGCTTGGTGCATCTGGAATCACCTTTGCGTCGCTCACCTGCAGTAAGCTGTTTTCCTACATCCCGACAGACAAAAACGCTTCCTGACTCTGACCACCTCAGATATTGCGTGGGAACGCGACGACCATCGCTCCTCAACCAACAACTGGTTGATCGATGTCTCCATTTCCTCGAATGCGACAATGTCACCAATTTCGAAACCAGAATGGTCGCCGAAGTCAAGCTGTACTGGGTCATTTATGAAAAATGCTGCGGGCCCCAAATCGACGTGTCGGATGCCAAAGCCACTCTGCAGGATTGGAAACGGCATTGGGCGGCTTTGTTTGGTATGCATGGCACCGGAAGGCTGGACGTTGAATGTATGTGTTGTGTACTGATACATCTCTACCTCCCTACAGATCAGCCTCGTGCGCAGTTCCTCCAGATGGGCTTTCATTTCGCCCACCTTGTCGCCTACTACAATTCGCTCAAGTCGGCGAGAGCGGTGATGCGCAGTTCTGTCCTCGGCGAGATGGTCCGACTCGCGACGGCAATCATCAACCTCGCCATGGACACGACGGACCAACGCACCCGCCACTTGACCGACCATATCTACCATATCATCACCTTCTCGGCCATCACGCTCTGCCGGCTCCTGCATACCTACGAATCGAAACTACGCGCGTCAGGCCACGACATCATGGCCTTGGACCATCTGGTCATCAAGCTGGTCAACTGGCTTCGATCCATCGGTCTGCCGTGTCATGTGGCCCACATCTTTGGCGAGGTCGTGTTTGCCCAGCACAAGAAACTCCGCCCTGGTTTCCATCCTGTTCGACCCTCCACCAACACCTCGTACGTGGACATGGTGGGCAATGGAAGGATAGCTGATGACCAACAGGCCTCTTTGTCTAACGAGATTTCGTTCCTATATCCAGATTTCATTGGGTCCGAGTTGTTCAATCTGGATGCCGACAGTAGTCTCTGGCCCCAGTGGGACCAAATGCTGTCAGATACCGACATGTCTGTCTGAGAATGCCCAAGAGTCGAGACCACAGGGCTTAGGGTGGGTGCCAGATTTAAAGGCGGTTTGTCCAACTACTACTTCGATAAGATTAGGGATACCTCCAGCTCTACCGGATGATTATCTTTCTAAGATACTAGATATACTCGACGGCCTCCTTAGAGTAACTCTCCTATTTCTAGTATTGAAATTCTATATCTAGAGATAATAGCTATCTACTCAATAGAAGAACCGCCGTATACTTGTCTACGCCGGTTAGACCGACGCCTCGTCGCTTAAGCGTGTTTTGTTCTATTTTATGACCGGCTACAAGATCCACGCTGTAATCTAATAGCCACGAATACGCCCATCCCACCAGCCATGAATGCGCAAAGCTGCGAAATATCCCAATGGAGTTGACCCGTCTACTAAGACATCTCCCTCGTCAAGGTCTCGAAGGATTTTGTCAATGTGACTTCCAGCAGCACTCAAATGAAGGATATGCGTGATTGCGCAGTGAACGGCGAGCAACCGTGGAGAAGGAGGATCGATCGTTCGGGATTCGGTGAGGAAAAGAGTTCGCTCGACGGGCAAGATCCGAGGGCGTACTATGTCCGGGAGGGTGGAATCGATCCGGTAAGGATGAGGATCGTTACCCACTGGTTCAAAGAAGACCTTAAACCCACCGAATAGTTGGTGAAGAAGATGGGTCAGGGTTATTGCGTCAAGCGAGCGATCAATATCAGTGCCTTCGATGAGGTTCACTACACCATCATCAAACATGTTCAGAATTGCGAGCGCGAGTCTTTTGGATTCATTCTGCGAGGGAGGTTAGTCGGCGCCTAAGGAACCACTTAATAGCGGAAGAGACATACCAACTCCGTTGTTTCACTTGAGACAGCCATCAACGAATGAGGGATGATATGTGCTACCTCTAACGAGGTATAAATGCCGCTTTCCCACCGTAGCGGATTCCCCTCGTCATCTTGTGCATTGTCGTCACCATCGCGTTTGGCACGTTGTACTGCTTCATTAAAGTCAAATATGCGTGAAATAACACAGCGGTGATGATCACGGATTAGACAATCCCTTCTCAAGCTGGCCAGCCTTTGGGTAGTTCCGGGAAAGGACTGTCGGCTTTGCAGGTCAGAGACTACCGCAGGTGAAGGTTGAGGGGTTTTTCTTGTCGAGGCTTTCACTAAATACATGCAAGAGCGTTAGCGGGTATCAATATCAGAAGTTGGGACCATTTGGCGTTATCATACACGGAAGGAGGAAATTCTCAACTAGAGTGTCTGCAAACGCGGCTAGACGGAGCCCATAGTCAGAGCTGGAGGTCGAGGTCGAATCTCTCTCCGAGGGTTCAATCGGAATCTGAGTGTGCTCGAAGAAAAACCGGAGAAAATTGGCTTTCGAAGCGTCGGAGCGTGCGTATTGGTAGGTTAGTCGGACAAAGGTGACTTGCTTGTACGGATCTTGGTTTTGCAAAGGTTCATATGTGTCGACAATTTCCCTGAAGATACGTGGCGCTTCTGGGCCAGGAGAGGAATCTGACATGTTGCGGCCTCGGTTTAGTACTGAACAAAGAGGAGAGAGACATCGAGTGTTGATGAAAGAGGAGGAAGGATCCGCGAGAAGATGGGACAAGAAAGGGTTGTGCCTGGAGTCCGCCACGGACGAGAATATCGAGGACACCGGTGCAAGAAAAGGTTGATATTGGAGCGTGATGAAGAGATTACAAGGTTGGAGGGTCGGCGGATCGGTCTCTGGTTGTCCCTAACTTAACTTCGTGTATAGCATTCACTTTGTCAGTGAGCCTCCCACCTCAATGACGTATCTATATCTGAGATGGGCAGTGACGGCCTGAAGGCGTGAGACCAATGGGGGCACGTTCAAGTACATACAGCAGCGGTTAATGGTGCAAAGATGGTGACCAGCCTTTATTCTACTGGCATGTATGTTCGGAGAAGGCATTCATGTTGCTGTCAAGATGCGCCGGACGACTGTACTCTGGATCTACTCTGGATCTTGAGATTCAGCGCCACAGCCAGCCCAAAGGAGGATAGTGGCGAAAGGTGAAACCGAAACCGATGCGAGCGATTCTATACATAGTAACAGACCGTGCGGCATGCGCCTGCGCCTGCGCCGGGCACCTATAACGAACGAGGCAAGGCTAGACGAATCAAGGTCCAAATCCACCTGAAACGCTGGCTGCATCTGTCACTGCCTGATGATCAGATCCAACTGCAGTGCGGCGCGAGTTGCGAGTTGCCCAGTCGCCCAGTCGCCCAGTCGCCAGTCCTACTCGTAGTCGGACTGCGCCCGAGAAGAGCTCAGGCCATGGTAAAATACCGGTACGGAATGTGTGAGTCCATCTCCGCGGCGCTTAAGGACCGACACCGACAGATGTGCATCAGGTGCTTGCAGTATCTCTACTGCGTATAGGTACCAAACACCGTACTAGGTACCTAGGTACCTAGGTAGCTTAGAGGCACCTACCTAGGTAGTTTGTAGGTACCGTATGTACAATAGAGGGACGTTTGGCGTACCGACATTATTAGGTGTTGTAGGCGCAGTCAGTCGACACCGGATAAATCCTGCCTACCTGGTATACCCTGTCTGTACCTTGGTAAGAAATCTGTATAGTTGGCTACGAGGACATGCCTATGCCTCTAGGTAGGTGCCCTGCATTGGGTGGAATAGTCATACTCATCAAAGTTGTAGGCTTAGGGAGTACTACGGTAGCATCACTGTTATATGTGCCGAGTACGGATGCTCTGCAATATCTGCTCTGTTAAGGTACGCATACCCTTGTCCTTAGGCCTAAGGCTTAGGCTTGGGCTCATCCTCAGGCTTAGGGGCCTGAGCCCCTAAGCCCCGAAGCCCCGGCTGGCAGCTGCCCGCCACTCGCCTTCCCTGTCGCCCACCCGCAAGCGTCTGTCTGTCTGTCATGTACGGATAATAGTAGTAGTGACCATGTCCGTCATCCTCCCTTCTTCTCTTCCTCCCTTCCTTCTTTTCTATCTTTAGCATCTTCCATACCCGCCCTTCAATTGCATTGTCGTATTGTACCCTTACCCTCCTCACGCCTTCGCATCCAACACGCGCCACACCCCAATCTCCATCTCAATCCCAATCCCGATCCCGAATCGGTCGCAACAGAGCCTCAAAGCCGTCTCCAGTCGGCAGCACCTCCATCCTATTTGCTTGGTTGAATTGCCGCGGTCTCTTTGTGTATATTCTCCCCGCCGTTCCCATCCTGCGACTGCGACAAAGCCATTCTTGTCTCATCGTCCGGCTTGGGTTGATACTCGCGTGGCCACAAAGCCATCCGTTCGCCTTCTTTGTCCGCCTACCACCTGATATCCATACCTAACCTATTCTCCGGGTCTCATCCTTGGCCACCTCTAATCTCGACCGGAGCTGGCCATTGTCGCTGAAGCCCTCGTACTCGGCCGCCTGTCACAAACGAGGCAGCGCGATTGATTTTTTGGGTTTCTGATGCAAAGGCCTGAACAATCATGGGCCGCAGAAAGATTGAAATCAGAGCTATAAAGGATGATCGCAATCGTTCAGTGTATGTATATCCCGCTGCGCCCACATTATCGGAGCTTTCGTTGCTAAATTTCATCCAGGACGTTCCTCAAGCGAAAAGGCGGCCTCTTCAAAAAGGCTTACGAATTATCCGTCCTATGCTCGGTCGATGTCGCCGTCATCATCTTTGGACACAACAAAAAGCTGTATGAGTTTTCCTCGGGAGATATCAATGAGACACTGCGGAGGTATCAATACGTGGGTTTGTATGTTATGCACCTGCAGAATCTCTACTGACATTGGACCAGTATGGGCAACCTCATGAACACAAGGGTCCCGTCGACTTCAAGAACAAGGGCGGTGACGATGATGAGGAGGATGAGGAAGATGAGGAACAACCACCTCATACTAGAGAAGGCTCTCTCCCGGCACAGCATGTCCCTCATATGCAGCATCACAATTCCTTTGCGCACATTCAACAACCCATGGCTTCAGTCTCGCCTCCAATGCCCAACGGCATGTTTCAACCTCGCCATGCGACGCCCCAACCGCCCCATATGATATCTAGACCTGCATCACAGAATATGGTCCGTCGCACCAGTTCCCATCTCGTCCCCATGCAGCATCCTCACCCGACTCCCCCTCCGCCACAGAATGGGTTTGCCTACGCGCCTAATCCGCCCATCTACAACCCCCAAGCAGCCCCTGCCGTGGCCCCTCAACCGTCGCCGCAGCCTTCCTTCCAACAGTATTCTCAAGCTCAGCAGCCACCGCATCCCACTCCCCCTCCTCCACAGACGCACCAACAAATGCAACAATCCCATCAGCAATATCTGCAGGAACAGAGGCGGTCATCCCAACCTCCGCCGGTGTCGCAACCTAGTCTTCAACCTCCCACGCAAACGCAGACACGAGCTTCTCCTCAACCCGAACCACAAGGTCTCCGGCCATCTGAGCAATCGAGTCCGCCACAGGCCAAGCATGCACAGTCAAAGTCTAGAAGCATTTTCACTCCAATAGATGAGGGGGGCTCAGTCTTAGCACAGCATTTCTTTGGGGCTCCAGATCCCCCTCGCTTGCCACTGAAGAAAGAGGAATCATCGCCGGACATCAAGCCTCCACCACGAAGCGTCACTGTCCCTTCTATTCCTCGGCCCAGTTCTCAACCTGTCCGACCTCAAACGACAGTGCCAGAATTCGCACCTCCCCAACGGACAGACACGTCCGGTTCAAGATCGGGAGGTCGACCGAAACTGAACCTCCAGATCCCTTCTGAGCCGGAGGACGACGAGTCAGGCGGTGGAGGGTCTCCCTTGCAATCGGCTGGTCCGTCAGCAAATCCCGCCAGGGGCACTGACCATATTGTCTTGCCACCGCCTTCACCCAGTGCGTCGGCGGTCATGTCGGCTGGCACAAGTGGACCTCCTAATCCATTTGCTCGACCTCCCCCTCCTCCTCCGTCAAATCAAAACCGTGATGCCTACACCGACAACAGGAACAACATTGAAACTCCAATATCAGCATTACCCAGTCGGTATATGAACAATGACCTGTTGCCTAGCCCGAGCAATTTCTTCAGCGAGTGGTATGAGTCCGGTAGAACTGGAGGTATGAACTCGGGCGTTCTACCTAGCCCACTTGTGTTCCCCACACCAGCAGATTCTCGAGGACTGGGATTTGGTGGTCGAGATGCAGCGAATGAAGCCAACGGAGAGAAGCGGAAGGGTAGTGTGGACCACGCTGAAAAGGAGGGAGATGCGAAGAAGGTCAAGACGTGAATGCAGAAAAGTTGAAGCTGTGCGACCGAAAAGTTGGAGGTTTGGAAGCCATACCACACGTGTCTTGTGAGCAACGCTAAGTCTGTGCTCGGGAGGCCACTTACACCATTACGACCTGTCACGGCCTTGAAAGCAAAGAATCTTTTTGGTTGGTTCACGATCAAATTGATTGATTTAATGGGTTTTGTTTAGGCGGGCATTTTGATCGAGGGAAAAAGACTACTTTCGCATGGCGTGGGAGGCACATCACTCTGGCACGGTTGGGTTCTTGTTCTGGCTCATGATTAGATTCTTCTCGAGGGGTGAGATTTATAAATATGAAGCTGGTGCATATGATATGGATGGGAACAGGCTGGGAAGATTTCTCGTGGTCAATTGAGTCTATTCGCCTCTCCTAGACGGGGTTTCGATAGTCGTTATGAGAAGATACGAAGCGGCAGATGAGATGAGTTCGGGGGGAGATAGAGACGGCCTGATTGTACTTAGTTGTGTGCGTTATCGTCTTCACGATCCTGGATACCCTCTAGTATGCGCCAAAAAATCTCCCGACCTATTCCAACAATAGCGTTCACAATGCTGGAGAGCAGGGGTAGAATGAGGAACAACATGAGACTATGTCGATGTCGTGTCCTCCACGAGTGGACGTGAAATCGAGTGAGCTGAAGCTGTGTGTGTGTGTGAGAGAGAGAGAGAGAGAGAGAGAGTTGGGGTACAAACCGGCAAATTACCTACCTATCTACATGGGTACCTCAGGTACCTACCTACCCACAGCCATCATGTTCGGTTATTGCCCGGACTCATTTAGGATGGACTTTTACTTTTCAGTCCGGCCAGGTCAAGTCAGACATATTATAGTATGTATGTGTGTGCTTGAAGGTCCATTATCAATCACACTCAGCCTCACTCAGCCTCGCCACCGGCTCGCCTCGCCATCAGATGACCAATTCCAGGATTCCCCATTAATGCCCAGTGCCTACCTAGTAATGCAAACATCAACACCGAGTTCCCTGAGACGCCATATGGCGATTCCATTCTTATCCGTAGAAATCCCGATCCAAACCAAGACCAAGACTGAAATCAGAACCCAAAACCAAAAAAAACAACCTGAATCGTGAATCGTACTAGGTACTGGTATAGAGTACACGTACACTGTGCTTACTGTAACAAGTGAAATCGAGACGCCTTGGCCTAAGGCCCCTAAGCCCAAGAGTCAAGACTCGAACTCGAGACTTCTCAGCACACGTACCGCCTCTCGAACCACCCGCGCCAGTTCGGTGCCTTGGGCCCAGATGTCATTGTGCCGACCGCTCATTTTCAGGATCTTCAGCTCAACGGCGCCTTCGACTTCGACTTCGACTTCGACTTCGACTTCGTCCTTGCCTACATCGGTGCCACGCCCACAACCAGGATCGTGACCGTGACCGTGACTGTGCCTGTGACTGTCAGCAGCCACGTACGCTCCGCCATCCTGGCCAGGCTTGCGAAACACAGCCTCCATCGCCTCGACCTGTTTCCAGTCGACGAGTCCATCGTCGGGCGAATGGGCGAGGATGAGCGCCCGCCTCGGCCTGGTTTTGGTTTCGGTTCCGTCAGGTTTCTTCGTCCTTTCTTTTCCCTTTTCCTCGTCCTGCTCGTCTCGGTCCCGGTCTCGATCTGGATCTAGACCGCCGCTCTGCCCTGGGCCGGTCCTATTTACCCATGTATCCAAGTACTCGGCGGCTGAATACCGCGCGGGACTGGCCAGCACGTTGTCTTCGGGATCGGGGATCGCGTTTCTGGTGAGCTCCGCGTATGAAGGGAACGAGTGGTGCAGCAGTTCGAAGTCGTAGATGCCCGAAACGCCGAGCACGGCTCGTGCTGGCTCGATTGAAGGGAGACGGCGAAGGTGGCCGTGGCCGTGGCCGTCATCCTGCCTTTCTCGAGTGGTAAATGCCATGGCATTGTTCCGCCCAAGCGTGCTCAGGACAGCCATGGTCGCCCCGACACTGTGGCCCACAAGCAAATACCTCTCTCCAAACCCGTATTTGCTCTGGAGATGTGCGATGGCGGTCAGTACGTCGTAGAGATGATCTGGCCATCGGGCATTCCGTAATTCAAACGTCGACGTTTTGCTGGGGTCCTGTGGAGCCTTTTGATCGTGTGGCGAGAGCCGGTAGTTGATAGACGCATAGCCTGCTATGTACGCCGTCACATTATCCTCCTGCTGGAGTGGAGGAGGGAGATGCTGCTGCTGCTGCTGGTCGGGACGGGCATGCACCAACTGCGATAGAGCAGGGTAGAATGACGAGGATGTTAACGCCGGATCACGAAAGTAGCCACCGTGGATATACACGACCCAGTACCTCTGCGCATTTGGGCCGGAAAGCCGTGATGCTTGAAATTTGGGAAGATACACCTCGTATGACTGCAGAATGTTGTCCTGCGCATACTGGTGGCGCGTGATGTCCCCATTGAAAGCACGAGGTATCGCTCTCGCTGGCGGAGATGGTTCCGGTGACCCGTCTGCTGCGGAGGTATGCGCGGGAACCCTGTGAGCCGCGCTGCCAGGGTGTTCAGTTCGGGTTGGATGATGCGCGGTATGGCTGGCTTTGTAGGATGAAGAAGGGCTATGGGTATGATGATGTTCGCGCTGCTGCGGCTCTTTGGTTGGCGGCGAGAGGTAGGCTGCGCTAGAGTACTGTTGCTGGTTGACTTGGATGGCTGGGAGGCAGGAGGTTAGTCGCGTGCATCAGAATTGATCTCACGCAGGCCAGGCCAGGCCAGGCCAGACCGTCAATGCATATACATATCGACTTACCCTGGTCCTGCAGGTACCGGATGATTCTCTTCATGGTAGATTTCTTTTGCCCTCCAAGGCGGACAACAATGCACGCTCCCGAGCACCCGCTCTTGACCCTCCTGTGGCAGCCAACCGCGTGATGGATTGACCTGGAGCAGAGGGATGGCGGTGGCCCCCCTGGTCTCTTCAACACTCGACTATTGATGCTCGCCGAAGACGCATGGGAAGACGAGACGTCTGGTCGAATGATTGATTACCCCACATCACACCTCAAGAAGCAACCGCAATACACTTGAGCAGGAAATAAGAGACAAGATTGGACCACGACGAGACTCAGAAACGAGGCAGCGATAAAGACGTGCACGGGAGGATGGGTGGACGTCGAGCTGAGATTCCCACACACTGACACCTACATATGTAAACCTAACTTCCGCTTGGAACGGGACACATGATTAGTATATCCACCACTGACCGCGGCTCATTTCTGAACCCGCGGGGGTTCAGTAAGCATCGAGCAGTCGGCCTCAAAGGAGCTCTGCAGGTCAAAGGGCTGAAGAGGTTTTGTCAGGTCATGTCGCCGAACAAATGCCGCGTCTTATGTACATTCTCGAGCATAATGACACATCTGATTGAAAGAACAAGGCCTCCTAAGCCCTGTTCATGGATATCCATCCTTCAGATCCGCGCCGCCCTTTCACCCATGCTGCCGCCGTCTTTCGCTACTGTTCGCCTCAATACAGTGGGTGTGGCCGAGAAAAGCCCGTAAAGGGCTCAGACACAGCCTCGACAGCATAAAGTGCCCCTTGCCGGAACCCATGTCCGCCATCGTCAGCTTCCCTGCTGTGGAAACTGTTCCAGATACGTTTACATGGTTCATTTGTGCCCCAACGTCGGGCCGGACCTACCGCCGTATCCTCCAATCTGCCGTCGTACATGTACATATCACACGTTTCCAGAGGTTCAGCAACATCCTCACTCATCTGTAACAAGCGCGCATCGAATTCATCCAGCTCCCCAGGCAGACTTTGAAAGTCTTCAATTGTATCCCAGGTCGTATCGACCTTGTTGTCGTCAGTCAATGCCGATAGAGTACGCCGTGAGGAATGAGAGTGGGCAGGGCCTGCAGCTGGAGCTGCGTCTGGACAGCCGGGATCTCCAGGCCGTGACGAACGACCATCTGTGTTGCCTTGTCCACTATCATGGTGGAAACTCTGAGTAGATTCTGGTATTCTCGAACTATCCTCAGGATGAAGTAGAGGGCGTTCAGGAATTCCCTCGGAGACGGGACCGAAATCAGCTAAGGTGTATATGCGAGTTACATCATGGTGGCTGCTTTTCAGATTTGTTGTATCCTTTCTTTCTGCATCACGATTATGCTGCAATACTGACTCTTCCGAAGGACCGTTCATATCTATGGGAGGCCGGAGTCGGAATCTGATCTCTGCCTCATCCTGTTTCGGGGTGCCCGCATCTAGCTGTCCTGGCGCTGGTGACGGTATCGCTGTGTATAATGGCGGTGAAACTCCTTTGTCAGGCGTAGGTATTCGTTCCATGGCCGGGACAGCCAGCATTGGGCTTGATCGTTTGCAATGAACGATACTATGAGTATCACTCGTTCCAGGAATTTCGCTTGGCCCTCGTCTCTGTGCCATTTTCTTAAGATCATCCAATGAGTAACTCTTTCTCCCTCTGTATGCGAACGCTTCGACGCCTTGAAGTAGTGCGTGGGTAGTCAAATCTTGTAGAAATCGATTGCCCGTTGGACTCGAAGTATTCACCGCCTGAGGAGTTTGAAGCTGCGGTAGATACATTCCTATAGGAGTGGCTATCTTCGGCGTATTTGACAGGGCGACTTGCCCTTGCTCTTGTCCACTCGTTTGAGCTAGCTGTCGCTGCGGAGAAATAGACCATGACGCGTAGGTACCATTGGAAGTCATGTCTGTAGTTGCGGTATTTCGGTACGGCAGTGGCGGGAGATGTTCGAGAGTAGATGACCTACCATCGGGCTTCCAGCGGTGAGAGTGCGCTTCTCTGAAATACCTGTCAGACAAATAAGGTGCAGTGGATGAAGATATAGTTGTTCCATGCGGGAGATGTTGTAGGCCAGGGAGTCGTCGATCAATCTTGTAGTCGATAGGCTGAGAAAAGAACTCGGATATGTCATCATTGTTGGCGTTGCGACTTGTCCTCCTGATGTGCTCCTCTTTTTGGCTGCGGCTCTGTACAGCATCACCATGTCTCTTTCTCTCGAGAAAAGCCATGTTTGGAAAGGTCAGATCAGGGACTCCCTGCCGCCGATATAGAGGAGCCGACCTCCTTCCTTTAGCAAATAACCCCGGTCCGGGATGATGCCTGAGGGTCAACCTTTCGGTATCAACGTTTGGGGCCTGGAATTTTTGATTTAATAGTAACCCAGACCTTTTTGGTGCCTGTCTTTCGGAGTGCCGTTTACACGCAACGTTCTGACGGCTGCCCTTGAACTCGTATGCGTCCGGTCTTGTCTTGTGTCTAGGCCTTCTTGCATACTTCTCGCTCGGGTCGTCGACGTTAATGTGGGGGCCGTGTTCCCTATCTCGACGGCGTGTGCTTTGATCACGCAGAATACTTGAGCTTTCCTCGTAGAGAGGCGCAGGGGGCTGTTGCCGGTTGTACCTCGTCTTTTTGTGGTGGTAAGTGTTGTCACTTTCGGCATCAGTGCGTTCGTGATGCTTCTCCTTCTTTTGCTTCGGACGTTCGTACTGCCTCACAGCATCGGATTGTGAAGTTGGGGGAGGGAGGGCTTCATTCACTGGAAGCTCTACAACCGACGAGGTTAGCACTGAAGACATTGTGTAGGTTCCACAGACTTCCTCCTTATTTTCCTTGCGCTTTGGTCTTGATATTCATCTTGTCTAGTGCGTTTCCTTCAGCATCGGTATGGTTTCTCAGGACGCATGATCCTACCTCAAAGCAAGTCTTTGTTGGCGGAGATGGCTGATCTGTGGACGAGGTCCGCCAACAACCGTATCTGTCTGGACGGAGGGATCTTCGGGAAGGGTCGACAACCATCTAGCCACACGGTGAGTGTCCTCAAACCGGGTCTCTCCTGCTGATAGCATTTGGCAAAGTCGTCTAAAGGAAGGATATCTTGAAGGGGACAGAAGCGAACAATGGGCGAGAAATAAAAGTACGTGGGAAGAGACACGTTCGGCGTGTGGCGCCGCCATATCTCTGGAGGCAGGCACGAGGGATACACGGTCAGCCGGGAAGAGAAATTGGCCAGCAGAAGTGAGTGGGCAAAATGTAGATTTGCTATAGCTCCAGTCGTCCATCACCACATCAACTTCATGCGGAGTATTTGGTGGTCAATATTACCACAGCCATGCTGCCACTAGATACCAAGATTGGGGGCGAAAGATCACAAAAGTGCGGATCAGATCTGGAGGTGCGTAGGGCCGACTGCATGTCATTTCTGCAAGATCGCCGTGCATGCTAAACGTCGGAATCCGATAACGTAGTGGTCTTGCAGCCTCACGTCTGCTTATGCAAACACCAGTACTATCCATGGCCAATGCTGGGACAACGAGGCAGTAGAGAACAGATTTTCAAGTAGCATAGAGCTCAAGAAGGGAGAATCCGGCGACAAGCGGTGGTCAATCGGTGAGGTACCGAGCGTGAAAAGAGAGAGGAGTAAGGCGATGGCGCCAGAAAGGCGGTGGAGATGTTGGCTTTGTCCCGACTTTTAGATGGGAGGAGAGATATCTTCCGTCGATACGCAAATAGGAATGAGCAGCTAAATAGATCAGCGGCATTCAGGGTGGCAGCGACGCCACTGTTCTTAGGTTGATAGACGGAGGGAGGGTCGGGCGAGGTAGAGGAGGCGTTCATTGTTCAAGCCATAGCTGATTGGCATCCCGAAGCCCACAGCCCCGTGTCAAACAGGTTGGAAACTAGCCAGATACATCGACAGACTGGAAGGTGTGGAAAGGAACTGGAATCACCTCAGAAGCCAAGCTGCGCCTCTGCCGCTTTCGTGCGTAGTGCCGGCAGTCTGTCTCTTTTAGTCTCCTGCATCTAACCAGAGTTCTGTCCGTCACCGACAGCAGCCAACCACACCTCAACCTTGACCACCATCACCACCACCACCAGTTCCTCCCTCCTCCTCAGAAGAGCTTCTTTTCCAGGCTTTCCATTCTTCACGGTCCTCTGAGTCGGGCGCGAAGCTGTTAGCCCCGGTAAAGCACATCATGCTGCACCTCTAGTCAACCAAAGTCCCACGGCTCCTCCTGCACGCCCGTCTGTCGCATCCTTCACGTCCAATCCGGAATGGAAACCCGTCCCTTCTCTGTACATGGTATGTCAAGAGATTCAACTATCCAGCAGTTAGCCCCCCTCTGTCTCTGCTGCACAAAAAGAAGGGTTCTGCACATACACCTCGCCTGTCAGATTCACCTGACTTGGTCTATTCGATAGCGGGGTGCGTCTCCTGCTGAGCTTCGCCAGTAGGAGTTTCTGATAAGACCATGGGCCCCAGTTCTCCAGTATCAGGCCTCACTTGATGGCGACTCCTCTTCACCAGAGATCAACCTCATGCACCCGATGCGTGCCTGCCAACTGCTAAACCTGTCAGCTGGTGCCCTCTTGCATCTTTTCCGGCCAACTTTGCCTATACTCAATGTCCCTTAGCGAGTCAGGGTCGGGGGCAACGTCCCCTCTTGGTACTGCCCCGTGGTAGTTGAGCTGCTGGCATGTGTCATCTCTCTTCAGCCCTCTGTCCTGACATCCTCTCGGTGCGTCCAAACCCGTCCATCAGGTTTGGATGTAGCCGTTGCTGGTGCTAACGAGGCTGGCGTGTCGTTCTTGGTAGAGAAAGAGGGCCCAGTGCTGTCTCCGGGGGCAAGAGTCTTGTAGCCAACTCTTATCTAAGAGTTCTGTTCGGGTTCAGGCCCACTCGTGCTACTATCTGCGAAGCAATGCCTTCTAAGCCCTCGGTATTGCCCGCATCGGCAATATGTCAACACCACCGTGCTTTGTGATCTGACCCCACTGACATCACCAGACCACCAGTGCTTAACATTGCAGGGAAAGCATTCATAGGAGTAGGCATTGTGCTCGTGGTCCTCGGGTAGCAAATGGCGCCTCCTAAGCCCTGGATAATGCCCTGCCGTCCACATCACAATAATGACTAGACAGACCTCTTCAACACATGCTGCTATGCTGGCCAACAATGTCCGTCACTTGCACCTCTTGGTCTTGAGGGTCTTTCCCGCTCCTCGGTCTTGACAGGTTTCCGGGCGCACCTAGATAATCCGGGACAGACAAATCCGCTTGATATTGGTCTTTGAGGGGGGCAGCGGTAGTGGTTCTCGGAACCTAACTCCTGTATCCAGATTGTCTTGCTGAATCCGTACCTATGCTCTCTCCTGTCATCGTGTCGCCACACATCCGACGACTGAAGTAGTCCTCTGGTACTCATGTCAGATTGCTGATCGGGCTTGTGATGCACGCGATCTAACTGAACGATTGCATGAACCGCTGCATTTTTCAACCAATGAAATCCGCATCGCCATATCGACCTCACCATTGTTCCGTCTAGGCCTCCTTTGACATTGTGCGGTGACCTCTTGAGGATCCCAGACAATTCTTGCGCTTTACTCTCAGAGCTATAACCACCTTGGACAAAAAGCCATTTAGCCTTACATCAGTCGACCGTACCATGGCGAAGCTCTTCATCGGGTAGGCGACCAAATTCTACAGCTGTGCCAGGGCAGATTTGACCCATGCTCCACAGAGGCCTTGCCTGGCATACTACCGACGACACACTTTACGAAGGGTTCCAACAGTTTGGCAAGATCGAAGAGGCTGTAATGACCCTGTCCGCCGTCTTTCGAACCTGTCATTGATGATATCCAGGTTGTGGTCAAAGATCGAGATACCAACCGGAGCCGTGGATTCGGGTTCGTGCGCTTTGCGACAAAGGCGGAAGCCGACGAGGCCTTGCAAAAGATGAACAACACAGAGTGAGATGGCCAGACATATGTCTGCGGAAACCTGACATTGATGCCCCTCCCAGGTTCGACGGTCGTTTGATTCGAGTAGATCACGCTCAGGACAACAGGACTGGTGGCGGTGGTCGAGGCGGTGGATTTGTTGGAAGAGGTGGATACACGGTGCCAATGGCGACGCAAGGAGGGTACACACAGCCCGGAACTCAAGCACGGGATCCGAACACTCTTGGTTATGGCCGTGGCGTCACATATGCTCCCTCCTGGGGACAGTACAATGCGCAATACCAACCACAAGGGGGGCCGTACGCCGGTGGCCAATCTCAAGGCGGCAATGACCCTTATGGGCCACAAGGACCCTATCGCCAATAGTCCCGGAGCTGACATTGAGAGAACCTGGTCGTGCAAAGGTATCCATTCATTTGGCCATCCGTCGGGAGGAATGGGAGGACGTGTTATCCAATCTATATCAGGAACGTTGCAAGGCGAGCCAGTGGAATTGTCAAACATTTGGATGACGTGATCAGCGATCATATTCCCTTCTCAATCTCTTCTTGCTCTTCAGTACTGTTAACTCTTTTCAAGGTATGCTCTGATGGTGGTACAGGCGGAACCCGAACCGGTGGAAGCAACGCCCGAACGCGGCGAGCGAGGTCAGTAACATGTTCGTCGCCACTATCTGGACTCAGGTGATTTAGAGCCTCTTCAAGGTGCAACAGGTATTCTCTGTTCTCTCCACTTGGACCGATGCTCGCGTTGATGGTCTCTGCAACTTGTTGAGGCGGAAGGGCCCCTAAGAACTGGGGATTATCTGGCATTCCAATATACACCAGACAATGAAGATCCGGAAGTGAACGGTCCGCCGGATGAAAGGGAGTGTATTGGATGCTGTATCCATTTCTGATCGATGATCAATGACTTGGTCGGGAAAAGATATGGGGAGAACACACATTTCACGGAGATCAAGATACTCTCGCACCTCTTCGACTTTGGAGGGGGGTATGTGATAGGCGACTCCCCACACGCAGTCCCCTTCGGTATGGCGCTGCTGTTCTGCGTTAGTCGTCGCAAACAGCTTCAGAGAAGGCAGAAGGGAACATCATACAGGATCTTCAAGGGTTTCCCAAAAAGACCTCTGGATCAACGTGACCACTCTTCCCGGGGCTTCAGGGGTACCACGATGGTCCTCACTAACTGTGTTCAACACTAGGCCTATACCTTTTCATGGACACTCACCTTGCCTGAGGAGTCGAGGTGGTCAGTGAGCTGGCGACATCTCCGGAAGAGGGTTCATTTAGCTCCTACCTGCCAGAAACGACGAACATAGCCCTTGATATAACCCGGAATGCGCTGATCTGTGTCAAATGATATCAGATGACGCTTGTGTACGACGGGGCAATTGTCGTGCTATACCATAATGTGGCGGAGGCTTCCAAATCAAACTCCTAAAAGTCGACAATCCCTGAATGAGTTTTGTACCGTCATGTCAAGTGCGAAATGTCCGCGGCAGGAACATACCCATAACCAAACAGCCAAAAGTCTTCATTCTGGACGGAACCCATACTTTGCGGTCGAGTGAACAATAACCCTCTCGACTGATCGGCTGGATACACATCAGGTCAGACAAATATGGTTGGAGAAAACGGGAGAGGTTAGGGCCGCGAGCTACAGTACCAGCTGGGTCTGACAGACGCAGACGCACGTTATATCAAAAGTCCAACCGGGTTTGACCGCTAAGTTTGTTTTAGTCAGAGGGCTTGATGGACCGGCCGGTGATGCTGTAGCAGAAGTCTGACTCTCCGGAACTTGGTATAGTGCTTCCGGGCGTACTGTAGGACCCCTGAGTTTGGCCTCTTTAGCTCAGAACCTGGCCGAGCTAAGGGAGCCTGAGGGACTGAGGAGGGCTGCAGGGCTAAAAGTTACCAAGTCCGCAATACTCCGTACCCCGTACAGTGTATGTGTTCGTATACTAACTGGTATCCAAAACCTGGCCGTGGAGCAGCAGGCTCAGCGCATGCTGTCTACCGCCGACGCTGACCGGCCAGTTGCCAGATAGAGTACGGACACCGGGGTAAGAGAGGTGATCAATCGTGGCTCGACGGCGTGGCTTGCGTACACTGGACGGACGCGTTGAAAATCAAGCGGGTGGACTCTGGAATCGAGGGCGACAGGGAGGGCGGCACGAGTGCTAGATGCGCAAAGAGGGTTAGTTGTCCACAGGATATGAGAGGACGGCAACTTTAGGCATCAAGTCTCACGTATATTGGATTGCAGTTGGTACCCAGCAATGCTACTGTACGGATACTCAATAATGGAGTGTGATTGCACAAGCGGCGATCTCGAGGCGGCCTCCTTAGCCCCAACCACTAATAACCCTCCCCGGCACGTTTGACGACATTCTTCTCTGCTGTAGACTGCGCCCTCCCACCTCGTCGCCTGCGCCAAAGCTAGAATCCATCGTACCACCAAGGTTGAAGGCAATGGGCCTGAAAGACTTCTTGTCTAGAGTCCTCCTCCTCCGGACTATCCATCTAAAATCGTCATCTCAGCCGACTCTCGGAGCCAACTGATGGCCTATAACAAAGCATTCAATCCCGATGCTTTGCCCGCGTAAACATCTCCTCCCGGCCTCACGGTCCTCTCATGCAGGACTACCCGCTGATCTGTAACTGAATTGATAGTCATGCAGAGCCGGAGCAGGCTGCTCAAGCCCTCAGTCAGCTACAAGGGAATCGCAGACCCTCTCCCAACATACGGCACACCAATCACCAACCTCTGAATTCGCATGCGCCTCGTCCGTCCTCTCCTGGCGCACGACGAACCTCACCTGCAGGCATATTGGCTCTCAATACACATCGGGCGTCACCCGTGCAAACATATCCTCAGCATCGGCCTCCCAATAATCAGTCATATAGCGACAATCAGTCCAGTCGCTTACCATCTCCTTCATCTCATGTGAACTACGGTTATTCCCCTGCCCCTCGACCTCAGACAGAACCGCGATGGCCCTCCAACGAAGCACATCAATACCCAGCGCGTACACCGGCGCCGCCTGATCCAGACTCTGTTGATCTTCTGCCGCTGTTTCGAGCCGCAAATGTGTCTGGCACAGGATCCCTTACGACGGCGGAGCTAGGTTCAGCTCTAGTGAACGCCGATTTCACACCTTTTGACAGCCTGACCATAACATCCTTAATGCGCATGTTCACCACATCACCACCTAACCAGCCTCAAGGTCCTAGTATCACCTTTACCGAATTTGACAGTCTGTGGCAGTTTCTTGCTGCCTGGCGCACGTTATTTGAACGCTTTGACGAGGATAGAAGTGGTCGCATTTCGTTGGGCGAGTTTTCCAAGGCCATGACCGCGTTTGGATATCGACTATCGCAACCCTTTGTTAGCGTGCTATATCACACTTTCAACGAGCGCAGCCCTGTCCCGAAGCAGGGGATGAGCTTTGATCTATTCGTGCAAGCATGCATCAGCCTGAAAAGGATGACAGATGTTTTTAAGAAATACGACGACGATCGGGATGGATATGTGACCCTGAGTTTCGAAGAATTCTTGACGGAGATTCTGCGGTTACGGGATTGACCTGCACGGCAGACAAGAGCTGTTTTGCTCTCATCAGAACTGTGCCTATTCACTAATAAATAGGCCCTACAAGCGCTGGCTCGAAGAGAAGATGACACCTTGGTCATTTAAATACCCCGAAGATCTTTACGCACGTGGCCAGGTACTCAGTACACAAAGACCTCTTGTAGACAGGGAGTTGGAAAGGTCGAGTCACATCAGACTAGAGGTACGGCTCGATGTAGGGGTATCTTTTCCGCAACAGGGTCAGTGTGTATGCTTCCACCGGTAACTTTGGCCAATGCGAAGCGCAAGAGTTCCGCCATAGTACGGGCAAATAATGCCAAATGTATGGGGACGGATCGTACTAGATCGGGCTATCCCCGAAGTTCGGCGAGAAATGAGGTCTTGCGGCGCAGCGGGAGGGTCGCTTGCTGCAGTGTGGTAGCTGCGGATTCTGTGAATTCACCCACAAGCTACGCCTGGAATGGGGATTGACTGACTGCGTCCGAGATCCGGGCTTGAGTCTCAGAGACTGTCTGCCACGTGGAGGAATGAATCTACGAAGAACTTGGGCCAACACATTCCTCAAACAACGAACTCATGAATCACAGTTAGATTACAAGTACATCAGAGAGAGATGGTTCGAAGATGGTTGTGCCAACCAGCACATTACCTACACACCACCTACACACCACCTACACACTACCTACCGTGCCTCAGGCAAAATGACCTAACACTGAACAGCAAGGTGGCTGAGGGGTTGAAAGTTGCCCAGACACGGGAAGCAGCTGGCTACTGTGAGGTGACCTGTGCTCTCTGGGCCTTGCATCCTCGGGTTTAACCAATGGTAGGCAGATTGGAGCCTCCTAGGCCCTTATAAGAGAACGTTTTTAGGGATACATAGTGGCTCGGTGGGAATGTGGTCGGCTAGACAGTAGATGGGGTTGAGGGCTAAGGCATGGGCAAACTGATGCCTGCAGCTGGTTGGTTACCAGGAGTACTATAGGTCTGTATAGAGGCGGGCTCTTGATTAGCCCGGGGCCTTGGCCCTTAGGCTCTACCTACTCATCCACCTTTTCAACCGTTCAATGTTGCGTGGCCTGCTCAAAACATTTCTTCGCTCTGTGGCCTAGGCCAGCCCTTGATTCCATTGCAGCAAAGTGAGAAGGCCCCCATGATAGTGGGAGATGCAGTATCTATCCCGACGACAGGTTTGGGACAGAAATTGGAGAGAGGCTAGATTGTCGGTTTCAGGCACACGCGCTGCTGCTACTTTGTAGACGCGCGTGGCTCCGACCACCTCCGGAGTAACCCCGGGGTTTAGGGCTCCTGGGACCGTTGTCTGCAGTGCCATTTAAGCTCGATGGAGGAGGCAAGGATAGGGGGAGTTCGGGGAGGATCTGGGGCCCCTTAGAGCCGTTCCCTTGACTGAACACAGCGCATTATCATTATTGCAGGCAGGGAGAGAAAGAAGACAAACCGCTGAAGCGTCAACGTAATGTACTCCATAAGGTTACCCTGATACTCGCTCGGGTCAGATTTAGCCGATCCACCTACGACAACTTTATGAAGCTTGGGGTGGCCACTGGCCAGCGGCAGCGCCGAGAGGTCGATGGCAGGCACCTAGCAGGTACACCAAGGAGGTGGATGGTTTGTAATAATTAGCATGGCCGGAGTTTAGCATGGAGCATGGCTTACAGGGGTACACTCGTCGGACCGCTTCAAGCCCCCAAAGAGCCCAGGCTCCCTCCATGTGTCATTTGCTCGCACCACGCCTTCGGCGGGCCTCGCTTCTAGCTACCCCCCCGCCACAACCTCTGTGCTAGTACTCTGTAGGCTGCGAACTGCGATACTGAACCACGGCGCCATCCACCAGCCGCCGCCGCAGCAGTACCGATTGCTACTCCTGCTAGACTGCCACTGCCACTGCAACTGCAACTGCAACTACAACTTCACCTACAACTACCACCTTGCATCTTGGGCCTGACCTCCGACCGCTGATGACCACGATCACCGTACCGCTGCCGCACACGACGTCCATTCACCCTCTGTAGTGCCCTCTCTCCGTCAAACTTGGTCTTTCTCGCTCCTCCCCCAATGCGTCCTGCTCGGACCTGATCGCACCTGCCCATGCCCTCGGGTTGTTACAGATGAGGCGCCTCGACCATGACTTCCTTCTTTGGGAAACTGAAGAGCCAGGTACGTGTGGCACACTTGTCCATCCAACTTTACCAAGAGACCATCTCTGCAAAGTTGGCGCACACTCTCCAGCTTGGTTGACGATGGTGGTACTGATTCTGTCTACTCTAGAATGCTACCAGTCCGGCAGTGGGCACAACTCCCACAAAGAAAGACCCCAATGCGCCAATACCCACCCCTCTCGAGCGCATGCTCATGAATGCCGGTCCAGTTCGCAATGATGGAAGCGATAAGTTCTTTGGCATGGAAAATGTATGACCCTGTTCTGATCCCGGCCCATCGAGGCTTTGGCTGACTGAACAAATATGTAGTTCGGGAATACTTGGTCAGTGCCCAACCAGCAGTGCACCTACCCGAGTCTAACATCCGCAGTTACTGCAATTCCATCTTACAGTGTCTTTACTACTCTGTCCCTTTCCGAGACCATGTTCTCTCCTACCCTAGACGGTCATCCCCAGAGTCCATCGCTCACGCCCAGACTCACGCTCCCCCTCGCATACCACCGAATCAACAGAATGGCGCAGCGAAAAAACCCCCTAATCCCTCTTCTGCGCGAAATGCCGGAACACCCCCTCAACAGCAAAAGCCGGAGGACAAGGACTCGCCAGAATACAAGAAGAAGCAAGCACTGTTGGCCGGACCCATACTGAATATGAGCTATGAGAACTCGCAGGAATATGAGATGCCAGAGACTCTTTTTACCTCCTTGAAGGATCTCTTCGAGGCGGTGGTCGTCAACCAGTCGAGATTGGGCGTTATCAGTCCAAGCAGGTTCCTAGAAACTCTACGCAAGGAGAATGAGATGTTCAGGTCTGCCATGCACCAAGACGCGCATGAGTTCCTTAACCTCCTCCTAAACACTGTACTGGAGAACATCGAGGATCACGACAGAAAACTGGTCGCTCAGAAAAAGGCTGAACCGCCTCCGCCCATGGCAGAAGAAGTCACGGACATTTCCTTGACAGAGTCAGGAACTGTCTCTTTTCCTCCCATTCTACCCACACCGACAGCGACATCTCCTACACGCTGGCTGCATGAACTTTTCGAAGGGACTCTTACATCCGAAACCCGCTGTTTAACCTGCGAGAACGTCTCACAGCGTGACGAACCTTTCCTCGACTTGTCTGTCGACTTGGAGCAACATTCGTCCGTTACTGCATGTCTACGCAGATTTTCAGAAGAGGAGATGCTATGTGAACGAAACAAATTCCACTGCGATAATTGTGGTGGCCTTCAAGAGGCCGAAAAGCGCATGAAAATTAAGAGGCTGCCAAAGATATTAGCACTCCACCTGAAACGGTTCAAGTATACGGAGGACTTACAACGACTGCAGAAACTATTTCACAAAGTGGTATATCCATATCATTTGAGGCTTTTCAATACCACAGATGATGCAGAAGACCCCGACCGGCTCTACGAGCTGTACGCGGTAGTTGTTCACATTGGAGGTGGACCATACCATGGCCATTATGTGGCTGTAATCAAAACTCAGGATCGCGGCTGGCTGCTTTTCGACGATGAGATGGTGGAACCCGTCGATAAGAATTTTGTCCGTAATTTCTTTGGAGATCGACCAGGGCTCGCTTGTGCATACGTACTCTTCTATCAAGAGACCACATTCGAAGCCGTTCAAAAGGAACAAAGAATGGAAGGCAAAAGAAGGGCCTCTCAGGATCTCACTTCTGGCTTGGGCGTCCTTCCCAGGCAGTCGGGAGAACTTCACCAAGTCCAGACCGTAACCCCATTTGGCTCTCCAGGTTCACCTTCAGATGCTGTGCAATATCCAGCACTCGACCATGCTATGACAGCACCTCCTCAATTCAAGACAAATGGGCATGTTGACTCGCCGCAGTCCCCTCCTCTCTCTGCGATCCGACCAACGAGCACTGCTATCCAAAGCAAAAAAGACAAGGCCAAGGAAGAAAAAGCACAAGAGAAGGCGCGTAAGGCCACAGAAAAGCAAGCCGAGAAGGAGAGACTGGAATTCGAGAAGCATCGACGAAAAGAGCTGGCCTCCAAACTGACGGATGCTCACAAAAGGCAAGAGGCCGAACTCAAGGCTGCATTGGAAGCAAGCAAGGCTTCTAAAGCAGAAGAGGACAAGCGGCATGTTCTTGAAAGAATTCAAACGTCCCATCCTAACGGCAGCGGAAGCGGTTCGTCTGGGTTCGATCGATTCAGGCGCACAAAGAGCTTGCGATTTGGATCTTCGAACAAAAAGGAGAAGCCACAATTGAATTCGTCCGAGGAGGACATTGCTACCCCGACAGCGGATACAGTTACTCCAGAAAAAGAAAAGGACAAGGAGAAAGAGAAGAAAAATCGATTTAGCATTCGGAAGAAGTCCTTTGGCATGTTGTCTTAACGCGGTAATTGTTTGGAGAGTTGTTTTTTAACACATTGCACATATAGCCTTGGGCTGCACATGTCATTATGATGGGAACGAAGCGGCAACGCCTTCAACTCTGATGCCTGCAGATTTCTGGTTGTACACGCCGCATATAAAAGAAACATTGAAAGATTTCGGCCTAGAATTCGGTCGTCTGCAACTGAGATATTGCTCGACCCTGCTCCTGCTGACACTTCCACCGTTAGATATACGTCCCTGCACTTCCGATTTGAAGGCAGAGACGATAGCATCTCAATTGGCGGCGGGTCATTCCAATTGTGCGCCGAAACTCGGGACCGCGCGTGTCGCACAAAGACGATATACTAGACGACGATCCTCCCTTTCTGGCCTTCGAATTGAGGCATCCACCATGGGCCCGTCAGGGAGCAATAATTCGAAGCCACTGTTCTGATTGAAGTCTCTGGACTGTCCGCAGTGGTGGCGCGACTGCGATATGGGCCCATGGTCTGGCATAGGCCTGGGTGGTGGTAGACCGGTCCACCCCGGGCAGTTCGGTTGGTACGACGTCGACGCTCAGGATACGAAGCTTTGCGACACAAAGTTACATCATGTATCCTCATATCCCTGGCAGGAATTGCTCAACATGATGTAGACTATGCTTCTGGATGTGATCCGTTCCTCTCGACACATGTTATCCAAGCATCAGTTCGTAAATGATGATCATCGAATTGACCAAGATCAAAGGTACTGCGGTTTTCCCCAATAGTCAGTTTCCATCAACACAGATACATATTAAGATGAGTAGCTTCAACGCATCGACCGAACGAACCTCGACATAAGGTCCTGATGCTTGAAATCAGATTTATTGCTTTACTGCGAAGGCTTTCTGGATCTTGAGCAGGGGTACCGAATGCCACGCCGCCTGAGGGGTCGTTCAGCTGGGCTTTGCCCCAACCAACTGGAAGGTGTGCTTATTAGTATGCGTCCTCATGAAATTGTGCAGAACTCATGAAACGAGCGGACGGGTCGGGCATGTATGGGAGGTGGGATCGTGAGTAGGGTTGATGGACATACTTCGAGCAAGGAACCGGTCTTCGGAGAGGATCGCCACGGCGTTGAGGAGGAGGCAGCTGGCTAGTAGAGAGCAAGAATGTCAGTGGCCTGGGCCCAAGCGCATCTCATACGGGATGGAGAGGGTGTTGTCTTGAGTCAACGTTGGTGTTGATCGGAGCTCGCTCACCGTAAATGAACGGGCCGAAGCCGAAGAGACTGAACATTCTGTTGTTGGAACCGAAAGCAAGGGTGGCGGCCTAGGCGACGTGGACAGTAGCGTTTGGCAGCGGCCGACTGTCACTGTCGGGCAGATGTAATGCGCAGATGGCTCAAAGGATGCATCGGATGGAGGGTCTGCTTGGTATAGACGAACATGTCAAGACAATCTACGGGAGAGTGTTCGAGGCCAGATGAGCACATTTATACTGCGGAGGAAAATGCAAGCCACGCAGTTCTTACCTCAGGCCACCAGCTCCCTACCTACCTACTCAGCGCATCCTTCATGTAGCTGAAGGACGACCTTGGTCACTTCGGTAGAACACGCAGTGCTCTGTTGATTATCCGCCGGGCTTATGACCGCAGGCTCTTTTGCTTACAGAAACCCAACTAGGAAATATCACGGATTTCGGGATGATGCCCAGCCTGTGCAAAGTCCGAGTCTGGTTAGCAAGACAGGCTGTCGATAGTGGGACTCGAAGACGTCCTTGCACACTCGTCCATTCCCTCTCACGTTGTGTTCAGGAATAGACTTTAGATTGGACAATGCAACGTCCGGAAGGCCGTCCTAACCGAATCATCCTGAGCCGAGGGGATGGATTCAAACCACAGGGCACGACGTTGTGTCGCTTTCCTGCGCTAGACTGCGTGGCCACAATGGGCTGATGGATATAAAATGCGGACAACCTTTTTTCTCGTTTGTCCATCTTTTTCTCCATCGACCAGCACTCCTGAACCAGTCCGTGGCTTGAAAGCATCATGGCAGAAAGAGTTGAGAACGTGACCAGCCTTCCCCCCTGCAAGAGACATATAACGACACACGATGCCGCTGGAAAAAGTGTGTATTATGGCGTCTCGCCCCCACAACAGTACGCACTTGTTGGTGATGGTGGACTGGCCAGGTCGTACTCGGTGGCTCTTGTGCCGGCGAAGTTGGCTAGCGACGAGGATTTGAAGGGATATTTGAGCGCAGATGGGATTACAAGCTGGACACAATCATCGATCGTCACACCAGCTGGAGCGAACCTCCTCGTTGTGGACTTGGCTCCTGGAGCGAGTACCCATATGCACCGGACTGTGTCGATTGACTTTTCAATTTGCACTGTCGGTGAGATTGATCATGAACTCGATAGTGGACAGGTCGTGCGACTGAGGCCCGGGGTAAGTCCATCATATGTCGCTGGGTGATGTTCGTGCTTGCTGACTCGGCCTGCAGGATCATATCGTTCAACGCGGTACCATGCATCGCTGGATCAATGTCTCTCTGACAGAGCCTGCGCGTTTCGTCGCCGTCACTCTTTCCTGCGAACCATTCGACGTCGCCGGTGAACAGTTGAAGGAGGTCCATCTTCTCCACTAGCTGCTGGAGAAGGAATATGTGCCGGTATCATCTACTACTGAGATAGCCAGTCCTCGGATTGACCGAGATCAATGTCTTGCCTAATAATCTGATCACGATTCTGCCTCACCCGTCACCTGCCTTCACTTTTCCCGCACACCCACACACCCACACGCACCCCTGGCAGTCAAAAATTCGTCCGGCCAAAAACCAAAAACTTTTTCCTACAAACCCCAAGTTGAACATGGGGGTTGTAGGGAAGTGAAAACCATGGTGAAATGGTTTTTTTCGTTGAATAGGAAACGTACCCGGTGAATCTGGGCTGGAAATGTACGCAGAACCGATTGTTCGGGCCATGCCTCTACACCATCATCCTAACTGAGCCATCGTCCCCGGGAAGGGGGTCAGACAACTTGCCAGTTGGGGCAGACCTGAGGTGCGACTGAGCAAAATTCTAGTACTCCAAAATATATGTTGACCTTTTTCGGGCTGTGTTGACCATGACCCCCCCAACGCAGTGAAACAACGTAATCTTCCTTCTTCCACCAATTTCTAGTGCTCGTAGGCAAAGGCACTTCTCTCCTCGTATACCGGTTGATAGCATCTCACTCATCGAGAGTGCGCGCCTCGAGGCAAGTGCAAGGTGAGGCCGGAAGCGGAAGTTCTAGTACCGCTGCTTTAAGAATAACTCTCGTTCCGATTGGCTGGGCTCCCTCGCCGATAGGGCAGCGTCTGCCTCTTTCCCAATAAAGGGTCCAACTGCGAGTCAGGCACAAGGCTCCGTCCGTACCTTAAAACTACACTCAAGCATTTTCATCTACAGTTTTGCCAGAGAACACCTTCTAAACATGGCTAGCAGACATGGAGGAACTCATCAGACCTGTGACCGTCGCCCGCAAGGTGCAGAGTAGCATCGAGAAGTTCGAGAACCTTTCCCTGGGAGATGCTCCGGCTTCGAGGCCGGCGAGCAATAAATCAAGGATATCCGTACTTGATGACAATTCCGTCACCGAAGTGCAAAGCGAACCATTCACTATCCGGCCATCATTAGCGTCATCTCAAAGTTCCATCTCAGCACAGTCGAACCTCAGAAAACACAAACGCCATGACTCAACAGCGTTTCTGCAAAAGTCATATTTGGACAAGAGCGCTTCGGCTTCGCTACCAGACGATGCGCGCGAAATTTTGAAAAGCCAGCCTGATCGGGAAGACCTTGCTGCCGTTCTACAATATCTCCAGTACGGTATTGATGGAAGACACGACTTCAATGTGCGAGTGCCTGGCCCTAAAGCCTCTCAGATTGTGAACGTTTTGGTTACCATCACCATTCCAGACCAGTGGTTGAACTTACGCCAGCCTAGCCTTGGCAAAAGCGATGCTCAACTCAAAAAGTCTCTTCTCAGCTGCCTCAATTGTGTCGCAGGACTAGGCGCGCTGCTTATGCAAATCAGACGGGTGTTTTCAACGACACCAAGCCACAAGAGTCCCTTGCTCGATGACTTAATCTCGGTCCTATCACTTATACTCTCGGGTAGCAAAGTACTGCAAGGGTTCCTATTGGATGCATTCAGCCTGTTTAAGACCGAAACGCAGCGTGGGGTTTTCTGGCAAGAGATAACCTCTACTTTGGCTGGCAGCAGGGTCCTCACAACAATGGCACACGTGCTTACATCACTGCGGGATTCTGAGGTCCAATATGAGACATGTGCTTGGCTGGGTGACGGACATCAGTACTCCAGGTGGCTTGCCAGGAATATCTCGACCGCTGCTATCGACCTACACAATTCCCACCGATCAGACAGCCAACATATGAATATGCTCTGTCAGGTGTTGAAACGTGGTCTGAGTCTTGGGTTTCGCGGTACAACCTATCCTTGATGCCCATGTCCGAACCTACACTAATTTAAGTCTAGATTCCCTTATCACTGAGCTTTACACCTCACTTCTCCTCGGCAAGCGCGCGTTATGGACAACGATGCACAACTTAGTGCAAGCACTGCCGGCGTACGACCAGACGGGCCTTTTCGACACCATACTCCGTGATCTCGGGCGCAGATTCCTCCAAAGTGGCACTGGGACCATACACTGCCGGCCCTCGTTGATGAGCCACTCTTCTTCAATCGGAGGAGTAGCAGCCATGATCAGGGGGCTAGTGCAGAGCAATGTCATCCTGGAAGTTCACGTCACACACTGGCTGACGAGCACAAACGGGGAATACGCTGGTCTCGGCCTCGAGACCAGAAGAGCCGTCATTGCAACCTTGGCCTCAAATCAAGGCAAGTGCCTTTCATTTACTTCGAGACGGGCTGCTAACACTTCTCAGACAAACTCCAGGAAGTCCTTGAAAAGAGCTTGGAACGCTTTGGGAATAAGTTACAAATTCAGCATGATCCAATTGCACAGCAGGAGTGTAAGTGAGCTCGGAGGTTCCTGGCGGACCCAATTTTTTGTTTAGAACCTGTGCTTACGTCTGCTCCCAACTGCAGCCATCGCTCAAACGATACTCCTCACTGTCGGCTACCTCACTCGTTTAGACCCTGAAAAGGTCAAGCAACTCTCCGCCTCCAGTGCCTTCCTACGTATGGTTTCTACCCGTCTCTCCGCATCCGTCCCCCGTGCAAGATTCTTGGGCATGATAGTGGCTGTCGCGACATCCAAACTCATAGACAAGGCTGAAAAGGGCATAAACTTTGGTGTCGAAGAGATGGAAGGCGAAGAAGCCCAATGGTGGCTGGGTCTTGTGCATATCCAAGACAATATTGGGAGCCTAGACGAGCTGCTGAAGACCGAATTACCGCCTGAGAAGACGGACGGCTCCCCGAGAACGACTCAACACGCTCGCCAGAAACGCGCCCCAGTCGCCCCAGTCGCCCCACTGCCTCAAAGCTCCAAGATCATTGCAATCGAAGAAATATCCGATAATGAAGTTACAGGCTCAGACGAAGACGACTCCAACCTGCGTCCTTACGCACGTCCGGATAGCGACCCGTCTGACTCAGATGACGATCCAACCCTCATCAACCGTAACAGACCTGCCGCCCCAGTCTATATCACATCACTTATCAAACAGCTAAATGCCACGGATGACCCGTCTACAGTGGAGCTTGCGCTCAAGACGGCTCCAACGTTGATTCGTCGGAAAGCCGGTTTCGGCGATGAATTGTCTTCCAATATCCTTCAACTGGCATCAACTCTTGTCAATCTCCAGGAAGGCATGTCAAAAGAGGAAATGCAGCACCTAAGGCTCAAGGCTCTAATTGCAGGCTTAGTCTCTAAGCCTGCAATCATGGCTCCTTGGGTTGCAGGCATGTATTTTGAAGGAGACCTTTCAATTTCGCAACGCGCCTCGTTGTTGACAGCCATAGGGCTAGGAGCACGGGAATTGGCGGGGATGGACGACGAGGTTGAGGAGCCTGCTGCTTCCGAGGAAGCGGGAGAGGCATCATTCCCTTCGAACAAACTCCCACCCCGTCTCGAGTCGACATATGCCACATCATCCGCCATTGATGCCCTCTCGTACACCCTCTCCTCTCGGACTCTGCAACCAATGGCCCTTGCAGCTGCCGACAAGCTTACCGGTCCCAACATATTGAAGATTCGAACCTTTTCATCACGCATGGTTGTGGCAGCGAAGGAAGCAGCAAAAGTCGAAGCCCGCTCAAAACGCATCCCGAAAGACCTCCACATATTGCTCGCTGAATGGATGTACCTGCCTCTTTGCTCACGACTGACGCTCTTGGTCTCGTCACTTTCCAGCAGCCCGTATCTCGCAAATTCTACACTCTTGCATCCCTCGCTGCTAAAACTGAACCTGCAGACCCTCATCGTCCTCATCTCGACAATAGGCCCGAACGCGCTCCAGCTGCCAACACTGACGCGCGAGTCTCTCCTGCTCCTCACCGCGCTTCATACAATCCCTTCACTGGTGCACGACCCAATCGTCCTCCCTCCGACCCTACATCTTCTGTTGACGCTTCTGGACTTGAACGTTGAAGCCGGCGCAACGGCTGAAGAGCGCCTAGTTACAGATTTCGGGTCCATGCTGGCCGAGCTCGTCTCCTGGGCTGCGGGACTGGGAGATCGCGTTTCAATCACAGAAGTCGATGCAGACCCGGGACTAGGGATGGCAATGCCGTGGCCAGTACTTGTTGCTGGTATACAGGTTAAATGGCAGGAAATTGGCCGGAAGTTCCAAGGGAGAATGCTGGGGTTGATGGCTGGTACGAATTTCGACACCTTTTAGAGGGAACACGGCGACATAATGGGGTGCTGGGCTATTAGGTTGTCTTCAATGGGAGCTACAACATGCCCATTCCCCCGCTTGCCCTTCAACTGAAGTCTTACACAAAGTATTCTCCCATTGGCTGCTGAAGACGTTTTGCAGTCTAACCACAAATGGTAAAGGACGGGAAGGCATCATACTGAATGCGCGCTGAGCGCCCAAGCCGGCGCCACCCCAGCCAGACCCGAGGGCACATACGAACCTCAAAGACGACTGGAGGTTCTAGAGAGCTCGCTAGGCTCCAAGTGGGGTTCAAAGAGTATCTCACGTCTAGTTTGGCCGATAGCGCACGCGCTGCGCATTATTACATGTAGTGATTGTACCAGCCATCACCGAAGCGTGAAAATTTCCCAGGCTGTTGGGAAATTCGAAGACCCGGCTCTTCCTACTAGTTCGTCGACGCGGTAGTCTAGGCTGGGCCAAGTGAGTTGGTCTTGCTGGCATACATCAGAGGGGTGTCCCAGCGCCGCTTCTTTTGCTCTCCAGTACTCGAACCACTTTCCGTACAGGATCGATTGCACAGAGACTCTGCTGCCTATATTGTCGCTAAGATAAAACCGTGTCAAACAGAAGCTATGTTGAACAGGCCTGGTGAGTTGCTCTGCAAAGGGATCAAAAGCCGAACCGAGGGATTGACCCTGCTCTCGACTAGGTAATAGGGATATCGCCGCTTCGGTTGTGCCGGATTATGCACAGCCTTGGGACAAAGAAGTCGAACGGCGGGTGGTTCGGAAGATCGATTTGGCACTGATTCCCTTGATGTTTGTTGGCTATGGCTTGGTGTACTATGACAAGGTGCGTCGGTTTTCCTGATTCATCGAGGCCGGAGAAAACCAGCTCCATGAGGCAGATGATCCAGCAGACAGCAAGTTCCAAGCAGCAGGCGGACGATGATGCTGATACTCACACCGTGCAGGCCATCTTGGGTGGTGCGGCTGTCTTTGGCATGGTGACAGACCTCGAGCTGAAGGTCGTGACGGATCCGACAACAACACCGCCCAAAGTCTCGACGACCCGCCTTAGTTGGGCGACCTCACTGTTCTATTTCGGCATGCTCGCTGGGGTGGGGCCTCTGACATACCTGTTCCAACGATTTCACGTAGGTCGCACCGTCGGTCTTGTGGTGATTGTATGGGGTGCTATTGCCATGTCAACAGCGGGTGTCACGACATACAAGGGACTATGGGCGCAGCGCTTCTTTCTGGGCTTCGCAGAGTCGGTCATTCCAACCGCCTTCATGGTCATCGTGAGCGGGTTCTATACCCAGGCTGAGCAGACGTGGCGACAATGTCTTTGGTATTCCGCGACTGGAGCATGGACCATCATCGGGGCTGCCATCAACTTTGGCTTTGCCCATATCACCGGAGGCGCTCTGAAGAGATGGCAGTATCTGTATCTCATGACCGGCGCACTGACGGCAGTATATGGATGTGTCTTCCTTTTCTTCCCCAACTCTCCGGCACAGGCATGGTGGTTCACCGAAGAAGAGAAGAGAGTAGCCGTTGAACGGCTACGTATGGGTCAACTAGGGGTTCGGTGCCAAAAGATCAAATGGTCGCAGTTCAAAGAGGCGCTCTTCGACTTGAAGGTCTGGATGATCGCCATCATGATGGGCGCGGCATATTCTGTCAATGGTGCCGTGTCTGGCTTCGGACCTCTCATCGTGTCGACCTTCGGCTGGTCTGCCTACGATTCATTGCTTTGGCAAATGCCCATGGGGGGAGTTTGCTTGGTGGGCATCCTGCTCGCCGGCTTCCTCAGTCTCAAGGTGCCGAACGTTCGACTGATCATGCTCATTGCGTGTTGCCTGCCTGTCATTGCTGGTTGCGCGATGATCTGGAAAAGCAGTTGGTATGAGCATGCTGGCACGCCCATCGCCGGCTACACAATCATTGGAACCTTTGCCCCCGTGACTAGTCTGATAGTCAGTATGGGCATGGCAAACGTGGCGGGCAACACAAAGAAGAGTTTTATGGCTGCTGCCACTTTTGTCCTGTACACGGTCGGAAACATCGCTTCGCCGTTCTTTATCGTGTACGAGACCGTCGGTGAGCATTACCCGCGGTTATGGGAGGGGATCATCGGATGCTATGTGCTGGTAATTGTCTTGGCCGTGGCGCTCTATTTCTTGCTCAAGACGGAAAATCAGCGGAGAGACCGAATGGCCTTGGACGAAAAGGAGGCAGAGCGTGTTGCGTTTGATGACTTGACAGACAAGGAGAACGTGTACTTTCGCTATGTTTACTGAAGTGTCGGAATCACCAGGAACTGAACTGCGCAAATGCGACGTGTCGGATGGCCTCAATGCATACACAGCCGAGTCGCATGCTGTCTGACCAGCATCTTATGTAGTGCTCTGCCTCGAGAGCTCGGCGCTGTAATACCTACCTGTGCCTACCTCTCCCACTACTCCGAGTCTGTCAGGTACCTACCTATGTAGATCTGACATTGACAGTAACGTGACTGGCGGACGAGGCTGCGGCCGCGCCAAGGTACTTTGACCATATGAGGCTAGAGCCTTTCCCTCGGCTGCCGGTGTCCCGTCCTCGAACTTTTTTCTTGAAGTGCAGGGTCTCAGTGATCGCGATACAGCTTCTTTACATCTCTGTTTTAATCAATCCATACATCGGCTTAGTTTCTCTTACCACTCTGCCGTTTATTCTAATCTGCTAGACTCTACCATACCGCTTGTCAAGATGTAAGTATCCTGCTTTCTGGGCCGAGGCGGCATGTCTGACAGATCCTAGGTTTGCCCTTCGCCGCTGTGCATCGCGCCTGCTCACTTCCCAGCCCGCCTCCCTTGTCTCTCCTTCGCGAACGTATATTTCAGTCAGCAATACTTCTGCACGGATAATTTCGAAGAGTCTCACACCCCAACCCCAACCCCAACCCCCACGGAGATGGGCATCCACCGAGAGCGACAAGGAGAGCAAGACTCCAGTTATCGCAGAATCTGCCAATCTAACAGAGGCCACCGAAGAAACACTCCCAGCTGCGGAAACCAACGAGAAGCTGGCAGCCGAACCTCGCGATGTTCCCAAAGACTCCCCCCCCGCTATCGCTGAGACTGCAAATGCGACAGAGGCCACCGAGGAGACACTTCCGGCCGCCGAGATCGGTGAAGGCCTGGCTGCTTCTTCCTCACCGACACAGGCTGCGTCTGGAGCCCCAGCGGGATGGAATGGATTGTTCGAGCGCAAGCCTACTCTCTATATTGGAAATCTGTTCTTCGATGTTACCGAGACCGACCTCGTCAAGGAATTTGCTCGATTTGGAACTGTGACGAGTTGCAAGATTGTCCGAGATCCGCGCGGCTTAAGCAAAGGGTTAGCTACATCCTCCCTTTAGCATTGGTAAGCATGCTGACACAATTTAGTTTTGGCTACGTTGATTTCTCAACACAAGAGGCTGCAGACGCGGCCCTGGAGGCTCTCAACCTGCAGCTGTTCGAGGGCCGTCGAATCACTGTCCAGTATGCCGCCCGCACCAGCGGCATCTTGGACAAGCACACTACTCCTCGCAAACCAATGAACGAACCGTCCAAGACACTTTTCATCGGCAACATGTCCTTCGAGATGACCGACCGTGACCTGAGCAACCTGTTCCGTGGTATCAGAAACGTCATCGATGTCAGGGTTGCGATCGATCGCCGTACCGGTCAGCCAAGAGGCTTCGCGCATGCCGACTTTGTCGACGTCAAAAGCGCCATGGAGGCTGCGAAGGTCTTGTCTGAGAAAGAGATCTACGGCCGGAGGCTACGAGTGGACTACTCTTTCAACTCTGCATCCAGGGCGCCGAAGAACGAGGCCCCTGCCAGCTCTGACGATGTCTTCCCGGAGACCCAGTAAGTGCTTGGCACTTTTTAGCAAGAGGCGGACTCCGGGTCAGCATTGACTGGGCATGACGGCAAAATACTTTTCTAGTGCCTTGCACCCCGTCACCGACACTGCCCGTTTTTGGTGATATTCACACCAGCTTCCTTCACACACTTACATCTACGCATGAGCGTTCATGGGGCCGGAAGCTCTCCTATAGGGTCTGTCGATTGAAACAGTGGAAAATGCGGTGGCGATCTTCGAATTGTTACGCCCGCGGCGTCGGAAGAAAGCCAGGAACCGCTGTTCATCTCATTTTATGTACATCAGTAAGTATCACTCGAGGTCCCTGTAGAGGGCACCAGCACAAAATTTGGTTCAGGGCCCGGTCCACCGCCGGCTTCTCTTCAAACTTAGTATCATGATCAGGAGAATTCTCGGTATGGATTTACACGTTGCCAGTGCAGACATTTTGTATTTCAGTTGGTTACGGCGCTGGAGGAAGAATGGCGGCAGGGGCATGTCCGGTCAGTGCCAGGGTGTACTACAAATCTCCAATCATGATGTATGACTGTATACATTATTACAGCAAGTTCTTCGGGCATTGGACTAGACAACCTGCTCTTGTCCGGTCTGCATCTCAGCGCGAGAGAAATAGAAATACAATTGCAAAGTGGGAGGGCTCATGCTGGAACGACAATATGGAGTATGCAGTAATACTAGTATCATCACCAACCGGGCGGCATCACATGGGACCACGTGATCTGTACTGTAATGTCATGGCCATTCCCCTCGGGCCTCCGGTAATATTATACGTAGCGGGCATTTTTGGGTCGCCTCCGCGCTTCGTCTTTGCATGATGGCGTTTGGCAGGACTGCCTCGGCTCCGCCCCCAGGCACCGCTGCTGACTTATTCCAACTGTCATAACTCTTTCTAACTGTCAATTACTCTAACTTCTTCATCCTCGCTTCTGCGTCGTCCTTCGGACCCCTACAATGTCTTTCCTAGGAGGCGCAGAGTGCTCAACCGCCGGCAACCCTCTCACACAATTCAAGAATCATGTCCAAAATGACAACTCGCTCCAGCGGGATCGCCTTGTTGGCCGCGGTCCTGGTGGGCTGGAAGAGAGCATGCGGTCCCGCATGGCTCCAAATGGATCAGACCAGGTGAGTCGGGCTATGTATCTTCTCTCAAATTGCCCAGTGGCTGAACTGTGTATAGATGATGAACGACTTTATGCACCAGAGCGGTCAATTGCCACAGCATTTCGCAATGGACCAACTCCGACAAGACCTCCCCAACGTCCAGGGAATAACTCGTCGATCACCGTCTCCCGGCTGGGTGGCCGATTTTGATCCCGGCGAACAAGCACGCATGGAGACCGCGTTCGCCAATTCTAAGATAGCAGCGCAACGACCGGCCGGGTTTTCCCCACGAGAGTTTGGCCACTTCCAACAAGCCAACCCCCAACAGACCGCCAGTCCCATCACACACACTCCTCCGATGGTCAACGCATACCAGAGACCTATGGGAATGGGTTACATGGGCCCAGTGAGCATGGGGATGAATTATACTCCACTTCATATGCAACAACAACCCGAACAGACCGCAGACAAGGGCAAAGGTAGAATGGTTGAGCTTGACGACGCGAATTGGGAGGCTCAATTCAAAGAACTTGAAATACAACAAGACAGTCTGTCTGACCAAGCCAATGAAGCGATGGAGAGAGAACTGGATCAAATTGACAGGTCAGTCGAAGCCCAGGAGTTCGAACGTGTGTGGACCCGGGTCCAGGCTGAACATATATCCAGGCAAATGGCCGAAGACACCTCCGAGTATGAAAATGCATTCTCTACCGAAGATTATGCCGCATGGGACAACTTCGACTCTACTATGGGTATGGGTACGCATAATCCTTTCGAACGAGAACCGATGCTCGGAGACTACATGTTCGAGTCACACAATCCGTTTCTAGAGAACAGTCATGCGTCTAAATCAGCTTTTGAACAAGGAAAGGAGATTCTTGAAACTCACGGTAACCTTTCTCTTGCATCTCTGGCGTTTGAGGCGGCCGTTCAGCAAGACCCTAACCATGTGGAGGCCTGGGTCCTTCTTGGTTCGGCCCAAGCACAAAATGAAAAGGAAGCGCCAGCTATCCGTGCTCTAGAGAGAGCGTTACAATTGGACCCTAACAATCTAGACGCTCTCATGGGTTTGGCAGTTTCTTACACCAACGAGGGATACGACAGCACTGCCTATCGAACCTTGGAGCGATGGCTGAGCGTCAAATATCCTCAGATACATCCTCCAGAGGACCTGTCGGATCCTGCCCAAATTGGGTTTACAGACCGTGCAATCCTGCATGAGCGTGTGGTCGATCTGTTCATTAGAGCGGCGCAATTGTCGCCATCTGGCGAACATATGGACCCTGACGTCCAGGTGGGTCTTGGAGTTCTCTTCTATGGGAACGAAGAATTCGAAAAAGCCGTGGACTGTTTCAAAGCTGCTCTCGCATCAGCAGAGACCGGGTCGGTCAACAGCGAAGGACAACTGCATCTCTTGTGGAACAGGCTAGGGGCAACATTGGCGAATTCGGGCAGGTCGGAAGACGCCATCACGGCCTATTGTAAGGCTCTTGAAGTTAACCCTAACTTTGTTCGAGCCCGTTATAATCTGGGAGTCTCGTGTATCAACATTGGTTGCTATCCCGAGGCAGCTGGACATTTGCTTGGGGCATTGAATCTCCACCGCATTGTGGGCGAACAAGGTTTGGATCAAGCGCGTGAAATTGTGGGAGATGGCGATGTCCCTGATGCCGAGTTGGAAAGAATGATGCACCAAAATGAGAGCACGAACCTTTACGATACCCTGCGGAGAGCATTTACTGGGATGGGCAGGAGGGACCTGACTGAGCGGGTGGGTACTGGCATGGGCCTGGACCAATTCAGAGCCGAATTTGAGTTCTGAAAAGCTCAGCCTTGACATAGATGAGATCTCTACAGAGTATAATGCCAGCTTAACACATCTCATTTTGCTCCATGGTCATCATATCACCCCAAACATGACAAACTAGGTTCAAGTTCAGTCGTAAGTTGGAGCTGATCATGTGATCAGGCTGCGGTTGGGGATCATGCCAAGACGCGCGTCATGTGTCAGTGCATGTTGCGGTGCAGGCGGTGCAGTGGCAGCGGTCGCGGCTGACAAGCTCCAGACTGCCCCAGGATCCTAAACTTGACTCACGACGAATCTCCTACCAGACCGCTATCGTGCCCAATTGCTCATGCGCGTTTCGCTTTGGGTTCTCGGTCAATCTGACGCCCCGGCACCACGGAGCCCCATCCTCACTTCATCCAGCTGCCTCCGAGCATAGGACGATCACAGCTTACCCGGGAAGCGTTGGCTGCGGGGCATTGGGTAACAGGCAGAGATGGACGACCACGGCGACTTTGACAGTGTTTCGTGGCAACGAGAGGATGCACAACAGGCCGAGTCATCCGCGCCTTTCCAAGCCGACCTGCCCAGCCGACCTGGCACTGGCCGGAGAAGCGACAGCATATCCCGAGAGCCGCAGGCAGGTGAGCATGCCGATAACGTTGATTTGGCGGGCATAGGCCGGGATGGTATCCTGGAAGTCATAGTGGACAGCCCACTGAAGGAGAATGATGGTACAAAGGACGCATATGTGTCATATTTGGTTACTACTCATGTAAGCCTTTGGCCCACCGGAGGAGATACCACTCAGCACCACTGACGCTCCTGCAGACGGATTTCAAGACGTTCCAGAAGACCGATTTCTCTGTGAGACGACGCTTCACAGACTTTGTGTTCCTTCGGCAGACTTTACATCGAGATTACCCGGCATGTGCCGTACCTCCACTGCCCGAGAAGAACAACATGGCATATGTGAGAGGGGATCGGTTCAGCACAGAGTTCACTCAACGCCGGGCGTGGTCATTACATCGATTTTTGAAGCGCTGTACTCTACATCCAGTTCTACGCAGGGCCCCGATACTTTTATTGTTTCTGGAAACCGCCGATTGGAACTCGCAGATGCGCATGAGACCTCCGAGAGGTACCGTCACCGGGGAAAGCGGCGCCAATGCAGCCGCTCCGTCAGGTTTCTTCGATAATGTCGCAGATACAATGCTCAATGCCTTCTCCAAGGTTCACAAGCCCGATAAGAGGTTTATAGAAGTCACGGAAAGGGCGAACAAGCTCGACGAGGATCTTTCGCATGTGGAAAAAATCGTGGCTAGGGTGGTTCGGAGGGAGGGCGACCTGGAGTTTGATTATGCCGATTTGGCAACCAACATGCGGAGACTTACTCCTCTAGAGCCCACCATTGAGGCCCCAGTACAGACCTTCGCTGGCTGTGTGGAAGAGACGTCCAAGGGCTGGAAAGCTATCAAGGACCACACTGACCAGAACTATCTGGGAAGTCTGCGGGACATGGAAGCTTACATCAACTCTGTGAAATCATTACTGAAGACCCGGGAGCAAAAGCAACTCGACTTTGAGGGCCTCACTGAGTACTTGCAGAAAGCGACATCCGAGCGCGACATACTCGCATCAAACAATCCATATTCCCAGGGCTCAAATCTCAATCCTGCCACCTTCATCCGACATAAAGTGGAGGACATGAGAGGCGTTGATCACGAAGCGGCGAGAAAAGACCGAGCGCGGAAACTGGAACTCAAGATTGCCGAGCTGAACCGCGAAGTCGAGAGTGCCAAATCGACCAGTGAAATGTTTGATGAGCAAGTTGTTCGGGAAGTGGCGGATTTCGAGAGGATAAAGGGCCAGGAATTCAGAGATACCCTCGGCGCGTTAGCGACACAACACATGGATTTCTATCAGAATGTCATATCGACATGGGAACGATTCTTGGTCGACATGGATGCGGACAAGCATGTGCACAAGGATAAGGGCAGGGCGGCGTCTTGATAACGCGAAGATTGTTGTTTGCTATCCATTCCATCCACCATCAGAATATGGCGAGCACCAACATTGGCCCTCATCGTGGCCGCTAAATAATGAAGAGTATGTTTTCCGAACCATATCTGTATCTGTAATACAAACCAGGACTTGGATCAAGCATAGCATTTTTCCTGAGGTCAGGGGGCTCCGAAGGCTAGGAGGCCGCAGCCCCCCGAATCATCGGCTGGAGCTGAGACTTGGCCGTGCCTGGAGTGGTGACTCGCAAATCCGGGGCTTGCCAAGATTGTTTGGGTCCTGGTCGAATCGGGAACACTCGATCATATGTATCCGTACTCCGTACACATCTACCTATGTTTCTCTGTCCACAGGACATAGCGAGTACACAGACACCGAACCCACCAGCTCAAGCAAGGAGCAACGCACAATGGCGGCCAGCAAAAAGTACGCTGGTCTACCTGACCTCGTGAGTCCCCCATTCGTCATCGGCCGTTACAAGACGCTGGGAATGCCGCAACCCGTGCTAATGGCAAGTCCCGCAGGACGCTGCTCCCGAAGTATACGAGACGCCAGATCTGGCGGATGATGTGTCCACCGCACAGGTATGCTAGCTGCACCACTCCCCCTCCCAGTCTACGGGGTTGACTTTTTGGACAGACTGGTACAGTTCGCACCTGGTCCCCAGCTCCCTCAGACGATGACTCCCGCGCGGACCTCGATCGTCATCCCCTCGATCGAGATGGTGCAAGACGACGATTCGAACCCTCCGTGGTGGATGCAAGAGACGTCGACTTTTCAGATGCCATCGGTGGCCCTCGACGCTCATACCGAACCCGCAGTTCACGCCGGAGACGACGAATCCAGGAGAACGGAGCGGAGGAACTTGGGGATCTCAGTGACAGTGAGGACGAAAGTCTGAGCAGGAAGTTGGCCAGATTAAAGAGGGAAGCTGAAGAGGTGCGACTCCAGTTGGAGAGACGCGAGCTTGACAAGGACACAGATGGAGACGTCAAGGACAGTGTCGAGCAGCAGCAACCACGGCAAGCCACAGCAGATGAAGAGGGCGGAAACGTCGATGATGTCGAGCAACTGAGCAGGCTGCTTGACACTTTAAGCACGAAGGCCAGGCCGAAATCTAACATTACGCTCGAGGACGAGTTCTTATCAACACTGGACACGCAGTCACGCCAGAGACAGCGGCTCACAAGAAAGGCAGCCCATCCGGAGCAGCAGGATAGCCCACCAACCGTTTCAGCCCTTCCGGCCGTGGCAGCGTTTTCAGACAGACTTGGCGCACTTGAGGCTGCCCTCGGGATATCATCTACCAGCGCCAACACCCCAAAGAGCTCTATCCTGCCGACCCTCGAGAAGCTCTCCATCAAAATCAGTACACTATCAAATGCCCTGGCGCTGCCAGACTCGCAATCGGCGGCACAGACAACATCCTCGCCACCCCACACGACGCCTCTGCTCGACTCTGTATCGTCGAAGCTGAAGACTCTGATCGCCGAGGCCGACCGCCTGACCAACGTGCGGAAACAAGCCATGCAATCCCTATCCGACTTGCACGAGACCCGAATGCGGCAACTTGTCTCGGCGACCGTCCACACCAATACCCGCCCACGCCGCGGGCTGTCTAACGCCTCGGCCGCCAACCAAGCGGTCGCCGACCTCGCCGGGCCCGGGGACGAATCTCTGCAAATACAATCCCGCCTGTTTCTCGACGAGCAATCTGCCAAAATCACCGCCCTGTACCAGCTTCTGCCGTCCATCCAGAACCTGCAGCCCCTGTTACCCGTGGTTCTGGAGCGGTTGCGGACGCTCAGTGTGATCCATGCTGGTGCCGCCGAGGCGAAGAACAGCCTAGACGCCGTCGAAAAGAGGCAGGCCGAGATGCGCGACGAGATCAGACAGTGGAGAGACGCTGTGGAAACCGTGGAAAAAGGCATGTCTGAACTGGAGGAGGCGATGAAGGGTAACGTCAAGGTCGTCGGGGAGATGGTGTCAGGCCTGGAGCAAAGGGCTGGCACCTTAGAACAGGGGAGGTGACATCCAGGTGAGCCTTGTACTCTGTATTCGTCAAACAAAGAAAGAACAGAATGGAATGGTGTCAACTGCTTCGACGGCCAGGCATGGTCCGAAATGAAGACACTCGCCCGTCATGGTCGGATTCCACCCTCGGCCCTCTTGAGAATGTACAACTTTGTCTCCAATCCCCAGTGCAGCCACCAGCCGTTCGTCCAACTCCAGCCTGGACCAACCATTTTTTCAGCCCCAAAGCCTTCTCTGAGGATATCATGCAGCACGCCATACCCCCATTTACCGACATCCCCGTACATGGCCGCCGCCAACCGCGCCAGCCCGTCATCCTGTCTTCGCTGCTGCTTTGGTCCAAGGACGATCAACCCGCGACCGGTGGCGGGATCTAGGATCTTAGGCCTTCCGAGCCCAGGGACCCTATCGACCACGTCCCAGGCCCCGAGAACCTGACCCGGATCCTCAACAACAACATAGTCAAATTGGTTCCAGAAGGCAGGGGGGAGGAAATCGGAGCTGTTGTCGGTTTTATCGTACATCCAGACCGTAGGCCGTGCGGAGATGATTGCCGGCTTGCTTCCGTCAGGGGAGCCTGGGAGGGTAAATACCGGCCGAGCAGCTACGTTTGATGGCAACGCCTCGACAAAGTGTGTGACGCCGGTTTGCAGAGCCAGATTTGTCAGGTGGACGCGGATGACAGGCTGAGGGCCGTAGTTGAGAGAAAGTGTGTGCAGCGCCCTCAATGCGTGGGCACCCGGATAGGTCTGTGCGGAGAGAGGCAGAAGAACAACGTGCGAGATGGTAGCCGTCAAAACCGTGCTCAGAACAAGTACGTATGTCGTCAAGGAGTAGAATACAGAGCGTCCACGACGCGTGGAAATGTAGTTTGCACATAACGCGACTGCAGCTGTCAATGGTGGGATGACGGGGAACAGAAATCTCGTCTCCTTATGCGGGAGGATGGAATAGAGGCCGATGTATCCGAGGGACGGTATTATGAGGTCTGCCAGTGACGAACGCAATGTAGTGGTCAACCCCCACGGTAGCAAGAGCAAGAGAGTTGGGTTCAAGAGCAGTCGTGGCAGGGCCGACGTGAAATACCAGTGCCAGGGAGACGTGCCCCACGCCGACGCGCCCAGATCTGCCTTCGAAGGGAAGACGTTGGAAAGAAACGCGGCGAGTTCAGGCCACAGGAAAGTGCGGGACTGCCAGAAGAAAGTGTCGATGCTGACGGTCAATAGCAAGCCGGCCACGGTGGCGGAGAGAACGGCGGGGAGGAAGACTCTTCTGACGAGGGCGACGGCGGACGAGACACCGCCTGTGCCTGACTTGAACAGCATGTACAGGCAATGAGATGCAAGCAGCAATGCGAGTTCCGAGCGGAAGATGACGGTTGCCAGGGTCAAGAGATACAAGGCCAGCCTGGCTCGTCTGGCCTGCGCCTCTGAAGTCGAGTGACCGGGTAGGAAGAAGCGTAGAGCGAAGGTACCTGTGAAATGTAAATAAAGGTCAGACCGCTTGCGAGCATCAACACGGGCACGGAAGGTCCGGAGGGGAGGGGGTCATACTGATTCCGAAAGCGAACATGTTTGGAAGCGTCCGCGAAGAATAGTACAGGATATGGAACTGGCTGGCCTGAAGAGCAGTGTACCACACGGCCGTGGCCTGGCCGTAGGCTCGTCTCACGCCGGCAGCATAGCCGACCAGGGCGATGGCGTTGAACAGGCCCAGTAAGGCCCGGACTGTCGGTCAGGGTCGGTCAGAATCCGCCAGGACTGGGGGGAGCGGGAGCCTCTCAGACGGCCGAGCCCACTGGACACTTTTGCATACCCAATAGTTGCTGTTGCTCTCCGTCATGTCGACAATACCAAATGATCGGCTGAGCAATGGTGGCAAGGACGAGAGCGCCGATGAATGTCCTCGGGACGGCGCCCCGAAAGGTCATGTGGTCGTATTGGGCTTTGAGCCTGAGGTAGACATTGTGTGTCGGGATGCCATATTTCAAAATGTCGTGGGTGGCTTGGATGTTGAAGGATTCTTCCACCTTGGTATATGGCGAGACGTAGAGATGGACGAGAATCAGGGCGGGAAATAGAAAATATGAGAGCTGCCAGAGCTCAGTTCCCGCCATTGAATTATGAACCCATTGGGGTGAGGGGTGAGATGTGAGACTGTCTTCTGGATCGAAATCAAATCTAGGAACGATGATGGAGAATCGAGATGGAAGAAAAGGGGCACCAGGGGCAGCCTTGGGCTGAGGTCGGAGGATCCTAAGGACGTTTAAAGCGGCCACGACGCAGCTGGGAAAAGGGTTAGGGGTCCCCTAAGTCCTTACTAATCAGGCTCCCGCCGAGTTCAAGTTGACCTCATCAGGCCAAGTAACAGCACCACAGCACCAGCCAGTCTGTACTGTATTGGCGCACCTGGCATTTCCGATTTGCTGTCTGCCAGGCTCCGCGACTACATCCCATCCACTTCCATGCGATCTTTGGTTTCTTTGAACTGTTTATCCTTAGAACTCCTAAGCTGGATCGCCCTTTTCATGCTACCGCGGTAGGCTCAGAACCCTTCGATCACATCACTTGAAAGACCAGATCCGAGAAGCGAACGCCAGCGCCAGATATCTTCGGCTCGTCACTTTGCCTGTGATCGGATCGTCCCTCTTGCTCCCACAGAGTGACTGTCTGCCCAGCATTCAATTCGCATTTCGATCCTCTGAGTGTATGGTCATGAGAACCTTGTCTCCGTTCTGAAGTTCAAGCCTCAACATTGGTTCTTCATTCCCAGCATGTCAATTCCTATATCATCGCTTCTTACTAATGGTTCCGCCACTCCGGCTCGTGAGCGATGGTAAGGCAATCGATCCCTTCACACCGGCTTTCAAGGTCTGACTACTATGAAGGACATACCTAGACAGAGTATTATCGACTACGTCTCCATATGCAGGTGAAGAATTCGTACCAGGAGAAGAAACAATCGATGCTCTCGAGTCATCCAGGGTTCTCGTGATCGGCGCTGGTGGGCTTGGATGTGAGATTCTCAAGAACCTGGCACTGTCAGGCTTCAAGGACATTCATGTCATCGACATGGATACCATCGACGTCTCCAATCTCAATCGACAGTTCCTCTTTCGCGAGTCAGATGTGGGCAAATCAAAGGCCGAGGTTGCTGCGGCCTTTGTCGAACAACGCGTCCCGGGAGTTAAGATCACCCCCTATAACGGAAAGATACAGGATAAAGACGAGGAGTACTACATGCAGTTCAAGCTCGTGATCTGCGGACTCGACAGCATCGAAGCCCGGCGCTGGATCAATGCCACCTTGGTCGATATGGTCGACATGGGCAATCCGGAGTCTCTGAAACCTCTAATTGATGGCGGCACCGAAGGCTTCAAAGGGCAGGCTCGTGTCATTCTTCCAACACTGACGTCTTGTATTGAATGTCAACTGTCTATGCACGCCCCTCGTGCTGCTGTACCGCTCTGTACTCTTGCCACGATCCCCCGACAACCGCAACATTGTATCGAATGGGCCCACATCATCGCCTGGGAAGAACATCGAAAAGGCGAAACCCTCGATACCGATGATCCAGAACACATCACCTGGCTCTACAACACGGCACTAGCGCGAGCGAAAGAGTTCAACATTCCAGGCGTGACGTACTCCCTGACGCAAGGCGTGGTCAAGAACATTATCCCTGCCATCGCTTCAACGAACGCTATCATCGCGGCTGCGTGCTGCAACGAGGCCCTCAAAATTGCCACCTCCTGCGCCCCTTTCCTTGAAAATTACATGATGTACACTGGCGACTCGAACGACTCAGGCTTATACACGTACACCTTCGCCGCGGAGAAGAAGGATGATTGCCCAGTCTGCGGTAATCTGTCTCAGGACATTACTATCGACCCGGAGATGAGGCTCGAGGAGTTCCTCGCCAGCTTGGCCGAGAGAGCTGAGGCGCAACTTAAGAAGCCCAGTATCCGGACGGAGGCTAAGACACTTTACGTTCAAGCCCCGAAAAGCCTTGAGGAGCAGACGCGGCCGAACCTAAGCAAGAAGATGAAGGACCTGGTCAGTGATGGGGAGGAGGTTGGGGTTGCTGAAGCCGCATTCCAGATCTCGTTCAAGTTCCGGCTAGTTTTTGGGAAGTGAGAGCTTACGGACGAGGCGGACAAAATAGAGGAGAATAGAAGGACCTTCGACGAGACAACCATGATGGAAGCCATTGAAACAGGGAAGACCGGACGGGCCGCCGCGATGAAAGGGAAAGGAGGTACCCCACATTGGTCTTGCAACCTGAGGCATCTAAATTCAGACTCAAACGCCTTGCAATGCTATAACGCCGCCAACCATGCATTCAACTCATCCGACTTTCCTTGCAGGGACTTTGATGCTCGCCGATTACTTCTCCATCTCATCAAGCGCCTGGAGTAGCCTCTTGGCCTTGTATTTTAGGACATTGACGCTCTCCAAGAAAAGCATATCACTAGGAAACTGTCCCGTACTTTCAACGTTGAAGATGAAGTGGTCTTGCACTCGACCTAGCTTGACTTTGTCCCGGAACTCCTCGTGTCGGAGGCACTCTCGCGAAACTGTGTCCCGCATGGGATCCTTGACAACTGCCTTCTCGTCACCCTCACGGCCATGGTAGACGGACTCGTCGGATGCAGCGTCGGACGGGGTAACACGCTCAAGGTCAATAACGCCGGGCGGGAAACATTTTTGGAATTTTCTGGCGTCGGCCCCAAGAATCGGTTTGGTGATGGTGATGGTCGGGAGCAGTCGATACGTCGCAGTTGCGACGGGGCTGAATTTTGCATGGTCACCTCCTTTTCCGAGATGCGCATGCATGATTATGTCAATTTCTTGGCCTGGTCGTAACTTTGCGATCAAGATATCCGGACTGACTGGCTCGATGGGGCCGTCTCGGAACTGTTCTTCTTGGGAGCCTTGGACCGCCCATTTGATATGCCGCGAGTAGACGCTGCTGTTGATATACTTCTCCTCCGGCTCTGTCGCATTTTTGTCCGCGTGTGGATTGCGTTCGCATTTGACATTCAAACTTAGCACGACAGTGTTGTAGTCGGTTCGTCCCACGCCCTCGAACCCAAGGTCTGGATTTGGCTCGAAGAACCACTTTAGCCATTTGAGGCCTTCGATACGGCCCTTCAGAGGGATGAGGCCCAGTCGGTGCGCCAGCACCTCGTCTGCAATGACCGAAGTGTTGTTCTGCACGTAGACTTTTTCGATGGCTAGGGTGGGGACTTCTGCGATGAGGATACGACGAAATGCGTTCGCGATGGAGGCATCAACGCCGACAAGAGAAAAGATGGCTTCATCCTTTTCATTCTCATGAAAGTGGACTTTCAAATTCTGCTTGAAATTTGAGAGAGACCAGGAATTGTCTTCGCCGGCATGGTGGCCTGGAAAATCGGTCGATGTAATGTTCGTCACGGTTTCGGGGTTGATGCCGACAACCTAGAATATCGTCAGCATCATCGCCAAACACAGGACAAGCCATATCTTACCTTCCGCCTGTCCAGGTCATCCTGTGGTGGCTGCATCGGGGCCATGGATGGTTTTTGCAGACTGCGGATGTACTCGCAAAAAAAAGATGTGAGAGTCTCTTCTCTTTCTCCAAAACTTGAGCGGGGGGAAGTGGTAAACTGCGCAGCCAATCATCGATGCTTAGATTCCTCGCCGCGCCAGACATTCCCGAAGCTGTCATTGACCTCACCCAGTTTCGCCCACGGATAGGCACACATCGATTGCTCTCTCAGCTTGTTGCCGTTCGCTAAGAGGCAATCAGAATCATCACGGTCACCGCCAGCTTCACCACCTGGCCTTGTGCCGACCTCGACAATGGCGGCGGCATTTGTACGAGCCGCAGGCACGCACTCCGCCAAAAGACTTTGCCTTCGACCTAGCTTTAAGCCCATTTCAAGACAATCGCCGCTCCTCTCCCGCACCATTGCTACGAGTCCCCGTCGAAATGCTACTGCAGAACCCTTTGATGCCGAGGCGCCGGTAGCCCCCCTAGGCACGACTCTCAGTCCGACCGACGCTTCCTTCGGCAAGCAGCTAGTTGTGGACTCGGATATGGGCGAAGAGTATCAACCAAGGAAGATTCGCCACTACACAGTCAACTTTGGGCCTCAGCATCCCGCCGCACACGGTGTGCTGCGTCTCATTCTCGAACTGAATGGAGAAGAAATCATCCGAGCAGATCCTCACGTCGGACTGCTACATCGCGGCACAGAAAAACTGATCGAGTACAAGACATATCTGCAGGCACTGCCGTACTTCGATCGATTCGACTACGTTTCAATGATGACCAATGAGCAAGTCTTCTCTCTTGCAGTCGAGAAGCTCCTCAACATTGAAATCCCTGAAAGAGCAAAGTATATTCGGACATTGTTTGGGGAAATCACCAGAATCCTCAACCACTTGATGTCGATCCTTTCCCACGCCATGGATGTGGGTGCTCTGACTCCGTTCTTGTGGGGTTTTGAGGAACGAGAGAAACTGATGGTGCGTCCACTTGCTACCGGACCCCTTGGACAGCGTCTAATTGCAGCAGGAATTCTACGAACGCGTTTCCGGTGCACGCCTTCATGCCGCATACGTTCGTCCTGGCGGCGTCAAGGCCGACTTGCCTCTTGGTCTTCTGGATGACATATACGCTTGGGCAACTCAATTCGGAGATCGTATTGACGAAACGGAGGAACTTCTCACCGACAACAGAATCTGGATCGGTAGAACTAAAGGTGTTGGCGTTGTTTCCGCTGCCGAAGCGCTCAACTATTCATTCTCCGGTGTCATGCTTCGGGGCTCAGGCGTTCCCTGGGATATTCGGAAAAGCCAGCCCTATGATGCATATGACAAGATCGAGTTTGACGTCCCGGTCGGTCAAAATGGTGATTGCTACGATCGCTACCTCTGCCGCATGGAGGAGTTCCGACAGTCTCTACGAATTATCCACCAGTGCTTGGACAAGATGCCACCTGGCCCTGTCAAGGTCGAAGACTACAAGATTTCACCACCGCCTCGAGCAGCAATGAAGGAGAACATGGAAGCACTAATTCACCATTTCTTGCTCTTCACCAAGGGGTACACTGTGCCACCCGGTGACACTTACACTGCGATCGAAGCTCCTAAGGGAGAAATGGGCGTCTATCTTGTCAGTGACGGAAGTGAACGGCCGTACCGATGCAAAGTTCGAGCCCCTGGCTTCGCCCATCTGGGCTGTTTCGATCAGATCAGCCGTGGACACCTCCTTGCTGATGCCGTTGCCATAATTGGCACAATGGACCTTGTGTTCGGTGAGGTAGACCGTTGATGAGGCAGAAGAACAACAATTCGAGCTTAGATACGTTCAATTTGGTTGAATTGTGGCGGCCTGGGAGTGACCTGAAGACATGATATGTCTGGAACACCCCTTTTCCCCGCAGCCGGTGTTTGGGGAGGTGGATAGCTGGATGGATTTCGGCAGAAGCACCGCTGAGGAACGAGCAAGCATCTCAGCCACCTCAGCTACGGGAAAGATAGTGATAGAGCGTGGTGAATGACGGGAGCAAGGCGACTTCTAGCAGCGCGTGTGCCATGTATATATTCTGCTAGCCGCATCGCAAATTGAATCGTGTTAAAAAGTGCATCCTGAGTCCGTCCTCTGTAAAAGTCGACGACAATACCTTCCACCTATCTGAATTCTAAGATAAAGAATTACGAGAGCATGAAGTAGGTACGATGCTTAGGGTGGGTGCCAGACTCAAAGGAGGTTTATCCAACTACGACTTTGATAGGATTAGGAAAACCTCTAGACGAGTCTTATATTATATGCTATACGAGGCTTATGCCAGAATTAAAGGCGGTTTATCTAACTGCTACTGAAGTTCGCAGCCAAGGGACCGGGAGGAGAAAATGGGGAACGAAATTGAACCTAAAATCAAGTCCTACTCGACAGCGTCAACGACAGTGTTAAGTAAAGCGTTCGATAGAGTAGAGCACTCGACAACGTCAAGCAAAGCGTTCGACAGAGCGGCACACTCGACAGAGGACAGAGCGATATAGACACTTGACAGAGCAACATACTCGATAGCATCAAGTAAAGCGTTCAACAGAGTCCCTTTCTAAACGGGCCTATTGACAATCAAGCATTCCCGGATCGTCACGCAGCCTCGGCCAAACCACCGAGTTGGGCCGGGGGCAGGGCCGGGGCCATGAAGCCTCGTCAACAGAACAAATCAACAGCATAGATCAACGGAATAGGCGGTAAGATCAGATCTCAGGCCTGAGAGAAAAGGTGTGGAGGTGGCCATCCGATCTCTTCGTCCACAACTAATTCGTTATCGGTTCTGGGTGCACTGAGGCAGCGGCCTGAAACCTACGAAACAACATTCGTCCAGTCGACCAGGCAACCATCTGAGATGATCAATGAATGGTATCTCAAGCAGGGTGGTCGGTCGAGCATACACTGAGCAGATCCAGGAATTGTTATCAAATCTGCGTGAGGGAAGGAGGTACAAGGGTGTCGCGACTTTGTTTGTAGGTCGAAAATGTGCCACAGCCCCGGGATAGGTCGATAGGCAAGAGATGTCGACCGAAGAGTTCTCTGTTGAATTGAGAATGTCTCTTTGTTGGTATTGTCAGACCCCTTAGTCATAGTCGTCAGGGTCCATGGTACCCAACTCCCATGTGCCGTATGTAGATTCGGAAGCCACCTCAACGATTGCGTTATCATCCACATAATATAACCGTACAGCTGTATCATTCCAGCCTACAGCTGCCATCGGTCCATTCGATATGCTTGAGTTTGGCGTGGATGACCCGAGATTGCTATTGGACCACCCGTTGTTCGAGTATTGCGCCTGCTGCATCTCGATGCCATCGAGGTAGAAGATCTGAGTCACATCCGGCGTATCGGAGCGTGCAACGCCAATGGAGCGAGGAAGCTCTTTTGGGATGGTCGCAGAAATGTTTTGTACTAGTGGAAGCTGTTAGTAACCGGCACACGTAAAACGAAGGCGGAAAGCACTCACCTGCTGACCACGTTGATTCCGTGTACGTCGAAGTTGTGTACTGCAACTGCTTCTGGTCGGAAAACCAGAAGAGCCATATGTCGTCCTTCACCATGGTTACACCAATGGGCGACGCAAGATGCGCCTTTGCACCATTGCTGATCGCTACCGGCGCGGTCCAGTCATTCTGAGGGGTATACCCGGCCTGGAGGACTGAGCCATCGCTGCCAATGTAGTACGTTCGTAGCATGTTGAGCTCGGGGGTCACGAGAGCTGATCCTGTCCCCGCAGGCGGTGCCGGGATCGCAGTGTTCATAGTGTTGGATGGTTCGGTACATAAAGAGCCGTTCTGGTAGCACCTGAATTCGAGACTGCCGAGACTACTCTGTCCTTGTGCAGCATATTGCAAGCGAATTTCCTGCCGCGTGATCATCAGCAATCTTGACATTCTGGCCAGATCACGATGTGAGCCTCACAAAGTAATCATTGTATTCCCAAGCAAGTACAGCCATTGGTGTATTGTCAATTGCCGGATAAGTCAAATTTAGTTTGGAAGGAGCCGCCCAGGTCGAGGGCACATTGTAATAGCCATGCATGTAAAGATCTCCATCGGATTTCTGCCACACGTGGAAAATCGTCACCTCAGCTTGCGTGGCTACAATTGAACGCATGGGGCTTGGTGCTGCAACCGGTGTCGGGGTTCCCAGCGTTCCACTGACATTACTTGTAGTTGACGGCGCTGTAGATGAGGCACTTGCTGTCGACGGAGCTGTAGATAGAGCACTCTGGCTAGACGTGTTCTGGTCAGTTTGCGAGCTCTTTGGCCATGGGGTTAGCGGATACGTAAGATTAGGAATGAGGCACGACGTACAGACTTGTGCCTTGTGCCGAGTACACCTCCTGTGACACCTCCGACGATGGCAGCCACGAGCACAATGAGAACTGTTAGCACTGTGAAGAAAACCCGCTTTCGTAAGCCACATATCCGGCTGTTCTCCTTGACAGGCACAACTGGCGGCTCATTCTCTCTCTTCAACGGATCACGGTCCGGGTTATAGACCGGCTCGAGCTGTGACACGTACTGGCGATCGGAAACCGGTTCAGGGTAGCTTTCGTACGTCCGCGGCGAGGTGTACGCTTCGGAGTAAGCATGACTGGAGTCATGTGGCTTTTGATACGATTGTGGTAGAGATCCAGTATGGTATGGCGACTCTGTTGGCTGCGGTCAAACATTCATCTTAGCTGATTGAGTGTATTGAAAAGAGGTCGATAACATACAGTACTTTGCAAACCATCCATCGTGAGAAATCAATCTGCCCTGTTCTGCGCGTTCGGTAGAGAACACGAGCATAATAGTATCTCAAGACACGACAGCAGGCTGGATCTTGTCAACGCAACATGGCTTTTTGCCAGCTCTCTGTCGGCCCAGACCATTTTCGTTTTCCGGCCCCGAAGTGCCCTGCCATCCTAGACTAGGGTTCTCTTCTGCAAGCTTCATTCAGGGCAAATGAAGCGGCGAATGATGAAAAGGCGGGCTTGCAGACTACCATCATAGTAGTATGGCCAAGGGCGACGTGAGCGAGCGACGGCGGCAGATGGGAGCCCAAGAAAAGGGTAGAGACAGGTCTCCGAGGGATCAAAACGTCCCAGATTTAGTAATGTGACGCTGTACGGAGTAGAAGGCCGCGCCCGTCTCGTGTATCCATTAATTAGACTTGTAACTATACTCTGTACGCGAGTAGTAGTTAGTAGCGGATCAGCTAGAAAGGGCCGTTCAGGACAATATTACACTGACCATCCTCATCGTCTATGCCCTACCTATCCGAACCAGTCTCCAACCGTAAAGGTGGGTTACAATACTGGCTCCAGGCGAGGTCTGGCCACTGCAATAGTCACGGCACAGTGCAGGCTACCACTTCAAGTCACTCCTGTAGCGTCGATTCTTACCATTGCCATTGGTCTGTAATATGTAGCGTTATGCATTGTCAGCGTGCAGTCATGGGAGTTGACCATATTGCGCCTGCGTCGAAGCTCTTCGTCCAGTTTTCTCCGTCTCCTGTGACCCCTCGATCAATGCGCCCACGGCTAATGGGGCTGCCCGGGACGGCCAGGCGGAAGAGCCGAGGTCGCCTACTGGTGATGGTATTCCGTACAAATGGTTGCTCGGTGGACTAAGCCCTATTCCTTGGAGGCTCTGCTCGACTTCCAGCCCCATCACAGGTCGCCTATTTCCTCCCTACTAGGTGTATAGTCGTCGTAGGAGGATAGCGACGGACGTAGGAGAGACGTAGTCGGAGGACACGGCGCACAAGAGGGAAGTTCGCAGCCAAGGGACTGGGAGGAGGAAATGGAGAACGAAATTGAACCTAAAATCAAGTCCACCGATTGTTGCCAACAAGATTTCAGTAGAGAACGAGGCGTGTAAGAGGTCTATAGGGAGGCCAAGCGTAAGTCGAATGGTGAGGAGAGATAAGAACAGAGTGAGTTGCTGGCAGATGGTTTTTAAAGTGGCATTGTTGGTTGAGCACCCACGTGAGCTGCGAGTAGTCTTCACGTTGGCTGAAACGCCATGTTGAAAGCATTGCTGCTGGACTGGGTGCATCTGAGGCTACGAAGATGGATCGATACCCCAAACAGATGTGCATGCTTCCAACCCATTATTATATGACAAGGAGCTTCGGAGGCACGGCAGATTCGCCGCAGATTCGTCCAAATTGAACTTGCTGCGTGGTGTGAGTTGCAGTGCAGTAGTTTTAACGCTGCTGGTTATGTATGGAGCATGGTAGAAGGACACGCCTGGGTCTTCTGGGAAGTAGAATTCTTATGGGACTTGGGCACTACCAAAGTCTTCCTTCGCATCTGGTCTATCCCAAGTCTGGGTTTCAAGATGGCGGACCCGTTGTTCAATGTGCTGCACCTTTGCATGGCTCTCCTTCTTCGCAGCCTCTTGCAGGTCGAACGTGTTTCTCAGCTGGTGCAGCATGAAGGGCTCGAGAGTGCTTTTCTTTGCGGTTCTATAGTCATAGACGACGGACTCCTCCAGGCACCGCGCGGCGGGCCGCTGACGGAGCTCCGAAATGATCAGGACGTCCAGCACGAGGGACTCGGTGGCTTCGTCCGGCCGTGACCGAAGCTTGTGGTAGACAGAGATCCGGTCGGGCCAGGTCATGGGGAACTTGAAGTCGACGGTGATGCTCTTGAGGATCAGCCCGATGCCGCGAGAGGTCAGCAGCTCTCTCCACTGCCGCTGGTGCGTCGGATCGAGGTGCTGGCTGTAGTTGAGAATCCAGTTGCACCGCGCGCTCTCCGCGAACCGTACGTACATGACGTTGTTGACGTGGCCCATCGAGTCCTGCTCGCCCCAGACGATGTTGTGTCGGTGCAGTCCCGCTCTTTTCTCATCTGTCAGATACCCTTCACTGCCTGCGACCAGTTCCCGCCAGTCGCGACCGAGGATCCGCAGAATCTCGCCCGCCTCGTCCACCATCTTCGGCGACATGCCGAATGTAATGCATCTCCCGATCCGGCTCTTGGTCTCACCCAACCATCGGGGCGACAGTGCGTTTTTTGTTTCACCGTGTGCTGGCCTTTGAACCGAAGAGTACCACCGAGGAGCAGCCGCTTGGAGCTGGTGACAGGCAGTAATTGCCTGAGAGGCATGCCGAACGGCGCGCTGAGCTATCATCTCGGTAGGACATGGCATTCACATGCCTCAAATGAATGTGCCGCAGGAACCAGGAGGCTGCGGGTTGGGGAAACGAACTATTATTATTAATTAGTACGGCGTGTATCATTTTGCTCTCTCGGAGGAATCTCGGTTGCCCACCTCGGAACTCTGATGTTCACAAGGCTGAGCAATACTAGTTCACTCAGCCGACAAAGCACGAGTAGTCCATTGTCCCTACGCTTACCAGAGCTTCAGTAGAGATGATAGTTTTGACCCGAACGAGCAATAAATGCAATGACGGAACGAGAAACTCCCCAACGACTTATACTTCGCAGGTAGTTAGGGATGTGATCTCCTTCTACATCCGAGGGGGGAAGCAAACCGATACATGAGCTTGGCGAGAGGAGAAAGTCGTACAGGACTCGTTGGTGTAGTGAGTAGCCCGACCGCTTCACTCTACCCGACGGAGAATCACAATGTCGATAGGTGCCATTGTATAACTATGCTCGGTGGAGAGAATGTTGGAAAGAATCAACTTGAGCACTGCTTCTCAAGTATCCGCTAAAGCAAACAGGCGAATTGAATACACCCGTTTCCGAGCAAGCCATCATCAAGTATCAGAAAAGCCCAAACACGCGACCATTGTCCGGTAATCAGGGTATCGTCGTCTTTTGAGTAAAGCATATTGCACTGCACCATTCATGGAACTGAACCAGTCCTGTTACCGTCATCGAAATGGGCAGGTTCACCGTTCAGCCCAATATTCGCAAAGCCTGCTTACTTTTGCCCCGAAAAGCTCTTCCTGCGCTCATGTTCTTTCGTGACCTCGGCTACCAGCTTATCGGTCTGCTCCTTGTCCTTCATCTCTCTTACTTTGGCCAGCACCACCTCTCGGAAAATGGCACTCTTTGCCGCATTACTTAGAGTTCTCTTCTCAGGGCCATCGCTCGTTGCAAGACCTCGGCCAGGAGACACACCTCTGACATGGTTCTTGACTGCCAGTCCGGCCGCATTTTGTGCGTTGGCAGGTATATCGTTGGCATCGGGGGACCCAGGATCCTCGTCGTCGAGCATCTTGAGAGCATCGATCCGGTTGGCCAGTTTGACCAGTTCAATACCACGTTTCAATTTCATCTTCGCCAAATAGGATCGGATCTCTGGCAAGAGATCATGCTCTGAGGCAGTCTCGCCGGTCAGCCAGATGTGCTTGAGTGCTTCTTTGCTGGTGGCGCGTCGTTTGGGATCTGGTTGTAGGAGACTCATTATGAAACCTTTGGCGTCTTTACTGACATCCTTCCAGTATCTTTCATGGAAGATGATACGACCGCTCTTGCATTCGTCTATCAGATCTGCGAGATTTTCCGATCGAAAGGGAGAATAGCCGCAGAGAAGCGTGTAGGTGATGACGCCCAGAGACCACATGTCCACCGGTTTGCCGTGCCCCTGCTTAAGCATGACTTCCGGAGCAGCATAACCAAATGATCCAGCCATAGATGTCAGGACTGCACCTGGGCTATCGAGCGCTTTGGCAATGCCAAAGTCGGCAAGAACCAATTGGGAGTTGGGATCCTTGGTCAGATAGAGGAGATTTTCAGGCTTGAGGTCTGCAAAGATCCAACAGGTCAGGCTAATCCTAACAGTATGCCACACCACTCACCTCTGTGAACGATATTTCGTTCATGAAGATAATCGACAGCCTCAAGGACCTGCTTGATGGTCTGCGACGCATCCTTCTCCGTGAATTTGCCCTTATCGCAAATCCGGTCGAAGAGTTCACCTCCGGTAGCAAGCTGGGTCACGATATAGAACTTGTCCTACCGCCGAGTCAGCTCATACGAGGCCCAGGAAGGAAAGAGATTTGGAGCCTACTCTTGACTCGAACCAGTCCACAAACTTGACAATATGAGGATGGTCAAGAGTCCGAAGCATGTTCAACTCATCGTAGACCATTTGTTCATTGCCTTTCACGCTTTTTTTGAGGATGATCTTGACTGCAACCTTGTCCCCACTCACTTCGGCTTCTCGAACGATGCCGTACGTGCCTGCACCAAGAGTCTTTCCAAATCGATACTGTGCTTTCTTCTCGTAACTGTCAGGCTGGCCTTGCAGCTTGTTCAACATGCCGGTCACTGGAAGTCAATTGATTAGCCTGATGCTCTGGACAGTTTGTGCCTGAGTTCCCGACAACCACACTGCACGGGCCCAACCCTTCCATTTACCAGTTGACACGGGGAAGAAGAGTACAAAGACTTACAACTCATGGTTGCGACCGTTCAGGCAGTGCCTGCGCACCAGACTTCGCTAGACCGTCAAGATATTTCAAGCCGATTCCGCCACTTGAGAGAAGGAAAATAGTGTATATGTTCGAATTAACGATGAGCTGAAAGATCTTCTGGGAAGAGAACTTCGGCACTTGCACTGCAGTCAGCTCCTTCGCAACAGCTGCACGCAGTAGCAGCCTGCGCACGAGGTTGCGGGGTAGGGTCGAGGCAGACGGCGATGGAGCCAAATCTACGCGGAGTACTGCAGGGACAGCAAGAGCGACAAATGGAAGGAACCTAGCAAGAAGTCATGCAATGTTTGCTCAAGGAGTAGTTGCCGCAAAGCTGCTAGAAGAGAAAAGGTAATTGTACACAGCAGCTGGTCAGCTGGAGTCACCCGCGACAGTCGATCATTTTGGGGGCTGTGTTTCGTGGCGGAGCATGTGAATGGGTACGAGGAGCTCCAGCAAACATGGTTGCCAGTTCAGCTGAAGAAGGCGGCTGCTGCCCTGCGGTACGAGCCAGCTCTCATTGCCTTAACAAATTGCCTGTATTAGTCCCTAATTGGAAGGCACCTATGCTTCATATTCGTACACTAAGTAGTGGTTTTTGCCCGTGGTACTGCGGAATCCTGCGTTTCCCAATCGTGTATCCAATGCCATCGCTGACTAGTTCTATAACCCAATTACCTCCAGAGTCCTGTACCAAACCACACGGGAACTTTAGGCGGAAAGAAGGAGCAACACCTGTCAATCTTCGTGGTGGCTTTTTCTCTTTATACTGCCCAATCTCTTCCTCAACCCGCCGCTCAGCCTTTTGCTGATGCTTCCACTTCGACTCACCTGGCTGTGGCCAGCATCCCAGCTATCGGCGGGAACGGCACCGCTACTGCTGCGGTGTCTGGTCTCCAATTCGATGCCTTCACTCCCGACTTTGTCGTCACTGATCGAATGCTCCTTCAAACCTTTCTCGATGCTGTAGCTAGGCTCGCCCTTGCCTTTGATATCCTCGGGAAGATATTCAACGCCGGGCCATCGTTTGTATGCGCCGCCTCCAGGACTATTTTCAATCATCATGTTGTCGCCTTCCGCATAATGATACACGTTGCCCATTGGGTCCTGATAGCCTGGGGGATAAGCCGCGACCCCGTCGAGAGGTCGATGGCGCACCACACTGTCGATGATTCTCTCCCTTGGGGTGGCTTTGAGAGCTTCGGCATTGGAATCAGCCAGTGCGGCAAGAGGCGAGTTGGCCGAGTTGTTCCGGGCAAATAAGGTGGCATCGTAGGGTCCTCCATGATGCCAAGCAGTACCTCCACTATGGTCAAGATTGTCGACTATATCCGGAGGAATATGATGTTTCTTGGTGGCATAGCGCGCGCGGTCTGCCGCAGCCTTTTCTTTCGCCAGTTGATCCAATGGCCGATGTGACATGTCGCCAGGATACCGCTCGGATAAGGAGCTTCCCCTGCGGCGTCCAGTTCCAGTAGGCTTGTTGTCGTTGCCGAAAGCTTCTTGCCTGTGACTGGGAGACCGAGGCGAATGTGGAGATTGCCTCAAGATTGGGGAAGCGGTTGAAGACGCAGGAGAGGCGTTCAAGCTCCCACGACCATTGATGTTGCTGTTGCTATTGCTGGGACTGTGTAGGGAAGCGCTTCGTCTGATCTCCGTCGTGGTCGTTGTAGATAGAGAGCCTTTGCGGTAGGGATTCTTCGAGAGCCGTCGACCAGATGTGTGTCTTGATGGTGGCGAGGCCTGAACCGGAGGAACACTGGCACCTGGACGGAAGGTGTTCCCAGGACCATCCTCCTGTGACGGCTCGGGCGCGTTCAAAGGGTCAAGAAGATACTTGGATGCCTGCGGAAGAAAAGGTCAACTTTGCGCAGGACAAGTCAGGCTCGACTACCTGATCAGCGGCGGTGACGTACCCATTCCTTGTCGGTCGCAGAATCCATCTTGGACTGTCGCAGCGCACAAGACCTCGCGCGGTGCTGGAAAGGATCAAACAGGGCGTGTATGGAAAATGGATATTATGTACAATACAGTGTTGAGGGAAGAGGTGGTGGAAGATGCAGTCCTGTTGCAGCTCAATGCGATGGAAGACGATGCAGTCATACTCTCCACCAGAGACGGAGCATGGCGGGACAAGCTCTGCACTGCCCGGGAACCCTTCTACGAGTAGGTAGGGACTACGTACCTAGGTAGTAATAACCCGTGTCACACACAGTACGTACGGATAAATTGCCGCGTCACTGGCATTTGATACTATAATGGGAGGTGCTAGACTGCTAGTAGCATCACTAGTGCCTGTGACAACCCCAGCTAGGCAACTAGTTTCACCTGGGAAGTCGAGGCTGTCATCCAGTATTGGCTCTGTCGCAGTCTTAGTACTACTCCGTACTCCGTAGCGTTCATAAAATGGCAGGCATATTTATTACAGCTGGTCGGTGCCTGGTATCCGTATTGTTGGTAGAACCAGAATCACGCATATAAGAGAGCTGGTAATTCAGGTAGGTACCTGGGTAGATACCCAATAATGCCTACCTTACCTACCTTACCTAAGGTACCTACCTATCTTCCCGCCGCAGCCGCGTCATCAGCAATTGCCCCTGCCCATCATTGCGTCACCAGGTTAGGTGCCAGCACGCCAGGTAGCAAGTTCGCGACCAGAGATATACGGATACACAATTTCAGAAACAACAAACTTCACGAGCTACTCGTACTGGCTGTGGATCGTGTGGTCATTGGCTCTACTGCTGACGCTTCCACGACAGTCCGACCCGGTGCAAAGGTAAGCTTCTTGTGACGGCAGGACGCCGGACCCAGTTAAAGGACGCTTCGACTGGTACTCGTACGGATAGATGGACTGCACGTTCCGACTGCAGGTTTCTTGTGAGCACTCTTGAGTATGGAGGCTGCTTTTCAAGTAGTGCCACAAGGTTCTTAGATGTTGAGAATCTTGTCTCTATGATCGCCATCAGATATGTGTAGAAAAGGCACAGATATCCAGAGGACATGTAGAGCGGCAGAAGAGCGCCGGATGGGAACAGGCGGGAGGCCTAAGGCTAAGCTAGTCCCAATTGGACTATCGATAACTCGCCATTTTGACCTCGTCACTGTCCACCACCATATCCCATTTTTCCACTCCAGTGCTCTAGATATCTGTTGGCATCCGTACTGACGTGGCCTCAAATCTCCATCCTTCTGATCGTCCAGACTCCGCCGACCGGGAAGACCGAGCGATCATCCGCTATCTTCGCCGTGGGTGGCACCTGTGCCATGTTTTCCTGAGCACGAACCATGCTGGTTGATTATTCAGAATCCAGTTCGGACAGCGATCAGCCATTCAAAAGTAAGAATGTTGGCACCAGGAAACGCAAGGCTGAAGATGCTGCTCCCGTCCAAGTCGAGCCTAAACCGCCTCCACGGCTCCCAGCCTCCTTTCACTCTCTGTATGCGGCAAACGTGAGGACTTCTGCCACCGATGATCCCACACTGCATGCTGGCAGAACCCGTCAGGTACCTCATGTAGTAGGTAATTGGTCGACCCATGTTTATCTCGAGTGGTCTCCGTCCAAGACTGAGGTTGGGATACTCGACAAGGTGCTCGAGAAAGCCGCAGAGGCCCTCGGTTCAGGCAGTGGTATTGCTGGCACTCAGATACACAGCTTTCTGCGCTCAGATTTAGGAGCCCTGCTGCCTCTTCACGTGAGCTTGTCCGCTCCGCTTGTACTAAAGACGGAGCAGAAGATTGCCTTTCAAGAAAGTCTGCTCAGCAAGTTGACCAAAACTCACCTGAAGCCGTTTACGGTTCACGTCATTGGGCTGGACTGGGTTTCAAATGAGACCCGATCAAGGTTCTTTCTAGTGCTAAGGTTGACTAAGCCCGACAACGATGAATTGAACATGCTCTTGTCAGTATGCAACGCAGTCGCTCGTCAATTCGGGCTCGCAACGCTGTACGATAGTTCGAGATCCCCACAGAAAATCGATAACACGCACGCGTTTCATATCAGTATCGCCTGGACTTTGCAGCAGCCTGATGATCAAGCACAAGGGCAACCTGTGGATATCGGGGTCGATGAGTTACGCGGACTTACGATGAAATTTTCCTTTCTGAAGTTGAAAATCGGCAATTTCGTGGCAGATATTCCATTCGCAAAACACCGAGATTGGGAACCATAAGAGAATAGGCTACGAACTAATGGGTTTGATCGTTTCATGATCAGTTGCTCGGAATGATGCAAACGCCTAAACGGCTACCCCAATCTAGGTCCATCTTCATTCTCTCACACGACTGTCTATAGACAGAGTCGGAGCCGCTGCTCATAACCTTTCAATGGTCTTCTTCAACCATCAAGCTTTCCTCCGAAGCGGACCTGAGTCTTCGCTCAGAATGACATCCCGCAAGAGGTGCCACCAGCTTGTCCTTTCTCTGATGCGGCGCAAGCTACTTCTCCGCTTATGACCCAACCCAGATCTCCCTTGATGAGGAGGCTTCTTTTGTGCTCCTGATGGTGCGAAAAGACGCATACCTCGCAAGCTAGACGGCATGCTGCCGATGCCGGGAAGCGGTTATGGCTGTTAGGGTCCTTGAGACCGGCACGTATGCACATGTCGTGGTCCTTGACTGGGACGGAAATACTCCTCGATATGTACCGGCAATCGCCTTGCGCTGACAATTGCATGTTCTTGTGGGCGCGGTGAATGGGTCCGACAGATGCCGGATGGTATGGCCGTGGCAATAATACATGCATCAGGAAGAGATCAGCTTTTCAGCAATTTGTTCCTCTTCTCTCTTCGCTTTCTTCTTTCCACCAATTTCTTATGCATCTTTTCAGCCATCTTTTCGTATCGTTCTTTTTCTTCTCTGGCCTTTCTCCGATCCTTGATGACTTGTATTCTTTCAGTCCGTTGCTGCTCTTTCTCTGCTTTCATCTCTTGCTCTTTGGCTTTTATTGCTTGCTTGATCTTGTCCTGTTCTTTCCTTTTGGCGTAGGATATCTGGCCAGCTGTCGGGCGGAATGCCTTTTTGGGAGCATGCCAGTTTTTGCCTGCGCACAAGTTAGTGTCATATATGTGCGTGCTTGGAGACTTCTTCTACCATTGACTCGCATCCCGGGCATCTGTATGGTCTTCGACGGTTCGGAAGGGGTCGCAGTGCTTAGTGTCCTTGAGGCGGCCTCGCCGGTGCCAGACAAAGCGGCAGTCATTGCGTAGATTCTTGCGTCGAGATTACAGTGCAACCGCAGAATCAGGCCAAGAGGGTATGGAGCACCGTTCAGACAAATCCCTAATCCGCCGGCAATTAACCACCTCGACGCAATTTGAATGCAAGTACTATGTGTACTAGAGGACGATGGAGGGAATTGGCGGTCCCGTAATACTTGGCCGCAGTAACAGAATTTGTTAATCTAATCTGATAATCATTATCTTAGCGTTCATCGGTCACCGCGCCATGCCTAATTCATGCATTTGGTTTCCGCTCTTCATGCGCCTTCAGCCTGCCACCCCTCGTCCTCACCCGCCGAAAAAAAGTGCCCTGTCACAACTCACGACATCGGTGCAAATTTTGTTTCTCACGCATTTCTAGCACGCATTGGCGGGTTCCATCAAGCCATACACGCATCCTCGTCCAGCATCAAGTATTGGTCTGGCAAATGCCGCCTTGAGATTTGCCCAGTCGACGTGACTCCTGGTTTCGATTCTCCACCGTAACCGACACCGCCTCGAGCGTCCTTCAAGAAGGAGCTTTTATCCTCCTCTGGCGAAGGGTGTCATTTCACACACTACAACATGTCTCTACAGTAGCAGACCTTGTCCCTGCAACCCGCTTTCAGTCCTCCTTCTCCAACCTCCCTTTTCTGCATGGCAGCCTTCAAAGATGAGCTGCCAACCGTCGACGGCCTCGAGCCGGTCCACAAGCCAACCCCACCACATCCTGACCTCGTAACCCCGCCAAATCAGAGCGTCGAGGCGTTGAAAGACATTTCCTTTGGGTCAATAGCAGGAGTGTTGGGCAAATTTGTGGAATACCCGTTTGATACGGTCAAGGTCCGGCTACAATCTCAGACGACCGAACTTGGGCCTCATCGGCTTCGAGGACCGCTCGATGCCTTCTCCGCTGCGTTTCGAGCACCCGAGGGACCTCTGGTCTCGTTGTACCGTGGAATCAGCGCGCCGCTTCTGGGGGCGGCAATCGAAACATCTTCCTTGTTCTTCAGTTATCGGATTGCCCAGGACATCATTGTGGCGAACTCTGCATCCCTCCGCCTGCTCCGAGACCAGAACGGCGGTAAAATCGAGCTCCCTTTTTCTTACCTCCTCGGATGCGGGGCTGCCTCGGGGGCGTTTACTTCTCTCCTTCTTACTCCCATTGAGTTGGTGAAATGCAAAATGCAAGTCCCTATCCCACCCTCTGATATGGCTGCAAAACTTGGCTACACAAGCGCGCAACCTCCTGGGCCTCTGGCACTAGTCCGCACAATATTCCGTACCCAAGGCATTCTCGGTTTCTGGCATGGCCAACTGGGGACTCTGATCCGCGAGACTGGGGGATCGGCTGCTTGGTTCGGCTCCTACGAGGGTGTCAAGATGCTGTTCTTGAAATACGACCCGTCGGTGTCACAGATAGCGGACGTCAAAGTCTGGCAGCAGATGTGTGCTGGCGCCGCTGCAGGAATGTCATACAACTTTGTCTTCTACCCCGCCGATACGATCAAATCGCGGATGCAGACCAGCGTTGCCGACGCCGCAGTGGTCAAGAAAATGACCTTTGCATCTACGGGTCGTCAATTATGGCGCGAGCAGGGGCTCAAAGGATTCTATCGTGGCTGTGGAATCACAGTTTTCCGAAGTGCCCCGAGTTCGGCTATCATTTTCAGTATATACGAGACCTTGAGGAAGTATTTTGGGTAGATGTTTGCAGAACATGCCACAGACATTCCCGGCGCCCTTTGAGCATGAACGCCACAGATCGAACCCAAAGAGAGTTAGCATCGGGGCAGGATAGTCATCTTGTGCCTTGGCGGAGAAGCAGGAATTCTTTGGACAGCGTGGTCTGTGGAGAGATCCAGTTCATGGAGTTTCGGCCACTGGCATAATTCCGAGCGTCCGAAAGCTGGATGAGTTGACACATTGTCGGATGAGATGGGACGAAATCTCTTCGACGACGATCATGGGGCCAACTATGGTGCAGTCGCCTCTTGAGGGCTTCCCTGAAGGGGACTTTGCCCAAGCATTCAGGGATCTAGATTGGGCCTAGAGGTGTCGGCGTCGGCGTTTGATATACGTGAAGTTTTCCGAATCTGCGGAGAGATGTCTTAGAGGGACACACAGCATCAAGCCTGTGAAGTCGCGTTCGCGTCAGCTTGAGTTTGTTGCAACCTATGCAGTGTTTCATTCGAGGGTTGAGGTTTCATGACTTGGCATATAGAGATAACGAGCATATAGAGTACATAGACTGGATGGATATTCGGAAACGATGGTTAGGTACCTTTTATGAGGAAAATGGGAAGTCAATGCATTTGGAATCTCTTCTGCCCCTCTTTCTTGGGACACTTCGATTCACATTTGATCCAGCTTGTAGCCTGCTTTGATTCAGCCTGCTGCAACCGTATCCCGCAACCGCAATCTTTCCTCCGCTTTGAACTATACAGAGTAATAAAGCGTGCCGAGCTCTCGGCGACGAGTGTAGCATACCTAGTAACGACAGCAACTTGGATGTGCCATCGTATCTTCAGGATGACCCTCGCAACGACCATTGGATAACGTGACAATGGGGGATGCCCTTGGCTCAACACACTGAAAGGTCACGATCAGTGCATTGGTCAATCAGCTTAGCTGCCTTCTTGAGGAGCCAGCTCATATGAGCCAGGAGAGTCGAGCAAGACAAGATCCGGAAAGTCGGCCCAGGTAGGATCAAATTTCGGGCCTAGTAGGGCTTCAGACAGTTGAGAGGGGTTGCTTCCTTGCTCGAGGCTCCTCGTGAAGACTTCGTGGGCGCTTGGGATCGGCACATGTTCTTGCTCCAGTTGAGCTCTGCAATCATGGACCAGACCTTGGAGGGCCTGTTGCATCAGCATCTCTTTCGGTTGGCCTGGCTGGTCCGGCAAGACCGAGGTGAGGACGACGTTGAAGTAGACGAGGTCTTTGAAGCTGGCGCCAGGATGGAGAAGCCGGCGTTTCATTGAATCGAGCGTATCCTTGACACTATCCATCATGTTTGCTGTCGTGTATGGCAGAGCTGGTGCTCTTGCGGCTTTACCGTGGTTGGGCGTCCCGTTCAATGGGGCTGATATTGAGCCTGCCGGAGTCGACTCGGTCTCTACTCCCTCCGTTACAGAAGTCAATCCCTGTCCCCTGGCTGCGCACGTAAACCGTTTGATCTCGAGGCATAGGCCAAGCATGGCCTGGCCCAGCTCGTACCTGTAGACGTTGTAGAAGAAATCCCAGTAACCTTCAGGTCGCGGGACGTTGACCTCGGAAAATTGTGGATCAAAGAGATCCTGGAAGGTTGTCAGCATCAGGCATGACTGCAGAAACCCTGCCCTGGCCTCCTGTTGGATGTGCTCTGCATTGGGCGCCGAGGCGCAGCAGGAATACAAATGCATCAGGGGGCGTCTGATGCTAATGTCGAGCTCCATCCGGGCCATCAGCCGAGGAGGAGTCTTGCTTGCTTGGTCGCCCATGTAACTGAAGCGCAGAGGCGGAGGAAGCTCCTGTAGCGCTCTTTCCAGGTACCGAGTGTGCAGAAGCACGTCTTGAAACTTCGCATGGCCAGGGCTGGAGCTGTCCATCTGTTTACACGCCGCAAGGCGACGCGGGAATGACTGCGAGAGTACGTACTGGCACAGGCCATCGGTCCATTCCTCCAGGGGTCGGGATTGAGGAAGAGCCTCTATCCCTTCAAAAATCTCTTCATCGTTGACGTTTTGTGGATGTTTCGCCGTGTATGGCGGGACCAGGCAGGGCAGCTTACATAGGATCGACAGCATAAGGTCGCACTCGATGATGGTCATCCAACAGCGTCGCCGAAGCTCCCCTTGAAAAACACTCACGCCGGGAAGGGTTGAAGGGTCTTGGTCCATTTTCATCACCAAAGCGTCTCGGACAAGCTCTCCGTTGAGCCGGAATAGGTCATCGATTGGAAATTTCAGATCCATCACGACCCAATTCAACATCAGCACCAGCATCTTGACTTGCAATGCTGGAAGCAAGTATCTCTGTCGGTCTCGGAGCCCGCGGAGGAATTCGTTGATGAAATTTAAGGCGATGGGTCGTTGAAGAATAGGATACGACATGCCGGCGTCGTATTCAGGGTGTGTGCCGAAACTTGCGGCGATTGCCAGGACGCCTACCAGTTGAGGAATGAATCCAAATCTACAGGCTTTCTCTCCGAGCCCGTCCGTGAAGAAGACTTTGAGTTGGTCCCTAAACTCGGGCCAATGCAGGATCCGAAAGCAGTGTTCCAGGTTGTCAAAGTAGTGAACGGCCAGTTTTTCGCAGAGGTGGAATGGAGGCAAGTGTAACCGTCGGTGGTGGTCTTGATTCGCCAACAATCCCAGCGACACTGGCACATTGCGACGCTTCTGGCTAGCTGTTTCAATCGCATGATGGAGGCACTGGAGCTGAGTCCGCAAGTTGACCATGTCAGCGCTGCCAGAATTGTCATGCAATTTTTTCAGAAATGAACATGCGTCCGGGAACCGCGGCTTCATTTTAGCCCTGACGGCAGGGCCATGTTCAGCTTCGGCTTCAGCTTCATCTTCATCGACGAAGATCCTTGACGGCGAGGAATCGTGCGGAGTGCGAGAAATAACTACCGACCCCTCACTTCCACTTCGTCGTTGATCCTGAGAGAGGAGAGCATGCTCCAGCCTTGCCACCCTCTCTTGGAGGTCTTCGATAACGCCTCGTCGCACCGGCACTGGCGCCGGTGAGAAGCCTTGTCTGCGCTCTCGGGGGTGCTCGAAGGTGTCTCTTGCATCACTTGCGCTGTCAGCCACCCCAAAATGGGCCTGCTCCAAGCGCGGCCTCTTGTACGCAATTCCCACGGCCGCTGAGTAGGCAGCGTTGAGCTCCGGTTCTTGTCCAGCTTGATATTCGCATCTCGCGGGGCGGCCAGTCTTGAGACATTGCTGACATGGATGCGTCCGATCACATTTGAGCTTCTTCCTTCTACATTCGAGACAGGAGATCACGGGCCGTGGTCGCTTGGTCGGTGCTGGTGCTGGCGTTGGTGTTGGTGTTGGTGCTGAACGAACATGGCTGGGTGTTTCCGCCATCTCCTCAGAGGCAGGCAATGTCACCGAGACGAGACACAGAGAGCCGCCTGGAAGACTGCACTACTGCATTCGACGAGGTTATACATGGTCAGAGGGTCAGAGACTCCGATCACCTTGCGCCTGTAGAGATCATGTGGTGAAGGTTACGTGTTTGAAACATGGGGAGCTGTTTGTCTGAGGTACTGAACATGGATAGATAGATACATGGACATCAGTTGGCCAATTGATTACGGGAGTTTTATTTTCGAGCCTCGGTTCGCGGGGCTCAGACTGCGGCAGTCCACCACCACCATCAGCAGGAGGGATTCGATACCAGTATCTCCTGGCGTCTTCTCTCCTGGCAGATACCATCTCAACTCTCGCCATGGACGCCAACTTCAAGCGCATCATTGACTTCATCCAGTCCAAAAAGAAACTCTCACATCCTTGGAAGCGCCAGGAACGCTACGATCAACCCTACTATTCCTTCTCTCCGCAGCGCGCTTCATGGCAGCAGACCTTACCGTCCAAAGCCCCCCCGACCCAGACCCAGACGACTGCGTCTCTCAGATTCACAGTTCTCTCATGGAACATTGACTTTATGCTGCCCTTCCCCGATGAGAGAATGCGCGCCGCCCTTAGGCATCTAGAATCGCAGGTCCAATCTGCTTCTAGCCCGACTATAATCATGCTGCAAGAGATGCTGCAATCCGATCTCACCCTGATTCAGGCTCAGCCGTGGGTTCGTGACAACTACTGCATGACCGATATAGACAGCAAATACTGGGAGTCTGGCCATTACGGCACCTGTACGCTGATCCCCAAAGCCTGGTCCATCGCTGCGGTGTTCCGAGTCCACTACGAAGCGACTGTCATGGAACGAGATGGTCTATTCGTCGATCTCGACTTTGGCCGTGGTCTCATTGTCCGGAATTGCAACACGCATCTTGAGTCATTGGTCGCCGATCCTCCAAGGCGGCCACACCAGCTCGCCACGTCGGCCAAGTTCATGCATGACCCGAGAGTTTGTGGCAGTGTGTTGGGAGGCGATCTTAACGCCATTCAGGACTTCGATCGAAGCCTCCACTCGGACAACGACCTTCAAGACGCCTATTTGAGCCTCGGTGGAAGGGAAGACAGTGACGGCGGATATACTTGGGGCCAGATGGCAGCAGTCAGCCAGAGACAGATGTTTGGGTGTAGCCGGATGGACAAGTTGTTCTTCTGTGGGAAGCTTAAATGCGAAACGTTCGAAAGGGTTGGCCTTGGTGTCGAAGTGGACGAGGACCATGTCAAAAAAACCTTGGTCGAAGAGAGAGGCCTGGAAAGGGGCTATGTCACGGATCACGTTGGTGTCAAGGCAGAGTTCAGTGTCGTTGGACAAGGATCCCAGGAGAATGTCAAGGCCGTCCCAGAAACGTCCTAGGCGGCCCACGCACGAGTTCATGCATCTCATGCAGTGATACCGGATGCCAAATTCGACTTCTCAATCACGCCGTCCATGATACTCCTTCCACTGATGACCCCGGTCGTACAAATGACAATCTTTCTTCTCTGCCCAGATTCGGTCATCTTACGTCCAATGAACCTCAAGGCCGCAACTTCTGCGAACGTGATACCGCCGAGAAACATGACAAACACGGTTTTCGAAACGCCGGTGCCAGCTAGGGCGGCCTTGACCTTTGCTGCCTTCTCGTCCGTTGGCTTCTGCGCAAGGGTGAAGGTCGGGCCCTTGACCGACTTCAAAATATCCTCAAAGCCTGTCCAGCCTGTACTCGATGACGTCAACGGTAATGGTGATTTATGCAGCGACTGAAGGTACTGTTTCTGGAGAACACACTGCACGATCCTGATGCTTAGCGGCGCATAGCCCGAATAGACGTACGCGACATCCTCCGGATCTTGTTCATTGTATTCGTCGATAATCAGGCGCAGTCCTTTGCGCAGATATGCATAATTCGTCTTGGTCCCCTTCTCAGACTGACTGCCTCCTCCACCAACTGGGAGGAGCAGTGCTGACGCGGACGACCGAGGCTGGAGAAGTTCCATGGTCTCCAACGCATCGAGAGTAAGGAGATGATGGAAACCGTAAGCATGAAGGATTTGGCGTCGAAATGAATCCAGATCCTTCGGTCGCAGTCCACCGGCCACAGCAGACTCGAGACATAGAAGGCGGAGAATGGTACTCAGAGGTGCATCCCGAGCAATGAGTTCTTCAATGGTTTCGTGCTGGTATATCGGATCAGTGCCAGCGGCTATATTCTGTTGAACCTCCAACTCTCGATTGAAGGTGTCGGAGCGGGTATGTTTGATCAGGTCATCGGCAAGGTTAGTATGGATTGCCAGGGACTGATGCTCCTGTTGGAACGTGGGCAACTTGTTCACGAATTCTCGTAATTCGTTGATGCCGCGAGCGTGGTGGCGTCCTTCATAGTCTGACTCAAGACGTCGAGCAATCTTGTTCAAATGTGGACCAATAAGCGCGAAGTTGGCGGAGCGAAGTTGTTCATACAAGGGATCGGACGAATCCAACTGAATCTTACGCTTGAATCCTTGTCGGACTGCCGGGGGTGGAGGCGTTGAGGACGAACCGGCCTGGGACCGCTGCTGAGGAGCAGCTCCAATGATGGATGAGTCGACTTCGGCCCTGTTGTGCTTGATCCCCACCAGCTCGTCAATCAAGCCTTCGTAGGTCAACTGTGTGAGCAATGGAGTGGCGAAGTCAACGTCACGATCAATGATGATCAGTTGTTCAATTGAGGTACTCGGCATGCTGGTGTATTGTGTAGCAGCTTCGTCCGCGTCTAGCTCTTTGCGTGCTCGAAGTAAAAGGTTGGCAAGTTTCCTAGCATTGTCGCCTTTCCCCAGGATGCGCGGGAATAAGCCATGTCGCTGCTGAATCTGCATGAGAGCTTTGGCAGCGAGATAGAGTGGTCCCGGATCGTGCCTCTGTGCATGCGGATTAGAGTCACCACTTATCTACAATCTCAGCTTTCACTGCAAACGTACCAAGTAGAGGTCGTTGAATGTTTCGTCCATTTCCAGGGACAGCATATCATCTTCCAAGGGGAGAAAGAATATAGGCAGCTCCAAGATGTTGACGTCGCCCAATACCCCTGCATCCTCGAGGATTTTGTTGGAGACAAGGGTTCTCCGGGGAACCCATATAACCGAGATTTCATGCTCGACAGAGCCATTCTTCTGGAGCTTCTTGATTTGTTCTGAGATAGGAAGTGTCAGCATTTGATTGGAAAGAAGACTGACAGCGGGAAACACAGGAAGCTATCCACGCAGTCCCCTCTGTGAACCAACCGTACCTCTCTCGACTTACCTGCTACTGTCTGAACCAAGCTAGGCTTTTCTCCATGAACCAGATAAACAATATTCCTCTGGGATGAGTCGGTGTTGCCATTTTCTAGCTCGAACACCTTGTCTACGCCGTATTCCTTGAGCTGGGAAAATTGGACGAACAATCCCAACCCCCCGGTCAAGTCTTTTCCAATTACCAGGTTCTTCTTGCCCCGGACCTGTGGAAAGGATCAGCACTGAGATAAGAGACGGTCTGCGCTCTTGTCCTTGCTCACTCCTTCAAGTAGGCCGAGGAGCTCTTTTCTCGCTTTGTCTCGGATGTGTTCTGCTTCTTTGTCTATGTTGGGGGCCATCAGCCCTAACCTTGATTGGAGCCTTACGAGGGCTCCATCAGCGTATGATATGAGGCCAGTGGTACCCGGCAGCTGGGCCAGTCTGGGGTTCAAGTTGTAAGCTTTTAAATTGGCCTATAAGGTAGTAGTAGTACTACTTGGTACCAGCGCAAGATTCACCGCGGTGGCTGTTCGCGACTCGGAGTTCTGAGGTCAAACTTGGCACCAGACTTGCCAAGGCAAATGCAAAAGCGGCGTGTCGGGCGGTTGAGGTCGAGACTCATTAGTAGGAGGCAGGTGCGGAGCCTGGCCGCATAGTTGACTGCGGCAGAGCCACTCCTGATTCCGTTCTGCACCGCCTGTCAGCCACGTCCTCGCGTTTCAGCTGGACGGCTTATATCAACCACGTCGACGCACCTCCCTCTGTGAACTGCTCCCAGAGAGAGTAACAACTACCAACTGCTATCTCTACTGTTCGACTTTCACTCCTCTGTCGTCCGCCACAGCCTCCCCCTCCGCCTCCGCCTCAATGGGCAAATTCAGTTTCAAGAAGGGTGACAATGAGGAAGACTCTAGCCGACTCGCATTGTTTGGCTCCCGATCCAAATCCAAGTCTCCTGCTCCTCCCTCCTCAAACCCCTACGCACAGACTGCTGTACCCCCAGACCCTTATACGAGGGCAAAGATGAATGCTGGGATCGCACCTCCACAGGGCCAAGGGCAGGCTGCGGCTGGATACCGCCCTGGACCAGGGCCTCAAGGCAGCTTCAGCGGTTTGCCAGGCCCCGGACAACAAAGACCGTCATTTAATAGGGACAATTCATTTGGGGGAGGGCCGCCAAACCAACCTACAGGAGACAGCAGACACGATCCCTCTCAGGCTAGTGCTGGCAGTGGTGGATACGGTGCCGAGAAGTTCGGGAATCAAAATGGATATGGCGCTGGAGGCAGTGGAGGTAACCCGTATGCCAGCATTCAACAGACAAGCGGCATGATGAGGCAAGGCGGCTATGGCGGACTCGGACCTTCCAGCGTTGACAATGACCCAAACCGGGACGCACTATTCGGCGGAGTAAAACAACGTCTGGAGCAAAAGCAACAGAGCCCGGTAGGTGGGCCTCCAGACTATCAGTACGACGCCTCTAAGAATGCTGGGGATCAGAGTTATGGAGCTTATGGCGACCGGCAACTCACCGCCGAGGAGGAAGAGGAAGAGGACATTCAAGCGACCAAGCAAGAGGTTAGGTTTATGAAGCAGCAAGATGTGGCTTCGACGAGAAATGCTATTCGTGTCGCTGCTCAAGCTGAAGAGATGGGCCGAAACACTCTCGCCCGGCTCGGGGCACAGGGCGAAAGGATGCATAACACTGACCGGAATCTTGACATTGGAAATAATCACATCAACATTGCCGAAGACAAAGCGAAAGAACTGAAGACCTTGAACAGAAGCATGTTTGCAGTTCATGTAAACAATCCCTTCACCGCCAAGGATAGGCGTGCTCGTCGCGACGAGCAAATCATGGATCGGCATCACGCAGAACGGGAATCCCGAGAAGCCACTCGAGAAGCCGCTTTCAAGAGCACTCAGCGCATGAACCAGAATTTCAAAGGATTGGATGACGTCTCAGTGGGACCTAAGAGCAAGACAAACCTTGCTGAGCGCGCAAAATATCAATTCGAGGCCGATAGCGAGGACGACGCGATGGAAGACGAAATCGACCGAAACCTTGACGAGCTTTCCGGGGCAGCCAAACGCCTGAATCTCTTGGCTCGTGCCACGGGTGAGGAGGTTGAACAACAGAATCAATTGATACAGAATATTGCTGAGAAGGTAAGCTGGTTAGACCCGATCCTAGATCATCCATGGCTAACTCGTACCAGAGCGACCGGTTCGACGATCGACTACACTTCCAAACCGAAAGACTCAAGAGAATACGTTGACGACTTATATGCGGTTGAAATTTCGAAACCAGTGCTGGACAGCCTGCGGAGAGTGCTCTTCGGTTACATGTATGATTGGCGCATGCCAGCAGGTGTTTCAGCCTGACCCTTACTGCCTGGATGTGGGTCGAACGGTAGAGCCTTGTTGCTCTGTTCAATAGACCAGTCTCATCCATGAGACCATTAGACATTTTGATTTGCGTGTTGCACAAAGGTCTATTCCGAAAGGTTTGCACGCGTTTCGGTACAGGCGGGAATTTGCCATCATACTCAGATGATCGTCCTCGGCGATCTCCCCGAATCAATGGGAAAATTGCTTTCATGCATGGATTGGAGTTTGGAACAACGGACTAGGTTACTTTTATGGGCAGTTTTCAGGGCTGCGCCCGCGCGTCAATGCATACCTGTGTATATGGATGAGCTTCGTATCACCTTCTAGTCTTCTGGACGGACGATGGTCGAGCGTCTGACGAAAGACACATTTTGTTCCGACACCTTTCAACTTCATGCTACTACAGTATGTCGCTTTATGCCTACTGGCACTGTTCACAGCAAAGCCGTGAACTGGTGGTGCGATTTTTCACCACCGATGCTCTAGTGTTTCGAAACTGAATGTAGGCCATGCTGTCGCCTCGCCACTGCCAGTGTCTCAAGCCTCGTTTTCGCTGGGAACGATGGTGCGATGTTAGAGGAACTGCACATACTACAAAAGACGGTGTGCCTCTTGGTGGGTGTTCGAGTCGTCAAGCTTCGTCTGTCAGACACTAGAAGAAAAGACTACGGAGATTAAACAAATCCGCTAGCGAAGCGAGGCTCCCGTTTCCCAAGGGGCTTTTTTCTCGAGCTGGTGTCTGAATCGGTGGCAAGCGAACAGGTAGGCGAGATCGTTGACCATGGGATGGGAATTGTCCTGCCGAAATTTGATCTGAGGTCGTCCAGCTTTCGGTTTTCGGGTTTGGGTCATCCAGCGACGGGAGAGTCACCGTTGAGGCGGCTCTCCCTTGTGAAGCTGGGAGCACCAGGAGTTTGGTTTACTACGTACTTGTACGAGTAGTAGGCTAAAGGAGACCCGGCACCAGCACCCCGCGAAGGACTCTGGAGTGAGAGTCTGCACGCCATACGGCTACCGTACTCGTAGTACTCGTAGTAGTTCAAGTTGGTGGCGTTCGCGCCATCTGAGGTGATCCGCCGGCTGCAGGAAAGCTGGGGGAGGCGAGAGTGATCAACGACCGAAGCCTTCGAGACGGAGAATTAAACCTTTAGTGCGAGATAGCTGATCCACGACATGTTGAAGTTTAGAACACGAAAGGGCAATCTCAGGAGCATGGTTTCGAAAGGGTGAACGCCTAAACTTGCAAGCCGTCCATACTGAGTACAACGAATTATGGTACCCGTACCTACACAGTTAGAGTCTATACCCCGTACGGCGTACAGAGTAGGGACTCGGGAGTTGAGTAGGGCGTACGGAGTAGGTAGACAAAGGAAAGTGAAGTGTGTGTGTGTGTGTTCCACTGTTGCCGGGTTACATTCGACGGTTGCATTCTTTTACGCTTCTACGGATCCTCCTAACGCATCAGGGCAGTGGCTCCAGCAGCCTGAGCCTTAGGACCCCCCCGTAAGCCTAATGTGTACGTACTCTGGGTCTGTAGGTGCTTAAGCGTCAAGCCTAACAGCCCCCGAACTTGAGCATGCCTTGGGAATAGTACCCAACTGGAGCTGGAGCTGGAGCTGAGGTCGCCGTTGGATCGAAAGCCCGAGGTGAGGAGTTGTGTGTGTGCTGCATCTTGCTGTGGCCAACTATCTCATTAGGACTTTAGCACTCCGTAGAGAGTCAAAAATAACAAATAACAAATAACCTGCGTTTGGGTCGGCTTTGATCCATGGTACGTTGTGGGATAAAGATCACAGTATGAGCAAGTTGTTGAGCGTTTCGATACTTGTGTTTCGTAGTGCTGTAAACTTCTAATACTATAGTAATGTGCTCTCCTATACCTACTCATAGGCTCTGAACTCCGTACAGAGTAAATGATTGCCACTCTTAGGTAGCTAGTTCTCACTGAACCTAAATTACGAGACCGCTACGACAAGGGGGTATCTTGCTCTATTGGAATGCCTTCTCTGAATCGTCGACGGGGAACCTTCCTACGAGGACGAGAGAATGCTTATCCCTTTCTTCAAGCCCGCCTCCTCCGACGGATACTTGTGCACCATTTCAAAACGGCCTCACTGGTGGCCCTTGATATTTCAACACCAATCACGGAACAATTGCTCACCAAACGGCATTGCAGTATGACGTTATCCAGGACCGTAGTACGGACATGACTCGCGGACTCGGGAGGCCCTGGCAACTAAGTGAGGGTCCAAACGGGGCCAGGGAGAACGCCACCCGCAGCACCGGCCATGCAGTATTAGACCGAAGGCGATGACAGCTTTTAGTCTGGTTTCAGAATCAATCTCCACTAGGACTTGCGGAGTCCTGAGTCAAGATCTTTGATGTTGTGGACGCCGCGGCGAAAAGCGCGAGCCTCGAGCGCTGGGAAGCTATGTGTTCTCCGTACAAGGGAAGCAAGTATTCAGGAGCCGGCAAAAACAAATTGTCCCTGGCTCGGGCCCTATCAAGGGTCAATCAAAGTCGAGACATCCCTGGAGGCGCGTCAGGAAAACGTCACCGTGATCAGGGATGCCGTAGACCCCTTCTGAGACCCTGCGTCGGATGTTGATACACAGCATAGAACATGACCAGGTATGTCGGCACAGGGGCCCAGCTGGGGGCTGCAGGGTCCTCCATAAGATGCCAGTAGCCTTGTCGTGACTGACCCTGCCGTCGGGCAGATATATTATAGTAGAGAAAGAGGCTGAGCAGTGAGCATCCTAGGACACATCCGCGAATGGCTGTTACAGTGTCAGGATCAACACAAATAGTATTGACGCTTGAAAGCAGGGCAAGCCCTGGCGGCTTAAACAACTGCACGAGATATGCAGAGTACCAACCGCGCAAGGCCTCACTCCACAGACAGTTGATGCTTCGGTATCCTATGATCTCAATCTCCAGCGATCTGCACTGAAAGAACCAGCTCAGCGGTCGCATGCTTCTTCACGTGCAAGTTGGTTTCCACCCCGGATGGACAGATCATCGATGGAGTTGATATCCCCAGATATCATGTATACAGAGTACATTCATTGTAGTCCCAGGGGAAAACACTCTTTAACATCCTCCATACTTTGTATACTCCGTACTCTGAACGGAATTCGGCACAGACAGAGAAGCTATGCAACGGAGCCGAGGGGGTGTCGGCATTTGCTGCAGGGAAGTAGCTACTGCGGGACACCGTACACTGAAGGCTGTCATATCAACAGGGTATTCGTAGGCGTTGGCGTTGGCGTTGGGCGGGTCAGAGGGAGCGGGGTGAAGCCCAAAGGTGCGACGGATTGGATTTTTCTCCCGTTCGGTCAGGTTGAAACTTGAAGGCGACCAGTTGCGCAGAGGAATGTCCCACCAGATCTGGGTGGTCTCATTGGCAAAGTAGCACCAACAGCGTCAGCGGCGTTCAGGACAGGGGACACCCACAGGGCACTGGCACAAGTCAGGACAACCCCTGCAAGCCACAAAATTGGGGCCCCGATGGAGAAGCTAGTATGATATTCTGGTTTCGCTGCGGAAAAGCACTGGACCCCCGAAAATGTCAACATCGGGTGGTGAGTTTCGTCATAGGCGCACGCCAAAGTAAAATCAGACTTCAGCCAAGTTGCTAGTGTGGCAGGCTTTGACACTTGGAGATTGGAAGGCCCATCCACATCACCGGCCTGATTGGGGGGGTGTCTTTTTGTGTGGTAGGAGTTGTGGTAGGTAATGCTAATGGCAATGATAACATGGAATGTAGCAGCAGCAGTAGTAGCAGGCAGCAGTGGAAAAGCGCAGGCAGGATGCGGGCACAGGGTACTCCGTATAGACGCCGGAATGGCAGTTATTACGATTTCGTTCTGTAGGCCGTCGGCCGCAGGTGCAACATACCGTCACTGACCGCTACCTATAGGACCAACGCCCTCTTGGGTGCCAACGTCCCTAGAAAGTCTCCCCTGCCTCCTCCTCCTACTACTGCATCTCCATCGAAATCGGCCTTTTGCGCAACTCAAAGCAAAGCCACTCGGAGCGCCAGCGACAATAGTGTTCCTACTCAGTTACATCCTCTATTAGGTCAGTGCTGTGATCTTCGTATGCTTAGCTGGCTATCTAGTGACCACCTAAGTCACTAATATCGTGCTAGTCTGCGATATCTGGCCACGGCACTGGTCTCTCTTCTCCCAGGCCCACCACTTCCTCTAGAGTCTGCAGTGCTCCGTACTCCGTACTCCGTACCTTCCTATCATGCAGTTGGTTGCACACACCGCCTGACGGTGTCGTCGAAGAGGCCGTCGTGACCACTCTTTCTCGTTGACAACTTAGCCGTCCAGTCTCGAGGCCTTTCCCAACTTGATCTGAATTTCAAGGCCGCAAAGTCTCTCACACATTCCTACCACCGCAACGTATTTTAACTATTTGTTCGTCTTTGCAGTCCTATTCCCGGGCGATTTCCATCAATCACGCCCTAGCTTGGCCCATTCTCGTTGTCTTCCCACTGGTTTGACCAAGTGGACAGGGTCTTCGGGGTGGCTGCAGTTAGAACGCCACCCGACTCTTGGCCCTGCGTCCTTGCAAGCCTCCATCGCGCCAACTGCCGTCATTGCATCAAAACCCGCCAATACCAGAGCAAGGCGCTCCCCGCCCGGGCTTCAAACAACATTCCCCCAGCAAGCCTCCCATCTTTCAATCTGGCATCAACGCAAACAAGCATCCACTCTCATCTATCCACATCCGAATCCGCATCGACATCCCTACTCCCCTAAGCCTCGTCAAGGACAAGGGCCTCTCCCGCACACGCTGCACCGCGCACACTACGGATACTAGGAAAACGACCCCCAACTAGGATCAAGCTAGCTGGCTGACCAGCTCCAACGGGACCACCAACATCCCTGTCCGCCTCCGCTAACCACTGCCTCCACCGAAATCATCAAGTGCCGACCTGGCGCAGGGACCTCTCCCACTCAATCCCTGTTCTTCGAACTCCACTGCGAGCACAGTCCAATTGCCAGCTCCGAGCCTGGTCGCCCTGCATTGAGAGCGCCCCCAAGGGCAAGTCCCAGTGATTGCGATGATGCCAGTCAAGCAAGGTGTGCAACAGCACAGAAGAAGGGTCAATCCACCGACGTAACTTAACATGACAGAATGCTGGCATATAGCAAACTCCGGTGCTTTTACGTCGACTTATCTACCTTACCATTCCCCGCCCAGTGCTGATGGAGCTTTGATCCTTCCAAAAGATTTCTGAAAGGGATTTCAGTCCAACATTCCACTGTCTGAAACAACAAGCTCTCCTCTGGCAGACAAGCCTCTTACCGAAGCCTGACGAACCATTCTATATCTTTCACAACCACCCTACCCGCAGATTTGGAAAGCTTACCACAGCTCCGTTTGAGCACGGCGGTTGAAACCTGTTGCTCCCACTGGCATCATACCTCCGACAAAGGAGCCAATCCTGTCGATCTGCCGTTCGCCGAACTTGTTTGAGGGTTGCGCATCGCTGCAGCAAGATAGAGTATCGCTATCAAAGGAAAGGGGGCACCGCCTATTCCACCATCGACTACTACAGCAAAAGATCAACATCGTTTTGTGTGGATCTTCCATTGGCAGCTGCCCATCTCCAAGCTCTCCACACAATCTTCTACATAACACTCGCCGATCCCCTCGGTGCGACCTCGATCATCTTCATACATTATCCAGGAACCAGCCGCCTATACACTGGCTCTGGCATTGTGATTCAGCCTTGGGACGCCGCGAGGTCAACAAACATCGCATTACAAGCTCTTAACACCACCATCTACCTTATTCTCGTCTCCAAACACCGCCCTCATGACGATGGTCATTGACAATCAGGGTCGACATTACGGTGGCATGGGTTACGACCACATGTATCCCAACATGCAAACTACACCGCAGTTTAGTGACCCTTGGTCGCACCAGACCAGCACTTCTAGCTCGTCATTCCCGGCTCTCTCTAAGACGGACAGTTCACGGTCAGGAATATCGCTGCCATACTCTCAGATTCCTTCAGTTTCCGGAACAATGGCACAAGGTAGCGCCTATTCCAGCACCGGATATTCTGGCACGGATTTGCTAAGTCTCCCTCAAGACATCCCGCGCTCGACCTTTGGTGAGCAGTCTTACTCCACACCGTCGGCAACTTCGGCGTCATATGCGCCCTCATATTCTTCGCTGAGCTATGCTCAGTCGTTGCATCAGCAGCAGCAACAGCAGCAACACAGAAAATTGTCGGACACGTGAGTATCTTGTCCCATTCGTACGCTCATGTCAGTTCGTTAACAAATCCAACAGAGTTGACAACTCTCGGGCAGCAACCGCCAGCTTTGGTGAGCTGGACGCTTCGAGAGGCATGCTGGCGCTCAGTCATCAAAGCCTCCAAGACATGACTCCACGCAATATCTACGAAGCCCGGGCTCAGAGAGGTTCCACTGATGCATACGGCTTCCCACACACCACGTCCAGCCATTCTTCCATTTCCAATGAATCTGGCCGTGGATATCCCTACTACGCGGCAAGTTCAGTTGGTTCGGTGACGGACTCTGCCACAGACTACAGCTCTGCGGCCTCAGATGCTGGCTACGAATCCATGGCAGCGTCTCGCACGTTACCACGTCCGACCCAGATGCTCGGTGGCCCTCTTGGGCCACCAGCCCCGCAATCGATGATGGGACAATTTTCGTCCAAAATGTCTGCCAACACACAGAAGAAACACAAGTGCAAGGTTTGCGACAAGCGCTTCACACGACCAAGCTCCTTGCAGACACACATGTACAGTCACACAGGCGAGAAGCCATTCGCCTGCGATGTGGAAGGCTGCGGGCGGCACTTTTCAGTCGTGTCCAATTTGCGCCGACACAAAAAGGTGCACAAGGAAGATGCAACCTCGACTGCCAGTCATTCAGATGTCGAGTGATAATGACATTGATCTTGATCAAAATCTTTTCGCAACGCACCGGCTGCAGTCACCTCCTTACTGGAGCCACCGCGTTATCGGAGATGACCCGACATACATGGCGGTGCCATTGTCTGCTTTTCCCTTACTCCATGTACATTACTGTTGAGCGCGGCGCTTTGGGATTGTGTGGCGTCGGTGTACAATAACTGGTCGATAGAACGGACGAGGATCCTCCAAGAGGGCATGTGCAGTCACGCTGGAACTGGTGTCGAGCAATGGCCTGTTTGGGTTCACGACATTCCTTACTTTGCACTTATTATTATTGTGATGATCTGATACCCCGAAGTGACGGCCGCTTCTATGACAGGTTGCGCTTCCTTGTGGACATTTGAAGTTCAATGGGGAGAGGTATTGCACCGAGGCGCTGGGAGTCCTCCGTCGCCTCGGGCTCGAAACAGGCCAGGGCGATCTGCTTGGGTTCATTCCAGGATTTGCTTCCGAAACCGAAGGAGGCGGACCTTTCCGTCTGGTGGGAAAGGTGCTACGCCAATTGACGTGATGATAACAGGAGGTTGACCCGACACATCGATGCTACAGGCGGTGTGGGATTTAGCGCTATCTGTGCATAGGCATGGCGCCTTGTGAGGAAGCGTTGTCGTGTTGGGACGTCAACTCGAAAGACAATGAGACCAACATATAAACAGAAGATATCACGAAACACGCTCATAATTCCCAGCCCACAGCCTTAACTCTTCTACCAATGTGTTTCGTTTACGGAGTACATCTATCCCTACGGGGGCACCTGGCGCATACGGATGGGGGGAGGAGCAGGAGACACAAAGGGGGACTGGCAAAAGGGTGAGACGAGGTGTGGTCACGTGCAAATGACCGGTGTGCTGTTGACGTCATCGCCAGCCTCTCATCCGAAATTGACATTTGGGTGGACAACAACCTGGTAGTGTCTGCCGCCTAAGGCTCAGAGCCCTGCGCCTGTCGCTTCAGCATTCCCCAAGTCAATCTTCTGTCCATCGCATCTCCTCGATCTCCTCTGTCAACTGCGCTCCTTTGGACACTAGCACCAGCGCCAGCACCAACACCAGCAGTGTCGTTCCCGGCCGTGTCACCGCGGGTGGGCCGTCTCGCTGACTAGGGCACATTCGTCTGGGATGGTGTGGTGCCACTGGCGTCAGCGGCTTTTTTACGCACCTCTGATTGTTCAGACTGCGACGCCCACTCGTCTCCATCTCATCTTCCCGTTGCGCACAGACGGATTATACTGCTAGCCTCGAGCCCTTGACGTCCTCGTCTCGCTGGTCCTAATCTATCCTCACCTCCTCGATCGTTGATTGCTAGCATTCCTTCGTTGTGTCACTACTGCACAACTACCACTCGGGCAGCCACTTCTTCGGGCGACAAAGCATGCACCGACGACATACCCTTGGCATTCACGTACTCTCACTGGAACAAGTGTACGGATATTGCGCTACCATCCTACATGAATGGCCTGGAAACTAAGATCGCTTGGGGTTCTGACTAGAGACATCAAGTTGACCTTCTCCGTGCATACGTGCCCAGCTCGCTTGACGGACCCTCGGTCGAGCGTAGACCGTGCGACAACAATGGCGCGGTCCTCCTGTCTGAAAGATGGCAGACAGCCCGTCATGGAGACCATCTCTCGATCTGATTCAACACAACGCCGGCAATGACATGTCCTTTTTGCCACGGCTTCTTCCGACCTGCAGCCTCATTGAAAGGATTCTGCTACTGGAGACTGGAGATACCCGTACTGTTTGGTGTACAATGCGCGACCGCGGGCATTATTGACACCGCAAGAACGAATCCAACTTCTATCCTATGTGGTACGGATGCCTAGCGTCATGGCAACATCAGATGTTTCAGGAATACCAAGCCAGCATACAATGAATATGGTAGGTGAATTGTGACAACCCTTCTTCTGCTGAGCCGAGCAAGTCTATCAACAATAAGCTCGATAACGGGTGCCTCAATCCGGCCCCTGCCTCCCACCGCTCTTCAATGTCCCCACGCTGTATCATCGATGGTTCCCTTCGCAGTTTCTCGACTGAGAGTCCTGACCCAGACTCTTGTTGCCCCTGCAACCGCTGCGTCCTTAAATGTGGCCTGTACCCGTACTGTCTCGTACCTTCAATGAGTGCTCAATGCTTTACTAGTTTACACCTGAGATCCTGAGGTTGGCCTTGAGCTCAATTCGTTTCTGCTGCTTACCGTGGTGGACAGTGCTACACATCAGAATTGGCGGAACTGAAACCAGCCTTCCCAGGAATGCAGTCACGACAAGTACTTCCCCCAGGTTGATGGTGACAGCCACCCTAATCATACTTCTTCGCTTGACGTTGTTCAGAATACGGGTCTGATTTCCAATTAGAAGTTTCAAGCAATCTTATAGGATCTCGCAATCGTGCCAGCCTGTCATCACGTCCATCAGACTCGATAGCCGAGTGGTCTTTGAGCTGGCCCCATATGCATTTCCAACGGTCCACGCCACAGGCCGAAAGCATGCTGAACGGGCATATTGGCTGAATTTATCTCAGCTTCCAAATCATGCTCAAATAGGGTCTCCAGCATTTCCACGTCCTTCAGATCTTTAGGCGTGGTCTCTCTGAGGAAGCGCATTGACTTTGTGCCAACATCGTCTTCCGCCTGCTTGACAGGGAGAACAGGTACATCATGCCAGTCACAAGCCAATGATCTCATTAGCACTTCATCACAAACCTCCTTTTGCTTGTCTGTCGCCAAAAAGTCCTCTGGTCGACTGCCGATGGGGTTGGCCTGAGCAGAATTCTGGTGCAAGGGACATTTCCGGCATGCTTGAATGGCCTATGTGGACATAGTCGAAGGTCAGATGTTGCAAACCCTGTTGACACCGTGTATCAGCCTGGACTTCGTACCTGCTCTACGCTACTCTGGGCACAGAGTGAACACCTCAGTCCATCAGGACATTTTCGGCAGCCGACGACAAATTGGTAGTGGATGCAGATGCCCATGGTGCGACATTTCTGCTGGCAAGCATACTGTACGAAAAAGGTACACGGCGTCAGCATTTCCATGGAGCGCTTCCTGATTTCTGGAAAGGCTGGACGTCGGACTGCCACTGGCGGCAACATGGAGATTTCAACTGGCTTGTCGACGTGGAAGATCTGTCCTCTGGGGTATTCGGAGCTGCGGATGAAGAAGGCCGCCGTCGTAGGCTCTTCCAGGATGGAGCGTGGCGGCTCTCGCTGTTGGCTCATTTTTTCGCCGGCAAACGGAGCTGACGTCTGCGACAGTTGTGCCATCGCACCGCACGCCAACAGCAAGCGTCGACTGCCGCTTCTCAGTGCGCAGCTGATCAACACCGACAAGCAAGAAATCGCCCAGGTCCTCGCCTATAGCCAGCCAGCTTAGCAAGCGGCTTGGACACAAGGCTGGGAAAGGGAAGTGTTGACAAAGTGAGTGAATCTTTTTGTGCTGAACTTGAGCCAAGCGAGTAATAATATGTATTTCCAGGAAGTTTTGCTTTGCATTGCAGACGCAAGCCGAGTATTTGTACCTTTTTCTCTAGCCACGCCTCGGACATGTCACTGTTGGTGAGGGAATGCCAACGGCACCTGCTCTGGCCGAATGGCCAGTGTTTGAACTTGAAGGGAATGCCATTCCATTTCACCCCAAACGACTCGCGCAGCTGACCAGAACCGCCTGGCCATCACGCCCGGCAAACGGCAAAAGAACTCAAGTCCTTGAGGCCGCAGCATTCCTCAAGGCACTCGTCACGCAGTGGTCACAGCTCGTCCGGCCCGAAACTGTCAAACGAATGCACCAAACCCAGACACCCAACCCGGTCCTCCCCCAGTCATACCCGATCATTCATGCCATGCCTCATGGCCTTCTTGCCACTTCCCAGGGAGTTCCTTGAATGCCGGTGTTCCTTGTGCGGGGATGGGGATTTGCATGCCAGCTTCGACTTCAGCTTCACCACTTCGATTCACTGCCTCGACGTTTGCACGCTTTTCTAACAAACCGGCGTGTGACGCCTTAGCCCGCTGCGCCGCACCGCTCTGCACTGCTCTGCACCGCAAGGAGTCATTCGCCCGTCTATATCCGCGATTCACCCGGCACAATGAAGTGTATCCATCCGGAGTATATAAATCCGGACCGGGTGAAACTCGCTTAAATTATAGGTTTTGTCCATGTCACAAATTATCTGAGATGTACGCAATTGGACGTGAACGTGAATTTGAACGGTAGTCGGTGTCGGTGTTCCATGTCGGATCATGGTTGATATCTAATGTTCTAACAAGAGAGGAGACATTCGATAGATGATCCAGGGACTTCATGAGAATAGGTCAAGTAATAAATACAGTTCGTTTCATTCGTGCATCCAGTATACATAGATTTCAGAGGGAGGAACAAAGCAGGAGGAAAGAAGTTCTGAGGAACAGAATCCCCTTTTCCAACGTCTCTGGCTACGGCCATGGTCGAGCTCAGCTTGTGCAACAAAAGTTGCTGGCTGTCTCTACACGCTACACCTTCTCCCAAATCCCGCTCTCACCGCCGATAGAGTTGAACCCCCAAGTACTCATCGAAGCAGTTGCTGCGGGCTTCGCCCTCTCCCTTTCGCTCGACAGCGAGTCCGCGTCTTTTGCAGGTAGTTCATTCCTCTCGTATATCTTGCCGAGGCCTAACCCGATTGCTTCATCTTCTTTCCTTCGATAGCCCATCATGTATGCAATGAGTCCATTCGGCAAAATGTGCGCCGCGATGTCGTAAAGCCTGGCCCCACTGCCCACAAACACGACTTGAGGCCGTCGTGTCGCCGTCCACTCGAAGCGGCCGAACGCTTTGAACGTCTGCGGTGGGGCGAGCGCGTCAAACACGGCGTTGTGGAATTCTCGTGCTGACGAGCCACGGATGAGACCGCGCTGACCAAGGCTCTTGCGTTGCAGGGCGGCTCGTTGAGAAGAGTGCCAGTGCGTCATTGCTGAAGATGACGTTGATGTTGACGGATGGTGTGGGCTGAAGCTGGTTGGTGACGTTTGTTGGGTATTGGCGTATCCTGTTCGAGACGAGGAGACTGATCCCATGTCGAAGTTTCCAAGCTTGAGCTCGCTAACGGTGATGTTCGCCTTTGCTGTATCTATCTCTCGCCTTAGGGATGACGAGAGTGCGGACAGTGACGACGTCACTAGGCACTCCGGGCTTTGGCGTGGAGGAGATAATGAGTTCGTAATTGAGGGATAGGCAATAACGATGGACGAAGGAGATTTCGGATCTGTACTGTGGTTGGCTAGTAATGGAAGAAATTGTTGGACTGTCAAGACTGGAGCGACGAGGCGCGTATTGATGGTGTCGACGACGTCGCTTGGTGGGAGCAAAGCCAGAGGCCCTTCAGGGTAGCCGGAAGATCCGGGGAAAATGATGATACCGGCCAGTGTCATGTTCCCCATCGAGGAGCCCTGCGCTGATCGAATGCGGCTGGGTGATGAGGGGCGCGATGACTTCTTGAGCAATTCGCGAATTGGTTCCAAGTTTGGATGTACATCGACGGCCGGATTGGGGACTGTGGAAGTAAGGTCGATCCAGAGTGCGCGCAGATCAGCTTTTGCTTCTTGTTGGACTAGCGAATCTTCCTCGGTAGACGAGACGGTGACATAGACAACATAGCCTCGCCGCTCTAGATCCAGTGCCAAAGACCGTGTCAATGGGTCGTGGAAGGTCGAGCAAGCCAGAATCACAATCTCCTTCTTCGCTCCATTCGGCAGTCTTCTCGCCCTTCTCTTCCGTGCATGTGCCCTCTTCCTTCGGTGTATCAGGTATATGGTCGTCCCTGCAAACGCCACAACGACAGCAATCGCCGTGCGGTTCTTAGACACCCATGTACTAGTCTTTTCGACGAGACCCTGTGGTGGAGGGGCTGGACGCGCAAAGAAGTTGCCTGGGCCTCCCCCGGACTGTCGAGGCGGCCGTAGAGCGTCAGGGAGCCAGCTCGCGTGATCTATGGCATCGCGGATGTCTGCTGCTAAGGCGTTGGTGTGCTTCTCTATGTAGTCTGCGATACGACTGCCATAGTGCGCCAGGTCTTGCGGGATGGACGCAAGCTGGCAGTGGATGGGTGGTCAGCAGGCGGATTTGTGAGCGGATACAGAGAACAGAGGGGTGAACTCACCAGGTCCAGGAACTGCTGGTCGTCACTCGTCATGGTAGTTGATCAGATGTAGACTTTCAACTTCAGGATTCGGGGGTGATCGAGGTGGTGGCATGAGCATGTCCGCGATTGTCTCTGTCTCTTACCGTCGGCTGTTCTGGACGTTGGTCACTGACCAATCCGGAAAGAGGAAAGAGGGGTCGGAGGCAGGCAGGTCACGTGCCGTGTTGCCAGCTTGACACGTGGTTCGCCTCATCAGGCTGAACTTCATGACGAATGCTTGGTTCACTAACTTGGTGCATATTGATTCGACACGACGTCTCTTTCTGGCATCTTCCGGGCGATGGCTGCAGGTGTTGGAAAGAGCGAGACTCCGGGGGGTTGATTTGCATTGACGCTTTGCTTGTACGGATACAAACGAGCCTTTCCTCTTTCCTCTCTCCGCGGTGGACTCATCCATCCCTTTTTGACACGCAATACCCGCTGCACTGCAAGATTGGAGTACCCTTCATCTCCCTACTTCTTTCTCTTCTTCTGCGCAGTCATCCCGTCGACTTTCCTAGTCATCATTCAACCGCTCTCGCCATGTCGGCCACCCGTCCCACGGAGCTGGACCCTCTGGTCGACCGGTTTCAACATTTGTCAGCGAAAGCTCGCGCCGGAGAGGCCCTCCAAATGCTGAAGAAAGTGGCCTCGATCGTCAAACCGATAATGCGGCTCCGGAATTGGCGGGTTGGTACGCTCACCGAATTTTATCCTTCAGAAGCCAATCTTCTTGGCTTGAATGTTGACCATGGGGTGGAAATCCGCCTGCGTCTTCGATATCCTGGGGACGAAAATCAATTCCTACCATTAGAGAACATTGTCGATACGATGCTGCATGAATTAGCCCACATCGTCTATGGGCCTCACGACCAGGCGTTCAACGCTCTGTGGGACAAGCTTCGCGATGAACACGAGGCGCTCCTCCGGAAGGGATACACGGGTGAAGGATTCCTGGGCAAAGGCCAACGACTGGGCGGGAAACGGATCCCCATGAGTGAAATCAAACGACAAGCTCGAGCAGCGGCAGAGCGACGACGCGACCTTGCCAGAGGAAGTGGCCAGAAGCTTGGCGGCCAGGGCATATTACGAGGACAAAATGCGAGGGAGATCATCGCTGCCGCCGCTGAAAAGCGGTTGCGCATCGAGCGCGGTTGCGGCAGTGTTTCAGACAAGGCCGGGCAGATGGCGCAAGAAGAGGCAAGAAAGGAGAAAACGACGACAACCAAAGCCGAACGGGAAAACGAGAATGACGCGGCGCTGATGCAGGCCTTCATCGACTTGATCCAGGAGGAAGAGAGTCAGCTGTATGGGAAAGACTACTTTCCTCCCAGCCAGGAGAACCCGGCGGGCGTCAAGGGCACATCCTCTCCACCAGGTGTGCGCACAAGCCTGCAGCCTGCTCCCGTGGACATAAAATCTCTTCGTGAACAACAAGTCCAAATTGAGCGACAGCTACAGAGGACTCGTGTGCCAAAGGCGCAGCCAGAGAAAGGACAGAAACCCGAGGCCGAGTCTAAGCCCAAATCCACCCAACCACCCTCCGATGCTTCACTCCTGACGACGTCGCAACCACAGCCCCCTCCGCGTGAAACGTGGACCTGCGAGATCTGCACCCTGATCAACCCTATCCAGCATCTCATGTGCGACGCATGTGGAACCGAACGGCCAGAAATCTATTCTTACCCACGTCCGTCGTCTCCCCTGGAAGAACAAACGTCCTCGACTTCCAGCTCTAATCAGACCCGCTCCGCCGCCGGCAAATCGTACATTCGTACAACGCACGCCGCCCTCCAGCCGCGTCTACCGGCCGCCGAGTCACTCGCCCGGATAGAGTCCCAGGCCCGAGCGAAGACGCAGGCGAAACCGATGGGCTGGCTGTGCGGTGCCTGCGGGAACTGGATGGAGAGTCAGTGGTGGACGTGCGCGGCCTGTGGGCGGATGAAGGCGAGCTCCTGAGACGCCGAGTAATATTGAAGGAAAGAAACGAGTCCATAATCTCTCCAAAGTGTTCTGATAGCAAGGGGGTTTTCGCGATACGGCAATATAGGAGTCACGCGCAACATGTCCATTGCATGCATGCGTGGGCGTTTGGCAATGTAGAAATGGGTCGGGTCGCTGGACAGTGTCCGTGATGATAACGATGACGATAACGATGCTGATGTTGATGATGGCGATGCTATCTGTATCCCCGTAGCCTCCCTAAAGCATTCGTCCAGTCTGACTTGTCGGATGCTATGTAACAAGTCCAGGTTAAAGGCTGAAGGCTGAAGGCCGCTCGCGATAAAGGCAAGGTCACCGTGTGGAAGAGGACAAAATAAACAGAGTTCTCATTGGGGAATGCGGATGCCCAGGACGTGGTATCTATGCTATGTCAAGTCGCCGAAACGAGGGGAATATCCATCAGGCCAACAACTATTTACCTCCTTAGCCAAAACACTCGACTCAGCTCAGATTGCCTTGAATTCTTCGCCGTCCACCCAGCTACATAGCACCCCCGTTCCATTCCTCTAGCATTATCCCATGCAGGCTCTAAACCCGGGGGCATAATACAGCAACAAGCATTGTTGAAAGACACGCGACCGACTGCCCGGTCTACCTATCACGGACACTTCCAGCTCCGTCATACAGATCTTCGGCAGCTCGGTTGACACACCTCAAGGGGCTGGGAGTTTTCGCAATAGAGTTGGGCAACCTCCTTACCGGAGAAATTGGCCGCATATGTTGCCGCGGCATATTTCGCGTCGGAAAGCGCCGTGACAACTAGTCGTCTTGGAAAAATCTATTGGTTATAATTAGCACTGCTCCCAAGCGCTCTATGGTTAGAACTTACCGCATGATAGCTTTGATACCCCTAGAACCAAGACCATGTGGTGGGTAGGCAATCCACAAAGGATCGGCCACAGCACCCATCTTTTGTCGAAATTCCGACTTTCTGATTAGGTTGAACTGCTTGACGATGGCATCATATGTAGCTTGCAAGACTTTGACCTTGGCTCCGCTCATGTGGTGACCCGGAGTCAAATGAGCGGCCGCGCCGCCACCGAAAGTGACCGATTTGACGCCAGCATTGGTCGCGGAGTTGAGAGCATGGGTGGTGAGGTATTCAATGGTTCCAGACGGGGCCCCCGGGAAGTCCAAGGTGTACTTGGCTTGCCAGCCCCTACGCGGAGCGATCTGGGCCATGACGGCGATGCCGCAGAGAGTACCGTCTTTGTCCTCGGCCACGAAGTATCGCCTGTGTTTTTCGTCTCGGAAGAGATCGATGTTGGAAAGATGGATTTGGGTGCCCTTGCGGTTGGACAGCCAATCCTTGACTCTTGCGTTCGCGCGTTGCTTGACACTTTCTGGAACAGGCTGTTTGGGGTCGAGATCGATGATTTTCACACCCTCATTTTGGGCCTTACGAATCTTCCTTGCGACTTCAGGGTCAGATTCGGCGGTTTTCTTGTGGGGATCCACGCGTTCTTCCGCGACGCAGGAGAGTGTTTTCCATCCCAGTCTCTCACCGAGAACTTGCTCCATGTCCGGTCCAATGAGGATCCAAATGGGTTTCAGATGGGTCTCCTTCTTCAGCCATTGCAGAAAGGCCACCACGATACGATAATACTGGCTGGGGGCGCAAAGAGGATCGCCCGGTAAGATTGCATAATGGCCAACAGGAACGTAAGACACTGCGGCACCGGTGTCTGCGTGACGCCAGATCTTGTATCTTTCGTCGCCCCAAGAGGTTGCCGTAGCATCGCCATAGTTGGCAATAAGGTCGAAGAGATCAGGCAGCTGCCGATCTTCGACAGCAACCTCGCGCCCACGCTCGGTGCGCCAAACGGGGTTCAGGGTATCCGCTTCAGGGTGTCGGAGTTTCTCGATGACAGGCTTCGGTGGGAATGACTTGGGATCTCGGTGGAACAAGGAGGCCAAGCGAATATTTCCGAGCTTGAGGATGAGCATGACAATACGTTCAAGGCCGACACCACAGCCCGCATGCGGTGGAGCACCCCACTTGAAGCCTTCCATGTACTCAGCCATGTCATCAGGATCAATACCGACTAGGCGCATGTTATCCTCTAGCATCGTGGATTCGTGAATACGTTGCCCACCCGAGATGATCTCTTGACCTCTGACGAATACATCAAAGGAATTGGTGTAGCGTGGATCATCCGCGTCTGGCATAGTGTAGAAGGGTCGAGCAGATCTCGGGAATTTGTCCAGGATATAGTAGTCGGTCTTATATTTCTCTTTCATGAGCTCACCAAGACGGATCTCGTCCCGAGTGGCAAGGTCCTCGAGAGCTGAAATCGGCTCTCCGTCTTCATTCAGCCAACCTGAATCGTTCAAGAGTTTGATCGCGTCTTTGAAGGGAATCCTGGGTGTTTCATCAAGCCAGACCAGGTCCTCGCTAGGGAATTGCTCTTTCACAATCTCAACTTCTGTACGATACTTGGTGTAGACGCCCTTGAAGATGCTCTTGAGAGTATGATCGATGATGTCCATCATCTCATGGTAGTTCTCCTCGATGGCCATTTCCAAGTCCAGACCAGTATACTCTGTCAAGTGCCGATGAGTATTGGAATTCTCGGCTCTGAAGACAGCACCAATTTCGTAGACCCGTTCAAAGTCGGACGCAATAGCCATCTGTTTGGCAAGTTGAGGGGACTGAGCAAGGAATGCAGAACGGCCAAAATAGTTGACCTTGAACACAGATGCACCGGACTCTGTGGCAGCACCCTGAAGTTTCGGAGTATGGATTTCCACAAAACGCAGGTCGTCAAGGCTATTGCGGAAAATGCTTCCCACGCCGGCTTGGATGCGGAAAATCGACTGGGAGGTGGCAGTCCGCAAATCCATAATGCGGTTGGCCAGCCTAGTCCGGTCGGGAATCAAAGTGTGACGGCCCTCAGTCTTTTGTTCGTCATCAAAAACCGCCAGTTCGGCCTCTTGAACAGAGAATGGCACTGGGGAAGTCAGTACGGGGCCACAAACGTGTAAAACAAGAATACATACCTGCTTCAGCCCGCTTGACAATGATGTGCAGATTGGTCACTTTGACCTCCAAGTTGTGAATCGATGCCGACTTCACAGGTATTTCTGGCTTCTGCAGGACTCCCTTGACGAGCATGACATTGCCAGTGCGCAAGTGCTCAGCCCAATGGACCATGAGCGCAGAAATTTTGCCCGGCTGCTCGACAAGAACGCCTTGAATGGTGGAAAGTTGTTGTCGGAAAACAAGGAAGACCAGCTTTGCACCCATTCTCCGAACGTTGTGCAGTCGGCAACGGAAGGTGATCTCGCTCCCCTGCATGTCCTCAGTGATGGTGCTAATCTCAATGCGTTCTGTTGGGTGCTGAGAAGTAGATTGCATTAAAGGCAGATCACCATAGCGAGCCTTCATCTCTTCGGTCTCGGTCTTTGCAGCTTCTTCCAGTCTCTGCTTTGAACGCTCAGAAGAGTCATCACGGTGCTCGAGGCTCAGCCTGGAGCGTTGTTCGATCTTTTTTTGTTTCACGAGCGCCCTCTTCTGCGCATTTTTGCTCAGCCCATCACTGTCAAAGTCACTAAACTCAGACTCATTGTCGCTGGAGGTGTAGTCCTTATCGCCGAGGTGCAGAAATTGCGCCAAAGATCGACGGTGAGGCCCAGGGCTTTGGGACACGACGGGGGAAAAATCTGAGCTGACCCTAGGAGAATCGGTTCCCCCAAAGGTGTTGGTTTTCTTGGACAACTTCCGAAGGACAGACATGTTGGTGGATAGTCAAGAGAGACGTGTTCTTCGACCCCTAAAGGGAAGGCACAAATGCAGGAGGGTCCTGACGGCCAAATGGTAGGCCTAGAATGGTCGTCGACAGTTTTGTATCCAAGAGGTGGTCGGGCTGAACTTTCGACGTCGTATTGTGGTCAAGTTGCTCTCGGTGACAGAATCCTGTTTAGTTTGACAGAGAGGGATTGATGTTCGCCCAATTTGCAAGATCAAGTGCGACCGATATCTCGTTTGATGAGCTCGCAAGGCGGTTTACGAGATAAGCAAGAAGCAAATGGCACCGCAGTGATGGGAAGGTCGAGATAGGAGACGGGTGCGAAGGTAGAGGAGGGCGATGGTGTGAATTGCTCTGCGGTAAGCTTGACAAGCAGGAAAGGTGCTGGCTGCAAAGAACCAACAATCCCGCGATAGCAAGGGAGAAGAACAAGAGGGATCGCGGCGGCGGAAGTGGATGGGAGTGTGAACGGGACGCTCGGGATTGGCATTGAAGCAGAGCCGGTAATGCTTGACCCTTACACACTGCGCACGGCACCCACCTGCGCTCCATGACAGAGCTGTGGCCTGCTGATTCAGGCGGGGGCGAGACGGTTGCCCCTCGCACCAATAATCAAATCAGCGCATCTCCCATCTCCCGTCTGGTCAGGTCGTGTTCTGATTCTCACAAGAGCTGGAGGTCTCAATAATGCCCAACCTCAAACGATCTCTCGGACGGCGGGCTCTGTTCCATTCCGTGGATGGGCTAACGATTAATTCTCAATCAATATTTGACACTATTGCTGTCTTGCTGTCTTTTCCGCAGCGATAATTGAGGCGTGACACGGGCACCCAACGGGGGGCTGGGCCAGCTGTCGCATTTTCATCACGTGACCACATTAGCTGACAGCCCTGGATCGGCGTTTGAATACGAAGTACGGAGTATGTCGGGTCCATATGGATAGATACCTAACGGTGACTGCAGCAATCGAGGCAGCATTCTTATTGAATGCGAGGATGGTTGAGAATTCGAGAGAAGCAAAAGCAGTACGGAGGACTGCGTGGGAGGCGCTGCGCGCAGTATAAGAGGTTTATCAACAGACAACATCTGCTTTCAGCACAGCCCCCTGTGGGCTTGTTCTACCTTGTTCTACGGCTTAACGTAGGTACCGATTACGGATACATATCCACGAGTCGCAACATATTCCCCTTTGGTCTATCTTCTTTGATGCCGCGTAGCAGGCGTCTCACGGCAGACGATGCCCAGGCTTATATGCAAGGCCGTTGAGATCGCTAGCCGCGTCACTGGACTTGTCTCCAGTACCCTTCCACCTCCGCAACAGTTCCCTGACACAACTGTAACGTTGCTGTTGCCGTTGCCGCCGGGTCCCGTGCATTGAGACAATAATCTCGGTCGCATACTCCGTCCAGGGGTATGGTGACTCATTGGGGCTGCTCGGATTATATGTGCCCCCCGAATCGTGTGTGGTTTACTTAAGCCAGGAGCCTCCTAAGCCCCTTTGGCGGGTGTCAAGGGGAGGAACTCCGCGGTCAACGCCCAGAGTTGGGTCTGGCCAGGGGTCCTAAGGGTGCTAAGGTGCTACTTGTAACTACCTTACTGCCCACCTAACTGCCTAACTGCCTACCTATGGTACCCCTACATCGTCGAATGGCGTCATGAATCGCACTGCATGTCTGGCGTCTGTCTCAGGCTGGCCACAGCCACAGCCACACTACCGCGTCATCCACCCTCTATCTCTGCGGGCCAGTTGAAACTTCAGGCGATACGTACTCCGTAGAGAAATCGCAACGTAGGCCATATCGGGAAGTCGTATTGTACTCCGTACACCTGCATCATACCACTGCCCCCTTGTGTGCTTGCACCTCTCCCTCTGATATGCAGCCGAACACTACCCATTACTACGGCTTTCTCTGTTTTTCTCTCCCCCAGGGTATATTCCGTACACAATCGCTCCTACCGAGTGGGCTTATCGTCCCAGCTATCGGCTGATTGTTGAGGCTCTTCCACATCTCCCATGCCCAGACGATATAATCACCTCCCCTCGTGATTCCGCTCACCTTGGGGCAGCGCCCTTTCCACCATGCCTGCGAGTTCGTCGACAATGAACAACTCCAGCTCAGAGGAGTCCTACGACATGACGGAGGCCAAAGACTTTGCTCCACCACCTGCACAGAGCCCCAAGAGCGCCAAAGTGTTCTTCAACAACATCGCAGACTTCGAAAACGCGTCCACCATTGATCCTCCTGAGAACATGCTCGCCGAAACCTTTTCCACCGAAACCAGAGCCGGCAGACCACGTTCCATGTCCCACCATCTTTCAAGCAAGAAGATCCCCTCAAGGCGGCTGCTCAAGATCAAAGCGAAGTTCTGGAGGTCGCTCATGACCCTGGCAATGCATTTTCACGATTTCGCGCCGCCTCGACCACCACCCCCGGCGTTCAAACATAAGATCCCCACGGACACTACTCCCATCGAACTCTTCTTCTACCTTCCCCCCAGATACGAAGACACTCTTCGCAGGGACCCTTCTTTCCGCTTTCCTGCTGTCATAAACTTCCACGGAGGTGGATTTTGTCTAGGCGATGCAAGAGATGATCGATATTGGGCAAGAGTTGTTCTGGAGCATACCAACGCCATCTTCGTGAGCGTCAACTACCGTCGGGCTCCCGAACACCCATTTCCTGTACCGGTAGATGATTGCGTTGAGTCAATCCTCTACGTGGAGGAACACGCGGCAGAATTACATATCGATGCGTCCAACCTCGCTCTCTCTGGATTCTCCGCCGGCGGTAATCTGGCATTCAGTGCCTCATTCCGCCTGGCATATCACAGAGGAATGGATGCAATGGATTGGAGGTCGTCCCGGCCCACAACGTCTCACAGCGTTGTAACAACGTCTCACAGCGTTGTAACTGATGCTGAAGGCACCGATCGTGAAGGAAATGACCACGATATCCACAGCCTCGTCACTCCCATTCACTCGACCTCCAACCTCCTGCGGGACCGGACGGACACCCCGTTACGGATTCGCTCTATAGTTGCCTGGTATCCTCTACTAGACTGGACAATGTCTCGAAGCCGAAAGATACGCGAGTCTCGCAATCCGAAGAAATGTCTACCCAAAACCTTCACCGACCTCTTTGACTTTTCTTATCTCCCTCCTCCAGACGTTTCAGGCGACCATTGTAGTCCCTATGCCTCGCCAGGTCTTGCACAGGATCACATGATTTGCGACGGCCTACCGGCTGATATTCAAATGTGGCTCTGTGAGTGGGACATGCTGCTCCGCGAAGGCCAAATCTTCGCCGATCGTCTTGACAGACTTGGCAAGAGAATCGACACTAAACTGATACCACGCGTGCCTCACGCATGGGACAAATCGCCCAACCCCTTCCGAGACCAGAGGGCAATCGATATCTTGTATACGAAGTCAGCAATGAACCTAAATAAGGTGTTCCAAGATAAAGAAGGATATGGTCCTGCAAACTCGATGAGTTCTCTCCATGCCACGGATTCCATTATTGAGAGGCAACCAAGACGAAGTATTGTCTTACCGATATGATTCCCGGAGCGTACGTGCCGACTTGCAAGGCGCTTTGCTCATCCTCTTTATATCTGTTACCCTCCCGCTATCTCTGCCACGTTGGACAGACGGAGTTGGTGATTCGGTTTCATGCGGTCCCGGCGGCTAACTCAGACGACGACGGATTGCTCAGAGGAAAATACCTCCTTCCACCGATCGCCATAGCATGCCTATGCTACGCACTGATCCCTCTGGGTCAGGTCTATGAACGTTTTTGCTGCCAGAGACACCCCTAGATCAAGTTCAGCTCCCATCATGAGTTAGCGTCTCTAGGGACCATAGGGGCATTCAGAATGATGTCACCACGAGGCTGACCGTGCCAATGTTCTTACACCGAATTCAACAAGCCTCAACTCATACGCTCAAGTTCATACCTTCTACCAGGGTCGGCTTCCGTTTTACCATCCACCAACCATTTTTCAGGTTCGTGGCATACCGTCACGGCGCCAGCGTTCTCCCTATGCATGACGCCATCACGTATGACCAATCTTGCAGGCAGGACATTGTTTACGGCACTTTTACGACCTACGTCTGCTTTCTTTTCTATTCGTTGTGTGGTCTTGGGGTTGGGATTCCGCCCACCATTTTGCCAGGCGATAGGGTCGACCGGTCAAGTTTGGGAGTTTGATGCTGTGGGTAAAAGCGGGTTGTGACATTCGAGCAAGGTTAGCAGCTATGATGAGGTTGATGCCCTTTCTAGGCATATCCTGGCCTTGGGACGGACGACCGTTCGTGCTGATGCAAGATGTATCATGATCTCTTCAGAGCGCAGGTATTAGATACAGCATACTGTGCAATTCACCCTTTCCTGAGTTATGACTTTTTTTCTTACATCCTTTCGCTGCTGTTCCCCCTCGTTGCTAGCTTGTCCTACGCTGCTTCTTTCCCTGAGGCTCTTGCAGATCTAGCTGCATCGATGCTCTCCTCGAAAAAAGGCAACGATAGTATCCCGCTGTCACAGCGCCATGATAGACCGGCCTCTCATACGCGTGGCCAGCTCCTGCTCTGGATTCATGGGGCGTGATCCAGGAGACTAGATTGAAAGTCGTCAGGGTCAAGATGGGTCATGATGTTCTCTTCTATTAGCGGGTTGCTGTTCGCTGCTAACAAAAATGACCTTTAGCCTGCACCATGCGATGCCATTGCTTGTGTTGAGTTTGTGGGCAACCCGTAACGCTATCATTGATTGTACAGTTGTGAGATTACTATATCAATGACGACTCTATCATGCGCATGCTACGCATACACAGAACGTCCCCATCTAAAACCCTATCATACAATAATCTTGTGATACGATTCCATCCTTGATTGGCATGTTCATTTGGGATTTTGTCACCAGCTTCCTCCTTAGGTCACCCCAGAGCATCCTAACAGCCTTGATACGAAGGAGGCTTCATCCGGTCAGGCTTGAACGCTCTAATACCGCTTGAAAAGGTAATGGCTGTTCGTGGTTGATACGGCCGGGAAAAACAGTTTGGCAGTAGGTGTAGGTGGCGTGCATGGAACAATGGAGGTCTGGTTCAACAGTTCTGTGGCGGTGCCCGATGCTACATCCGTGCCGGTGGGCTGAGTGAAATTGTTAGTCCGAGGACTATCGCCTGCAGCATCTGAGAATGCACCGGTACCAGCGGGTAGGGTGGCATTGTAAGTCTGAGGGCTGCCGGTTCCTATGCGCGATCCCACACCAGTACCAGTGGGCTCAGTGACATTGCTGGTCCGAGGTCTCCCAGTTCTCATGCCTGACGCCGCGACTGTCCCAGTGACATTGTTGGTCTGAGGGTTTCCAGTTGCTGACCAGCCGGTGCCGATGGTGCCGGTGAACCAGATAGGTGGCCCCCAGGTGGTGCCGGTGAACGAGATAGGTGGCCCCCAGGTGGTGCGGTTGCCTCCTCGCCAGGGAGTCCCCGAGCCCCAGGCGGTTACATTGGAGGTCCATGCTGTAGGATGACCCGAGGTTGTCAGATTGCTCGAAACAGATGGAGTAATTGCGGTAGAATTTGGGAAGCTGGTAATTGATGGAGTTGAAGAGGGAATGTTGTTGCAGACAAGGTTCTGATATTGTGCAACATGGATGCCCAGGTAGTCTCCAATGGTATCGAAGAGACCCAGATTGTCACAAATCTCGGTTCTGTTGGTAGTGTAACCGCCAGCAACTCCGAGGCCCCAGAGCGCAGCCTGCAGAGTAGAGTATACTTCCTGACGATTGGTATTGAAAGCATAGCCATGATCAGCAATCCAGCATAGGAGATTCTTGACCAGATCAGGTTTGAGACCTGAATCAACCATCTCGACTTGGGCCTCGGTTGTCTGGACTTGCTGGCAGGCAAGTGCGACGTTCATGCCCGAATCTGCAACATTGAGTGCAAACATGGCAGACATGATCTCCTCCAGTGAATCTTGCGCCGGGCCAGAGAGAAGTTGGGAATTCGGAGCGATATCAGCGACGAAAGCAGCCATCTGCTCGAACAGACTATCTGCACCAGAACGACGAAAGACTTGTGGACTGGGATGGCTGTTGGCAGAATGATCGAGGATAGAGTGAGGGGAAACTCTTTTGAGCTCTTCATGGCGTCCATAGACGCCTCTGGTCGTAACTGAGGTCTCTGGAATGCATTCGACCCGAGTAACCGTGAGCATAGAACTGGTAGTCTTTGTGGTGAATGGACCCTGCGTAAGTCAGTCAACGCCTCTTCTAGAAAGTGCACGAAGTTGTACCTGCGGATCAGGGTTGTTTTCGAAATTTGTGACATTGCATCGGTAACACTCAACGGCCTGATGTTGTTAGTGGGCAAATTCCCGCAGAAGGGGTTGCTATTCACATAGATATACTCAGTCATGATTCCACCATAGATCGTAGACGTGGGACCGTTTTGAGGAGGCATGTAGGGAGTGAAGGTCAACGTGCAGCCTGGTGATGCGGGTGGGTTCGAGTATGATACTGGTGTACATGCTGGGGTTGGAGCAACAGCAGAAAGACCCAGGACGGCCATGGCCACGAGGAAGAGGCCGTGAAGCCACATTGCGAGAATGTGAGGCGGGTATTGGGATGATCGGGAAGCAGCCAGGTATGCAATGAGGCTCAGCAGATGCAGGAAAGCACTGGCACTAGTCTGGCAAGGGATCGAATCGGAATTTGTGGTGCAGTAGTTGAAGGGAAGAGAAGTCGAACAAGATGAGAGAGGAGGGGGATACTTAAGGGCGCAGTTTTGGAAGAACCACAGTACCCGGGAAGGTGAGGTTGTTACCAGCGAAGAAGGTGCATGCCGTGTTAAGGAAGCAGGAACCTCGTGCAGTTCAACACTCTGATCATTTGAGGAAGGCACGCAGTGCGCAGTGCGGTATTGCAAGTGAGCAAACTGCCAGTGCTCATTGTGATGTGCAAGCGCCTCCCATGTGCCAAACCAGACATGGCTAAGAAACATGATCACCTCCATCTCAGTCCTTCTGTTACCCGCGTGTCTGTACTGTTTCAAATGCTAAAATCACCTCGAGCGCATGCTATCTGTTCCATCGATCAGTAGCTAGAAGGAGACAGCCCGTACGGAACGGGGGAAAGCGAAGCAGGACACAAGGCTGAGAACATCATTATACTGGAGAGGCGTCTGAGTGCACCATCTCCGGCTGGGATACTGTACTTCCCCGGTCTTGTGTATGCTGCTGTAACGACAGATTGAGTTCTGGTCATTGAATGTCTCTCTTGACGTAGGCCATTTGATAGACACAGAAGCTGCCGCTTGTCCTCCACAATATCCCAAGCTAGTACTGACACAGAACCTCCTTACCTCATACCGGGCCAATATCTGTGCCTATCAATGGCCGAGGTGAGCCTGATCTCAGCAGCGCGTGGGAGACAGACCAAAGCGAGTCGGGAGCTGGCAGAAAGAATTCACATAGAACCACGTGACCTTGCAATTGCATCAGTGGAAACTCATTCACTTGCTGTGACAATCCAACCAAGTCAGAGCTCCTTAGCTCCGACAGACGTCGGCAACAATGCCTGGATGCAAAACGGAAGAGATATGTGTACGGAATACAATGCACCCCTTCGCTTACAGTTTGGCTAACCAAAATAGGCTTCCTTATCTTCAGCTTGCTTTCCCTGCTAGCATCATGACTGGCGCCGTCAGTCCATCCTCCAAATCAAAGTCGTGAGAAGTATCAAGAGATCGAAGATCGGAGGCGAAATGCAACTGGTTCGACGGCGCAAGAGCGGCAGGACTGGCTCCTTTGCTGTTACATCATTATGTTGGATCGCATTTTGACACATTTGGACCATCTCAGAATTGCAAGATGCGGGGTTGGAGTTGCAGGATCACCTACCCTTTACCTGGAGATTTTGCCGACACCAGATGTCGGCAGCAGGAATACTGTAGATACAGTGTATGACCATTAGGGGCGGCAAGGAAAGTGATGCAACGCGGCAGACCATGTGTCCACTCATAAAGCTCATGCAGAGCACATCCCACGATGCACAGCGCAGGGCAGTGGAGCTCACCGAGAGTATGGCTGGGACAGCTGCTGTCGCACCACATGCCACTGTCGATTTCTTACAGGTGTAGCTTGCCCACAGACACTGACTGGCTTCAATAAACCTGGTCCCAACAGTCCGACGAGGAGACAACGGCATCTGATCTGCCCATTTGAATCGTGCTTCACACCCTCTTCATGCGAATCGCAAATGTTGCCGCAGATCTTTTGACCAGTACTCGGCACAGATATGATTTCGCCTAGTCGTCTATCAGTAGTTGGGTTCCTCTTTGTAGAGCCTATTGGCTTGGGCGACATCCTACATGGACCACTCTGCTTGTACCATTTGCTTGAAACTTCATCAGGGAGAAACGTATTCCCATGAGAAGGTTTACATTGTCCTGCGCTGGACAGTTCAAGTGCATGCTGCGGTCTTCGCGTTGGCTTCACTTTTGGTGCTGGTTTTGCTGCAAGGACCCTTGTAAATGGACTTGCTTTTCCCGTGTAGAACACGGTCAAGTCCGCCGCGGGTGCCTCTGGTCTGCAGTTCTCGGCTAGCCACGTACTGCCACGGGAATCGTGTAATAGTAAGAGCGCACTTGGGCGAGATGGGAGGACGCTCAGATCAACCTTTCGAGTTCGCGTAAATGGCCCTAGGCATTGCTTCTGGGAGAAAGGACAAAGCGACGAAGTTATCCGCCGAGTGCAGGGGACTGGAGCGCGATTTTCCCTCGTGTATCACGGACGGGGTGCGGCGAAATCTTCAAGTCTGAAACTGGACGCATTGGACGCATCCTCTTGGTCATCCAGGTTGCGAAGCATCTTCTCTCGGGATCGTGATTGCGAATTGCTGTCCACCGACAAGGAAAATCCCTCATGGAATGTTGGTGGAATACTGAGTAGGAGGCAAACCAGCGCCTTTAAGTGCCGTACTCCATAGATCTGCCCCCAGGATGCTGCGGCAACGGGCGTCGGAGATGCGCCGGGCGTAGCATCTGCGACAACGTAAAAAGTACGGAGTACGGAGTTCTCAAGTACGCAGTCAAAGGTAACGATCTTGAAGGAACCCTCAGCAGCCCCCCACAGAAATAATATTTTACTTGGGTGGATTATGGTGTTATCCTGAGGCTCCGAGTTTTCCAGAAAAATGCCGCAGGAGACCTTATAGCCTCCACCAAACCTATCCCGAATAAACATACCGAGCTGGGGCTCCTGTTCAAGAAGGGTCGCTTTACGACCCGAGTTCCGCTTGAGGTTCTAGCAAACAGGATCGCAAAGTCAAGAGCTCGGTGCTCGGGCGTTTAAAAAGGACGAGGGTAATTTCGACGCGGCGATTCAGTTTCGTATCCGGTAAGCTCGATTGTGGCATCCACTGGAACTTGTGCTCCACGGGCTCCCACATAACAAGAACGAGGCCATAGGCTATCAGCAGCGACAAGAGCTGGGCACAAGGCTGATGGGTCACAGACCACAGATCAGGCTGATCCAGGCGCAAAACAGACCAGGCAGTGGAATTCTGTCGGTGCAATTTCTTTTTCCACAATGTTGATGTTGTTTACTTTGTTATTGTCAAACATTCCTAATTTAGGGCCCAGTGGATTGGCCAGACCAGGACATCGAAGGGTCTGTTGCAGAACCACCTCGATGCGCGCCAGAATCCGCACTGCATCCAGCGCTTGTCGCTCGCCTGGCACTAGTGAAATTCACACCTTAAGCTTTCAATCAAACTGTGGGCCTCGACTTGTGTGTTTTGAATCTCCCAAAGCACCACAGCTGGCCGGTTCGGACCTGGGCAACATCACTTGCGTGGGCAAATCAGGCTCAACCTAAGCAGTCAAGCTTGATGTGTAAGTAGATGAATAATCCCGGGCGCGCCGGCCCCGGATATGTTAGGAACTGGACACTCGGCTGGCAGACCGGGCGGTCTACGTAATCGAGATCAATATCGTTAAAGCTGCAGCCCTTCTACGGCCTGTGGGAGGGAGATATCAGCTTTCCTCTGTCTGCGGGCGCCAGACACCGCCAGGTGCTCCGGACTAGGTAATAGTCAGGCCAAGTTACAGCGCGCGCGCACGCCGGTTAGCGGTGCCCGGCAAACTGGGGATTCCCATGTCGGAGGAAGGCAACGACGGGGCCGACTGCTGGGCAGTCAGGGTTCCAAAATGGCTCGTCGTTTGAAAGCCTGGCTAACCTTGCGATACACGGCCGTACATTCCCACTGCAATAAATGGTTCAAATGACAGATCGCAGGGATCGGTGGACATCTAGCTGTTGAGAGCTAAGATCAACTCGGCGGCCCATACGTGCACCATCGTCAAAGGCCGTCGTTCCCAGAGTGGGCGGGCGGTGATGCTCGCAAATGATACGACGCAATGAAGTCAGCGTGGACCCGTCTATCCTTCTGCACCCGAGCATGGTTTGCAACAAGGATGGAATCATGGATATCTAGCCCTTTGGGATACAGGGAAAAAGACCAGAAAAAAGAATCATTCCCACAAAGAGTGGTGAGGCCGGAGTCGGCGAAAGTTGAAACACTGGACAAGTAAACGGGCAAGCCACAATCACAGGCGATTCTGATCACAGTTCAGGGCCTGAAAAAGGGACTTGTCCTTGAGTGAAGGACGGTCGCCGGCAGATGTGAGAAAACCCAACCTTCTCTCATCGCCGACTTTCCACACACACAAGTGGCCACACATATTATTACCGAGCTATCAAGAATATCGTTCATGGACAACATGCGACAAAACGAGGCTGGACTTCATCAGGCAGAGGCTCAAATGGTGGTAGGAAATTGCTCGACCAATAATTGTAGCTGGAAAGCTAACACATCTCAGCGTACTCCATAGACTGAATGATATCTAAAGAAGCAAAACTTGTCCTGCGCTGTAGAGCCTACTCCGTACCCGGGCTTATCTTTAGATTCAACATAATATGATCTCCAAGCTTTTGCTTCTCCTATTTCCCGCCACCAAATTCGTTGGACGCCAAATTCACGGAGGAAGAGACTGTAGAATTTTCAAGGATGGAGCTGCTTCATGGTCAAAGGGTAGCAGCATAACGCGTCCCAGAGAGTTGGCAGTAATGAGATAGCATAGGGAGTGTTGGCGTTGCTTCTTCCTTCGTCTTTGGAGTGCGCCCGACGGGTTGCTTGGGGGGTGCCTGGAGGGTGCAAACTGCTGGGCGACGGGGATGGATAGCTGAGGACCTGAGGACTCCTTCACCACTGGAGCCGCTAACCTGCGACGAGCAATCGCTGCACCTTCCCTCGCAGGCCCACGTCATTGGTGCCGTAGGAACGCCGGTAGTTGATTGAGGCGCCGCCTAAGACCGGTAGACAGACACCAAAAAAATCAAAACATTCTCATGGTGGAGTTTAGGCACAGGTCCTCATCCAACCGTCCATCTCCCTTTACTCAACCCACCCTTACGGCCTCTTAGTAACTCGATCCCTGCACATCCGGCGGATTGGCGGCGTTACCTCAAACCGCCATAAGTCTCGTTTCGAGGAACCCACGTTCCTCCACTACTGTTGCACGGACTTGCACACTTGTTATTGGTGTCAGCGTTACCAAGGTGCGTATGGCTCGGTACGGCAGACCGTATCTGTTACCGTCAAACATGCCCGTTGCCCGTGTCTTTCCCTTATCAAATGGCTCACGCGGCATGCACGCTGACCTCAACCTCAAGGAAAGCTTAAGCAGCCAACCAGATTCCTCCTCCGGGGACCTTGTTCGAACTATCGCAGCTCCACGGGCTTGTCGGATCGCTGGTGGAGCCCATTTTCCTGTGAACCCGCCAGTGATTGTTGTGAAGGTGAGCTTGCCATTTCCTTCTGCTCTGCTCGTATGGGCTTTACTTTAAAGAGGGGTTGTACGCTGAAAGCTCCAAGCTCTCTTCTTATTTCATCAGCTTGGTCTTCCCGCCTGACCTTGTTGTCGTCGTCGTTTTTCTTCTTCTTCGTTTTCCTTTCCCTGCGTACTAACCTCTCCACTCCCACAGTGAACCATGGCGGAGAAACAGGATCTCGAAAACGGCGACCCAAAGCGCGAAAGAATCTCTTTCGCCGACGGATGGGATCCTGATAAGGACGAGGGCGAGTATGCCAACCTCATTCGATTCATTTCCACCTACCGCGACCGTCGCTTCTCCAAAGCACCCTCTCAAGTCTCCGGTGAAGATGCTGCAGATACCACACAAAAGAAGCACCCTTGGTGGAAAAAGCTCTTTGGCGTCTCTGCCGGTCCTGGCGCACTCTACGAAGTACCAGAGGAATGGCTCAACACCGACATTCACACGGGTCTGACTGAAGCGGAGGTGGAGGTCAGACGCAAGAAGACCGGCTTTAACGAGCTGTCTACTGAGAAGGAGAACATGCTCGTTAAATTCATCGGTTACTTCAGAGGGCCTATTCTCTATGGTCAGTCTTTACCACGGGATAACGCTTTTGCTTGCAAGCGATACTGACTGTGAATAGTGATGGAACTTGCTGTCCTCCTTGCTGCTGGTCTACGCGACTGGATCGATTTTGGTGTCATCATCGGTATCTTGATGCTTAACGCCATTGTCGGTTGGTACCAGGAAAAGCAGGCTGCCGATGTCGTCGCCAGTTTGAAGGGCGACATCGCCATGAAGGCTGAAGTTGTTCGTGATGGCAAAATCCAAGAGATCAAAGCTCGTGAGCTAGTGCCTGGTGACATTGTAAGCCTCTCCCCTCTCCTTTCATTTCTGTACATCTTGCTAAGGACATGCTACAGCTCATCCTGGAAGAAGGTTCCGTCGTCGCCGGCGAAGCCCGTCTGATCTGTGCCTTCGATGACACCGCTGCCTTCGAGGAATACAAAGAGATGATGACTGATCCCGAAGGATACCACTCAAAGAACCACACAGACTCTGATGACGACGACGAACACCACATTGGCAGCTCGATCGTTGCTACTGATCAATCTGCCATTACTGGAGAGTCGTTGGCCGTCGACAAGTACATGGGTGACATCTGCTACTATACCACCGGCTGCAAGCGAGGCAAGGCCTACTCTGTTGTCACCGAGTCCGCTCGTGGCTCTTTCGTCGGCAAAACTGCGTCTCTTGTCCAAGGTGCTCAGGATTCTGGCCATTTCAAGGCTATCATGGACTCCATCGGTACGGCGCTGCTCGTCTTGGTCGTGTTCTTCATCTTGGCTGCTTGGATCGGTGGCTTCTTCCACCACATCAACATCGCAACTCCTGAAGACAGCTCTATCAACTTGTTGAACTACGCACTCATCCTGCTCATCATCGGTGTTCCCGTCGGTCTCCCTGTCGTCACCACTACCACCTTGGCCGTCGGAGCTGCCTATCTCGCCAAGCAAAAAGCCATCGTCCAGAAATTGACTGCTATCGAGTCTCTGGCTGGTGTCGATGTTCTATGCTCTGACAAGACCGGTACCTTGACTGCAAACCAGTTGACCATCCGCGAACCTTATGTCGCCGAAGGCGAAGACGTCAACTGGCTCATGGCATCTGCTGCTCTTGCTTCGTCTCACAACTTGAAGGCTCTTGATCCAATCGACAAGATCACCATTCTCACGCTCAAGCGATACCCGAAAGCCCGTGAGATCTTGCAACAGGGCTGGAAGACGGAAAAGTTCTTGCCTTTCGACCCTGTCTCCAAGCGCATCACCACCATTTGTACATTGAAGGGTGAAAGATGGATGTTCTGCAAGGGTGCGCCAAAGGCGGTCTTGTCTATTGCAGAGTGCGACGAAGCCACTGCCAAACACTACCGTGACACTGCAGCCGAGTTTGCTCGCCGCGGCTTCCGATCCCTCGGCGTTGCATCCAAGCGCGGCGACGAACCATGGAAGATCATTGGCATGTTGCCCATGTTCGACCCCCCTCGTGAGGATACTGCGCATACCATTCTCGAAGCCCAGAATCTCGGTCTGAGCGTCAAGATGTTGACTGGTGACGCCATCGCCATTGCAAAGGAGACCTGCAAACTGCTCGCCCTTGGTACCAAGGTGTACAACTCTCAACGTCTTATTGCGGGCGGTGTTACCGGTACTACCCAGTACGACTTGGTCGAGAAGGCCGATGGTTTCGCTGAGGTGTTCCCCGAGCACAAGTACCAGGTCGTCGAGATGCTTCAACAACGTGGCCACTTGACTGCCATGACTGGTGACGGTGTCAATGATGCCCCATCCCTGAAGAAGTCGGACTGCGGTATTGCTGTCGAGGGCGCTACCGAAGCAGCTCAAGCCGCTGCTGATATCGTTTTCCTGGCGCCGGGTCTCAGCACCATCGTCGATGCCATCAAGGTTGCTCGCCAAATTTTCCAGCGCATGAAGGCCTACGTGCAATACCGTATTGCTCTTTGCCTGCACTTGGAGCTTTACCTGACCACCTCGATGATCATCATCAACGAAACCATCCGTACCGATTTGATCGTCTTCTTAGCCCTGTTCGCCGATCTTGCCACTATCGCGGTTGCGTACGACAACGCCCACTACGAACCCAGACCCGTCGAATGGCAGTTGCCTAAGATCTGGGTCATTTCGGTCATTTTGGGAGTCTTGCTTACCCTTTCCACATGGATCATGCGTGGTTCCTTCTATCTGCCAAACGGTGGTCTGGTCCAGAACTTTGGCAACGTTCAACTAATGCTTTTCTTGCAAGTCTCACTGGTTGAGAACTGGCTTATTTTCGTTACCCGTGGTGGAAAGACATGGCCTTCTTGGAAGCTGGTTGGTGCCATCTTTATTGTCGACGTTATTTCCACACTTTTCTGTGTCTTCGGCTGGCTCTCAGGCGCCAAACATGAGCTGAAGACGCTACCGATTGATCATTTTACCCGAGATCACTACAGCGTCCAGACCTCCATTGTCACAGTCGTTGTCATTTGGGGTTACTCGATTGGTGTCACTATTGTGGTCGCCATCGTCTATTATCTCCTTACCAGCATGGCCTGGATTGACAACCTTGGCCGCGCCCAACGCAGCCATGCCGACACCACTATGGAGAACATTCTGTCGCATCTCGGCCGCGTCGCTCTTGAGCACGAGACTGATGTCCACGGCAAGCCCAAGTGGGTCTTGGGCACCAGAGCCACTGGAGAAGAAGAAGATGTAAGTCGCCCTGTCCCGCAGAGTCCTGTTACTCAAAAGCTGACCAAATCTCCCAGGAGTAAATGCCATGCTAGCATGGGAAAAGAGGTCTTCCTTTCGGTGTCAGGCAGAAGGGGTTGCTACCGAAAGCGCGTGATCTTCTTGTTATTTCATAATTCGAGCTAATGGAGGTGCAAGCTATGGAACAAGCCGGTGCGAGTCGGACAACCAACCGCCGATTACCATGTATTGTTTTCCACAGCAGTGCCAAACCCGAAAAAACATGAAAATAACCCGTACTTTCTTGATATGATAGACCTTATGTGAAAACAAGCACCTCTTCAGTTGGGGCGAAATTGTCTTCGATCAGTGCCTGCCGTCGCGTGATGCTATCCCAACGAGTAGTACTCCGTATAAGGGACCACTCACTGCCTCGCTCTGTATCAGTGTATAATAGTAGTGTCTGGAGTATCCATCCGTACGTGCCACCAGGATCTGCCCGGTCCCGTCTCACCAGCGAGATCGATTCAGCACGCAAGAGCCGAGTCCCAGCATCTGCCATACGAGTATGGATCCAGCCCGCCCACTTCGCGAGGTTGGCTAACATTTAGTCGGTGATTTCTCTCCCATGCCCTGCCATATCATGTCAACCTATCACCCCCCACGTTGACTGTACAATGGCTACCTAGGGGATGATCGGAGGAGGCCAGACCAGCAGCACAGACATGTACCTCAAAACAACAACAAACAAACATTTCGGCAACCCACAACACTGTGTCAGTCTAACTCTGCCCTGTGCCATCCGTCAACCTTATTACACTTGAAGTATGGCTCGAGCGCAGTGGAAGCACAGGGCGTCATCTTGGTCGAGCGCGAGGCTGTTAAAGCGGCATTAAGTGTGCCCATGTCGCGTCTAGTGCGCGCCGGGCAATCGATAAGGAGCCCGTGACGCTTTTGCTCTGTTGGCTTTTTGCGCGAGTTGTCCTCTTCCAAATCAGGTGGAGGAGCACCACGTTCCACAAAAGAAATCTACGCAACCACCATCTCACCTTCTGACTCTCTACCTGCGCTTCTTTGGGAGAACAGCCACACTGCTGCTGTCTAAAAGCGTGCCACGTCTTTTCCGTCTTGGTGTCTTGAAGACACAGCGACCTCTTTCGGCCACTCCCATCAGTCCAACGACTTTGGTTCGGGACCCATGAAACGCATTCTCCCAACGACGGATCGATAACTCCCACCGCAATGGAGTACCTCTCCCTCCTCATACCGATCGCCTACCTAGGCATCCTGATCGGCTCGATGGCGACGTTCTCGCACCTCTACCGCCAACGACAGGTCAACTCGAAACTGCGGCTTGCCCCCTATTTCGGCCCACACACGACGCGCAACATCTACCTGTCCCTCCTGCACCTGCAAGACCAGGCCGACTCTTCCTCCTCTTCGACCGGCACCACCAAAGTCCCCGACAGCGTCTTACGTGCGGCCCTCCTCGCCCGTGCGGTGGAAGACATCCAGCGCATCATGGAGGTCCGGACTCGCAAACCCGCGCTGACGCAGCTCCTGCAGCGCGGCGTGGTCGGCGATGAAATCTTCCAACGCCTCACGCGAGCCGAGCAGGAAATGGAAATCGAGCTCAAGGACGTCGTCGCCGAAGCCAACGCTCTCGCGCCCAACTGGGGCCAGACCATCTTCCAGAGCGCCAATGAAATGGTGCAGAACAAGGTCCTACGCGACAAGTTGGACGCCGTCAAGGCCACACTGCCCGTCGAGAAGGCCGCGTGGGATGCACAGCGCGAAAAGTCTAGGAGAGAACTGTTGGGCGTCGATTCCGATCCGGTGGCCGTGCCAGTGGCACAATCGGCTCCGGGTCAACTGTCCCTGGCAGAGCAGGCCGCCAGAGCTGCCGCCATGTCTGCAGTCACGAGCAGCGATGATGATGGTGTCATCGTTGAATCTCCTGGTTCGGGACAGCCGACAGCATCAACAGCTCGCACAGGTGGAACGGGAGCTGGCGCCGGCGCCGGGGGCGGGAAACACAAGAAGAAGAAAGGCAAGAGATAGAGAATGTGTCAACACTGTTTCCATAGTCCCTGCATCGCATCACTTTAGCTGAGGCTGAAGTTCTATGAGCGTCCCCCAAAAGCGGCATTAGATGGAGAGTCTCTTGCTTTCATGCGTAATGATACAAAGTTGGTTTCAACCAGTTCCTAGTATTACTATATATACATCGTCCCAAAATCCGTCCACACACGGTGGTTTCGTCCTTCAGACTTGAGTGTCGTCCCAATCACGACGGTCGAGAACATCGGTGGGAACAGCAGTCTTCATCTGCGCAGCGGCTTCCAAGACGTCTTGCACCATGCCGCCGTCACCGTCGCCTCCTTTCGATGTCTTTTCCATGACCATGCAAAGAAACGATGCCAACACATCCAAACGGAGCTGCTTCGCCTCTCTGCTCTCAAGATCGCTGAACGCCTCTGGGTCGGCCTCTGCTTCTTGCATGTTTTTATCCATCATCGCGACCACGATTTCCGTAAGAGTCTTCACGGCGGTCTGATATTGTGAGCTCTTCGAAATGCGCCGGTTCCGGCCGCCCGGCGGAGTCGGGGCAAAGTCCGTCGCAAACGAACGCGCGGCTTGCATGATGATCAGGCGGGTGATTTCCTCATGCGGCAACATGTTGAACGAGTTGCGTAAGCCATACAGAGCACAGAGTGTCCCGTGCATATCATACGACAGGCAGAAACATCGGATGATCTGCTCGTAGAACTCGGCAGAAAACTCGTCCTTTGCAGAGTCTCGCTTCTCGGGCTGCAGCGATTCAAGCCACTCTTGCATCTCCGCAAATAGGGTTCGCGCATCAGGGAATCTCTGGTTATGAGCAGCAGGTGATCCGTAGTGGGTCTTTGCGGTGTCCCAAAGCGCTGCAAAAGTCTCGAGGTCGGGCGCGATCGACTGCCTCAGCGTACAGTACTTCGTCCATACATCCGGAATCCGCCCCAACCGGAGTGATGCGTACAACCAATGGTTCATGATGAATGAGTTGGGGTTGATTTGCGCCGAGACGGTCATGATATCTGTGAGACGATTCGCGTTCACAAAGTCCGACCGCCGGGTATAGTGTAACAGGAGGATCGAAAACGTCTCAATGGTAGCAGCTGGTGCGCCTCGCCGAAGGAAAAATGGCGTCTGCTTCACCGGAAGAGAAGCACTCGGTTTGGCTTGTGCTGTACCGGCTTCTTGAGAGAGTCGGCTCTGTACTAGATCGATACGAGCTTGAATCATTAGCCAGGCAGTATTCTCGGCCTTCTGCCGCGCGCTGGGGGATCCTGCGCGGACCCAAGCCGCAATGAGGCCGTTTAGATGTCGAGCATCAGGTTTGACTCCTCGCTCATACATCAACTCCACCACCAAAGCGGCTTCGTCCACCTTATCCTCTCCCAGGAGCCACTTGATCCACGATGCGAAGAAGAATTTGTTATGAAACGATCGCGGAAGGACAGCCAGTGTCGCAAGTCCAATCCGACTAACCATATCTTCACTTGATGACTGTGCGCCCTGGGACTGTTTGGCGACTTCCTGAAAGGTCTTCCAGGAGTCGCTCGGTGACCTGGCCCTGAGCAAAAACATATCTTTGAAGACCGCTAGAGCAAGCTCTGTACGGCCTGCATCGAGTAAGACGCTGCTGATCCGGCCTAGGACACCTACAATTGTGTCGTCATCTTCAGAGCTCTCCAGCCGTCTTCGTAGCTCCAAGTAGCAGAACCATGCTCTTTCTGCGGCGGTCGGGTTCTGGCTCTTGGCCCATGCAGAAATAACCATGACAAGGACATCTGGGTCGACAAGCGTGGTGTGGTCGTAGCATTCGAAGGCAAGGGTTTGTGCCTTGTGCGGTTTTCCCAACTCAACATATATCTGGATACCAGCGACCCAAAATTCCTCGGCGAGGTCATCGTTAAGCCCCAGTCGAGATCTCCGTCCCTCCCATGTTTCGGCCGCGGCAGCAATGTCACCGTTGGCTCGCAGGGCATCAATGTATTGGATCCATTCCTTGTCCTCCAACGGCACCTCGGCTTTATTCATATCCCCCGCCAGCATCTGCAGGTGCTTTGGTCTGTAGTACTTAGTGCTCTGCGTCTTCCAGAGGAAATGCCAGACATCTTCGGGAATGATGATGGAAAAGTTGGCCACATGCTGTTGACATCGGAGATACCACTTCCAGAGTGCAAAGTAGATGCGCTCGTTGGGCGGGCCCTTCTCCGCCTCTTGTAGCGCCAGGTTGAAGCGCTTGACATAGATTTTATCCCTCGCGGGTATGCCGAGAGTGACCTTTAACGTGGATTTCTCCTGGGATTCGCGCTTGATCTCTTTTTCATCCTTGGCCAATTCGTCCAGTTCTTCATCGGTGATCAAGTCCAGATCTTCCCGAGGCAGGACGCCTTCCTCTTCCAACGCCTTGAGAAGTGCCTCCCTTTCGCTGGCTGGGAACGAACGCATGAACTCGCTGTCAGGACCAAACGGCCCTTGCCGCATAATGGCGAGCTCACGGTCCAACTCTTCCAGCTCCGCCCGGACTTGTTGCCCTTCCGTCTCGAGATAGTCGTGGACCGGGACTCGTGTTGAAGCATCTTGCCCCTGCTGCTCAAATTCACGTATATTGAGTTGTTCAGTAGATGCAACTGGGGCATTACGGAGAGGTCGGGGTCGAGGTCGAGGTGGTTGTCGATAATGACGGACAGGCTGAAGAAGTTGCAGGCAGGTTTGATGGCCACCGAAGCTGGGGGACAGGTAGAATTGTTGGTGCCATCTTCGAGAGAGACGGCAAATGCTCCGCATAGAGGGACACGAAGCTGACAAGCACAACAAACTGCACAAAGGTTAGATGAAGCCTGGTTTGAAATCCGCATGAAGAAAGAAAAAATTGCCTTGACATTAATTACGTTGTATACGCCGTAGAAAGACCGGGAAGAAAATGCGGAGAACGCGCCTCAGCCAAAAGCCCAAAGCCCACCGCGTCGTGTTTCCACCCACAGGCATCGATCGGGCTTCTGATTTCAGAGTGTGATTCCTGGCACTTGTGGGATTTGGTATGATCAATGGACCCAGAAGAGATCCAGACCGAAGACAACGCTCACACTGTAAGACCAATTCACGATCCCTCGGCCATTTCCTGCTAAGTAGAACAGGGGTGCTACATCTTCAAACCTGCGGGCCACGACGATGCTGAACCAGTTGACCGGCCGAGAAAAAGACGAAAGACCACCAAGTCTCAGTCACAGTCACAATATAACGGCGGGGACGGGGACGGGGACGGGGACCACACATGGCCCGCACTTCTCGGGGGGCAGGAGGCTGAGGCTGCCATGCGACTACGGAAACAGCAGTTTCGAAGCCAATGGGAGACACACCAGGCGATGATTGATGAGGCCGTGAACGAAGTGGACGATACATTCGTGGACGACGTTTTACACTATGTGAGACAAGAGCAGGCAAGTTCTCCAGGCAGGCTCAAGGCCGGATTGCTCGTCTCTGTGCCCGGGCACAATGCACAACGCGACCTCGTCCAGGGCTGGAAGAGCAGACGGGCAAACGAAGGCGACACCAAAGAAGTCCTCGTCGCCCTCTCTCCCACCCACGCGCCGAACATGCAGACTGCACTGAAGAATGTGATCCGCATGGCGATTTGTCAAGACGGTGGATGGGAGGAATACACGGAATTCCTGGCCCAGCATAAAGCGATGATCCCGATGAACTTCGACCTGGAACTGCTGCAAAAGTACGTGCAAAAGCATGGGATCCAGAGAGTCCTGGTGTCTGTCCCGGACATCGAAACATTTGACACGGCCATCCTCGCCGAATTGATCTCCATGTTGGGGTCCTGGTCTGCTCGAATCCCGTTGGTCTTACTGATTGGGATATCTACGACGGTCGAGCTCTTCGAATCTCGACTGTCCAGATCGACAGTCTCGCTCCTGGAGGCCGAGGTGTTTGAACCATGCCAGTCGCCGAAGCAGCATGACCCGCTGACGGCCATCTACGAGGCGGTCCAATACTCGGACACGACGCAGATGTTCCTTGGCCCTGCTGTACTGGCTATTCTGGCTGAATTGGCAGAGGACCAAAGCACGACGACCGAGACATTTGCGCGCACCATGCAATACGTATTCATGTCGCATTTCTTCGCGAACCCCTTGTCTGCATTGTCATCCCCCTCGGAATCCAAGATATCCGATCAACCAACCGTGTGCCGGGCAATCCGCAACACAAACGGATTTAAGAGATACTGCGAAGCCCTCGCCAAAGGAGATGCAGCGCAGCGTCAGAAGGCTCGTGCTCTACTGGTTTCGGATGAGACGCTCGAGGAGGAAGCCTTGGAGGCGATCCGCGCGGGCCAACAGCGGCTGCGCTCCAGCCTTGCCGCCATCAGAACGCTGAGAAGGCTCTCTCGTTATCTGCCCAAATCCCATGGCCGTGGACGCCCTTCTCTCGACATCGAGACCGAGCTGCTTGCCGCCCTACCTGATCTCACACAGACCGAACACTTCGAAGCCGTTGAGCTGGCGATCCAGGAAATGGACTTCGTACGATTCCGGGCCTTCTTCAACGAGGCCGCCTCGACTTTGGAGGACGTGAAGCTGTTCGAGGCCAGTCAGCCGCGCACGGCCACGGCCACGGCCACGGCAGAGATACGGACGTACACTGACATCGAAGAGGCCATTAATGCCGTCGACACCACCATGGAAGACGATAGTGCTACCGCGCTCACCGAGGCCTTTTCGGGCCTTCTGCGACGCTATCTCCACGGCAAGACGTCTCTTCCTTCGCCGGACACGGCACCTCTGCAAGCAGTCACCAATCCGTTCCACGACTTCATGAGCGAGGCCTTCACATACACACTGAAATCGCCGCTCAATGCCATCGTGCACCCACGAGCCCGGTACAGTCTGGAACGAGCGCTGACCCGCCCGGCCGACTATCTGGGCTGCGAGTGCTGCATGTCATCGAGCAGGACCGGCGAGGTTGCCGACCGCGCCACCCTGCCTGCGACCAGTCTGCTGCTCAGCATGCTCAACGAGGCCGGCCACGTGGTCAATGTGCGGGACTTGTGGGACGCGTTCCGCGACACCATTGCCCCCGCGCTTGCAGGATCTTCTGGGAGGAAGGTTGACAGCGTGTTGCAGGCCCGGGACGGAACCGAGGTCAGCTTGTCGCCGCGCCTGGAGCAGCGACGACCCGACAACGAACCCCGAGAAGCTGACGAAGACGAAGACGGAGACGGAGACGGAGACGGAGCTGACATGCCCTCGGAAGCTATGGAACGGCAGGCTCTGGCTCTGTTCTACCGCGCCCTCGCTGACCTGCGCCACCTGGGATTCGTCAAGCCGAGCAAACGCAAGCCCGGGGTCGACTGTATCGCGAAGACGGCGTGGATGGGTCTATAGGGGATATTGCGGATAAGCCAGTCCGGTTGGTGGAGCTACTAGATGAAATATGTGGACGTGTATTGCATTCCTCTTCCATTGACGCTCTGTGGTATCTCATAACAGAATAAGTACAATACGACACAACAAAAGAGTGATCGAAAACACCGCTGTCAATGCCAAAATCCCAAGGCGCGAGACTCGTCAAGTCCACGGTCTCGCTGGTCCTGAATCCAACCCTCACCGAGACAAGCAAGCAGGAAACATAAAAGATAGAAAACCAAGACAACAATAATAGTAGTAGATATCACAGTCAACGTCAACAGGGCCAGATGGTTTCGGTTCGGTTCGGTTTGGCTCGTAGCCTTATTCTTTCAGCGTCGCTGCGGCAGCTTTGAAGGTACACCTCGAGCAAAACTTATGGAGACAACTCGGGTCCTCACAAGCAGAGCTCAATTCGAGGGAAGATGGGGCTTTGCAGTAGCAACAGATGATAAGGTCCGCACAGCGAAACCGTCGCTGAGGACGGCGGTGTGGTTGCGTGCGTACCTCTGGAGCCCGTGTCTTGGTGTTTGTGTTGCAACTCATATCTGCCTGAGCCTCAGTCTGTTGCTCCGGAATCCTCGCAATCACCGGGATCGAGGAAGTCGGGTCTTGGGCCAGTGACGTGCCGTCGAAGGAAAACGATGAGGATGACAGTGACGAGGACGAGGACGAGGACGACGAAAGTATGCTGTCGGCCTCGCCTCGCATACTGTCTGCTTGTGCCACCTGCGAAAGGCTCTGGTCTCGAGGCTTCTGGACAGATTCCTCTTTCCGTCTCCCCCGCCCGGTCAGTTCTATCCAAGATCTGGGGGCTTTTTTGTCCTTGTTGAAGTGATCGCCAATATGATCGAATCGTGCATTGACCGCGTCGACGCCGTGTTTGTTGTGCCGCATGATTTGATTGCAGAAGCCACACCAATAATGTCCTTGGTGGTTGGCGGCGATCTGGAACTGTCCCACATTGTAACGACCATCTTGTGGATGACACACGGGGTGTGCTTCACGCATGTGCTGGATATAGTTGTCTTGATCGTAGTAGAACACTTCATGACAGTCCACACACAGCCAGCACTCCAGTTGTTCGTGCTGCGTCTGCTCGTGTCTCTTCCAGTCGTTCTTACTGCCAAAGGTTTTGTTGCATCCATCCGAGGTGCAACCATACGGCTTTTCATGGCGGATCAGGTGCTTTCTTAGATCACTCTGGCGTGGTAACACCTTGCTGCAACCCTCCACTGTGCAACGAAACGCGGTCTTCTCGTGGCCTGGATATTTCTTGCTGGCGGGGCCAGCCGAGGCGGGCGAAGCAGTAGAAGGCCCCGCCGAGGAGCCACCACCACTGGCGTTGGTGGTGGACAAGGACCGCAAGCTCGACCGGACCAGGTTGATGATGTCTTCCTGTGACATGGAGACTCTGGTCTTCTCTGACTTTGAGCTATGTTCGAGTAAAAAAGCGTTGATTTCATCTTCAAGGAGTTTGCCAATTGGCGTCTGATTCTCCGGGGGGATGAGGTTGACCTTGAAGGTCTGGTTGGGTGAAGTATCAGAGCTCGCGCCAGTTGCCGTGTTGTCTGTACTCCCGCCAATGTTGAGTAGAAGTTCTTCTTGCCTGCCGCTCAGATCATTTGACATGGCTGATGGGGGTTCTTGAGGCGTAGTCAACTCCGCCAAACTGTTGGATTCGAGAGCGGCGACAGTATGGGGCCCTTTCACTCGACGAATCTGGTCATTTTCTGCATCGTACTTGAACGAATGATTCATCGTCGTCAAGGGGCCATACCCTGGCCATGGATTGCCTGTAGAGAAATGAAAGTTTCCCATCGGGTCAAAAGAATCGGTGAGCAGGAAATCATTCGAATAGTTCGAGTATTCCAGTTGGGATTGTGTCCTTTGCATAGTCGCCACGGAGGAGGCGAGATTGTCCGTGTAGGCTGAAGGATTCAGGAACTGTCGTTGCAACATCGAGGCGCTGTTAGGGTTCGAAACGTTTCGGCGATGGACGCGTTGAGGCATAGAAAAGCCTGGCGATGTAGAGGAAACAAGGCTAGGATCCAGCAACTGGTGATCAAAGCTCAAGGATCGTGCCATTTGGTTGTCTGTGGTCATGGATGTGTCTGGAGGGTGCTCGGGGGCTGGACAGTTGTTTTGATATTCCTCTTGTGCTGCCATCATGGGAGTCACCGGACCGGAAGGGAGTAGGGTGTCTACATTGTTCGACTCTGCACCATCCTCTTGAGCAAAACGCTGTTGTTGTTGTTCATACCATTGCTCGGATAGTTTCAGAAGATGGTCTTGATCCTGGTGTTTGTGCACCTTTTGAAGATGCTGCTTGAAATTATCCAACCGAGGCCAATTTCTGGCTGCTCTCGGGCAGCCTTCAGCAAAGCACCTGTAGTACTCGGTGTTGCGGTTGTTCTCATGATGCACAGACTTGAGATGCCTGTCGAGGTCGTTCTTGGTCGCGAACCCTTTCGCTTTGCGCATGCACTGGGTATAGTGGCACCTATACTGCCGCTCATGGCGAGCATTATGTTTCCTGCCTCTGTCAGCAAGAAGCGATGGTAATCATTAGGCGTCTTAACTCACTTGAGGTCCGACCTATTCTTCGCGGCGTACTTGCACTCGTGGCACATCAAGGGCGCAGGCTTCTGACCTTGCCTTTTCGGTGTCAGACCTGTAGTGTGTCCAGACTCGGAAGATTCAGTGTTGCGAATGAAAGTTCTCGGGGCAGCTGTCGACGAAGGTAACGAGCTGTATGCTGGGACGTGATCAGGGTTGAAATAGGAGGGCTGACAGAGCGGCGAGCTTTGATCCATGGCATCGGCCCGAAGTTCATTCATAGATTCGACCTCATGTTGGGATTTTCCAGACCTCGACCCGTAAGCTGAGTCTCTAAATGATTCTTGTCCACTGGCTGCAGAGTTTGCGCGATGACGGATGGGCGTGATTAGCTGCTGAGGCTTGTCATAATCGCCGAGCCCGACATGGGTAGACAACGTAACGGTTCTTCCTTCGGTCGCAGAGAGATGCGTCCAGGGTGCGGCAGTTTGGCCTTCCAGGTCTAGCTGGCTCGCTGGGTGGCTGGTTACGCTTCTGCTGTCAATAGAGGTTCTTGCGATATTTGGGTAATTGAAGGAATTTGAGGCTCTGCCAACAAGACAATATTGAGAATTTCCTTGGAAAGGGTCCCCAGATGGAAGAGATACGAATGATCTGGTAACATCAGGATGACTGTAGTCCATGGGTGGAAACAGCATCCTTGGGGTGCGATCACTGGCGGATGAGAGGGCGGATAAATCGGCCTGGAGATCGGCCAAGTCTGGAGAGGGCGGGTAGGCTGTGTGAATGCCAGTTGCGCCACCAGCATGAGATAGAGCGATGGATGCCTGGTAGGACGGGTTAGTTTCTGAAGGCATACACAAGGCATGGTGGCGGTGCGGAGCTACATTTGATCTGATTGCCTGTACCAGGCGGGCGAGAGACTGATGGGGTTGAGACTGTGCCTCCGTCATGTTGAAGGACATTGGAGAATGACTTCGAGACTTTGCTATGCTCAGGTCAATGAGGATCCTTGTAGATAGAACACCGCCTGAAATGTCGGGATGGCAGTGAGGCAGTAGCTGGAGAAGCTGGGTGACTTACTGCAGGCGAGTCCGTCTGAACTCACCGGGGAGTAGAGACGAGGACAAGGGCGAGAGGCGAGCGAGCAAAGTGATTGAGAGCGGCTTGTTCAATGAGTTGTTCCGAACAGACTGGCAGAAGCACAGCCCGCGAAGTTTCCGACTGGAAAACGCCTGGGAGTTCGCAAAGGCGAGGCCGGCCAATCAAAAGGCGACGTTGTGGTGGTCCAGCATGGCGTTGCCCGACGAGAAAATGAGGCGAAGGTCAGAGGCTAAATCCAGTCAACCCTGTCAGAGGCACAGACGAGACTGGCGAGAAGGACGGTAGGTGGACAGGGTAGAGCGAGAGAGAAGAGTAGACCGTCTGGACGATTTTCCAGAAAACATGTGTGGCTTGCTGGGGAAGAGGAGGCGGTGCAGATGAGGGACGAGGGAGGGACTCACCCAGGGATTTATGAAGCGGACCAAATCTCTCTCGCTCCTAAGTCTCGGGATTCCGGCTCTGTTATAGAGGAGTCATGTTCGGCGAGGAGATGGGACGAGGCTAAGATTCTTAGAGTGGATGGTTACAAGTTGGGGCGAGCAGAGAAGAGCTGGGAGAGTTGGGTCGATTTAAGAGGTCAAAGGTCAGGAGGGCGACAGAGAGGCGGGCGAGATAGGGTCCGATATGCCGCGGTGGGAGCAGGAGAGAAGAGAAAAGAGAAGTGAGCAAGCAGCGGCGCGGGTGCGGTGCTGTGTTGTGCAGTGCAGTGCAATGCAGTGCGTTGTAACCGGTGAGCAGGCTGAAACGGAGATGGAGATGGAGATGGAGATGGACATGAGGATGGTGGAGGATGAGGATGGGGAGGATGTCGTAATGCCGGTATCACTAGGTAGGTACCGAGTACGTGGTACAGTACCTCCGTAAGGTACTGTAACATCACCTCGCTACCTACCGCCTACTACCTGGCTACCTGAGTACTACCTAAGGGCAATAGGTACTACTAGGTAGGAGTAATGCCTCCGGTGGTGGTCTCTCCAGCCCCGGGGCACCTCCAACCCAGGACTGCAGTGCCCAAGCAGCCTACCTACCTTAGGTACCTAGTGGGTGTTGAATAGGTTGAGGTACCTACTGTAAGCACCTGCATGTTGGACTGTACCGAGTGGTCCCGGACACTTACACTGCCACTCCCGCCCGCACTGGCACTGGCACTGGCACCTGACCCGGGCTGCCATCCCTAGACTCAATGCACGGGTGCAATGCCAAGGACACAGCAGGGTGACTACCTCATACATGTACCCAACTACTCCTGGTGCTCCGTACGCCGTACGAATGTCTGCCTTGCCCTAGTCCCCATCTGGCAGACTTTGGCCCGCAGTTTGCCTGGCCTAAGAAGCCCGACTGTAATCCCGGTATCTTTGCTATCTTCACGTTCGAGGTAACTTGTGGTACTTTGGTTCCTTGCACAGTTTGCTACCTTGACCTTACGCACGGCACGGCCTGCCCCTGCCGACTCTGCACCAGACCGCAGACCGCAGACCGCAGACCGCAGACCGCAGACCGTCGCTCAACCCTGCCACTTTCGCCCTCTGCATGGTAGCTTTGTTTCTCGTTGGCTTCCGCCCAGGGTCTGGTGATTAACCAGGATCTAACACCATGAGCCAGACCTCAAGTCTCCAAACATGACAAGTTGCATACAATCATCATCGTAATATCATTGGCTGGAGTTCTGCTCATACACAAAGCTATACCATTCAACCGAGTTCCTCATATCATCAAAAAATCATCCAACCAAGCACAGAAGGTCCCCTGGGTATCTAGATAGAGAAGAAAGTCATGAACACCGGTCCCCGGCCTTCGAGCTCATCATCTCGCCGCGGTGCCGAAAAATCCCCCCTCCGTCAATGCCGCCGTCTACCATCCGTTCAAGTTGCCGTGCAAGAAACAGAAACACTAAATCCCCTCGCTACTGTGTATACTGCATGTTCGGCCCTGCCTCCCCATCCCCAGGGGCGCTAAACACGTAGTTTTGATGCATCGTCTGTAATCCCAGCCCGGACTTGCTGTCCATTGCCATGGGCGAGTGACCCGAAGGCTGGTGCAGCATGGGCGAGGCATATTGAGGGACGAACCCTGGCGTCAATGGCACATTTGGGTACATCCCAACCATGGGCGTCTGCGTATAATCTGCACCGGTCGAGTTGAACAACTGGTCATTGTATAGCGCGGGGACTGGCTGCGAATGTGGCGTCACTATCACACTCTGTGGGGATACATCGTACTCGTGCGGGTGTCCCCCGTCACCGACCTGCATGTATTCAGACGTGCTCATGTACGCGTGCGACTGTGATGGCATGGATACCGGACCGCCGTACGCGCTACCTGCCAGTCGTGGTTGCATCACCGGCGTCAAGACATGGCGGGTGTAAAAGCCAGGGTCGAAATGGTAGCCGCTGTTTTGAGACCGGCCGGGAAGTGACGCAGGAGACTGTCCTGCTGATGATGTTTGGTATGCCGATGTCGCGCTCGCAGGATAGGGAGATAGATTGTTGCCATCCATGTTAGTCGTCGCACCAGGACCCGTCGAAAAAGTCAATGGTGCCGTCGAAACCTGATCAACTGGGCTGACGACCGTGTCTGGCGCTACTTCACGCATGCTCACCAATTGCAGTACAGGCATGGCAATCTGTTCCAAGTGTTTGCCGATGTGTACCGACAGCTTTTTGAAACTCGAACATACATTGCCACAAAATCGGCACGGTTCGTCCCGTGACTTGTTGGATGTCTCATTTCGGCACGAGTCGACCAGGCGCCACATCTCATGGTCCTCTTGTCCAACCGACCAGCCCGCATTGTTGACGGCCTTGTTTTTACTGCTGCCGGATCCGCGGGCCCGTACCTTGGGCTCCTTCATCTTATGCTCTCGGACAAGATGTTGCACAAAATTGTCTTTGCGGAAGCAAACGTGCGAACATTCTTGGATGCTGCACTTCCACCATTCCAAGTGACGATGCCGTTCATTTTCATGCCGTACCCAGTCTGCTTTCCGTTTGAATGACTTGGATTCGGCACAGTGAGGGAAGGTGCAGGAAAATGGCTGAATGTCTTCGTGGACATGTTTGGTCCAGTCGGAAGGCTTGTGAAATTTCTTCACCTTGAAACACAGCGGACATTCCAGCTCTGCCGGCAGCCGCTTGGCTGGTGGTAATGGAATCCCCGGGGGAAAGAGCGCAGGAGTCACAACCCCTTCCGTAAATCCCGACTCGTCGATGTCAATGTCGGCGGCATTGCAGACTTGGAATTGGGTCAGGCTTGCTTCCGTGTCTTTGGAGCTGGCCCGAGGTGGTAAAAGTGTGGCGTCGCCACCCAGATCAAAACAAAACCTCCCGGATGGGCACTTATTGTTCGTCTGTACAGCACGAGTATGTTTGATCTTCGTTTCCACCAACTTCTTGTACCGTCGAATCTGCTCTTGGCCAATCCGCTCGATCAGGTATGGCTCGAGCCGAGGGTTCAGCCTGCGAGCGTGGTCTTTGAATCCCTCCAAAGTGGGCGTGATGTCTTCTGCTCGGATCTCAAGGTCCATCCGAATGGCGACCTCGTCTGTCTGATCGTCCTCGTCATCATCCGCGGGAGCATCTTCGTTGTCAATCACCTGCGCAGCCACAATTGGTTCGCGCTCATGCATGGGCGATGCAAGTGTTGGAACAGGTGGTCCACCGTGTCTCGTCATTAGTTCCGTCAACCCGGGGGTGGGGGATTTTCCGTGCTTGGACACATCACTCTTGGAGCGTTGCTTCTTCATGGCCTGCAAAGGTCCTGAAGACTTATAGGTGTCGGCATCCTGGGTCACTGGATTGCCTCGGCCAATTGCAGCCAGCTGGCCTGTCATTGCGATTAAAGCGCTGCCTGTGTTCAGAGGAGGAGATTTGGGTTTATTACTGAAACTGGGTTTCCGCTGGGCGGCTTTGATGGCACCAAGCGAGCTTCGGTGAGCATGTCCTTCTGGCGGAGACTGGGGATATGAGTCAGGCGGTTCTGGCTTCGTGTTGCTGCTGCCGCGACGCGGCAACAGGCCCCGGGCCTTGCTCAGAATGCTGTTGCCTCGTTCGCGGCCTCGCTTGGAGAGTGACAGGTGCCGTACTTGACTGCCTTCCACGATGGACCTTATTTCGCTTTCGCTAAGACGACGTCCTGTTCCCCAAGTGGCCGCTCTCGAGGCCGTCTCCCACTTGGCTGCTTCTTGATGGAACTTGTAGGCAGCCGCGTTTGATGTACTGGGCTGGTCTCTCGTACCACTGATTGGACCTCGCACTGGGTCTTGCCATGGAGTACGCCTGTAGAACTGACGCGGGAACGGCTCCTGGAGCTCTGGTGGTATTTCATCCTCCAACGCCGGGAAAGAAGTCTTGTCCGGCGAGTCACGGCTGTCAAGAGCCCGTGGCGACATGTGAGGCGACTCCGAATTCCAGTAAGCGTCAAGAATCTGTTCAGTATGACCTGCGATCTGGGACGAAGTTACAGACGCTCCCTCGGAATACTCACTCTCCGAATCTACCTCAACAAGCACCCCAGGCCCCGGGATATCCTTGTCCGAGTAGACACGGCCAAGCGTATCGACGTGGCCGGTGGTATTGGCACGATGCCTGGTTGAGGACGTTAAACGGCGCATGTTGCCTGCCAAAGTATTGGGTTCTGGCTCGCTACCAGCGTCGCTTGTTTCAAGCCAAGTTTGCACCTCAGCGTTACGTTCATCCCGTTGGCGCTGTTCCTCGATGTCTTTTATAGACAAAACCTCATCGTCTTTTCTCTGCGGAGGCTCCAGTCCGGTCCTATGCGTTGGGTTGATTCGCACGTTGTTGGTGTCCATAGGGCCAGGCGGCATCAAGTGAAAAGAGTCTACATTGATGTCTCCATGTTCGGAACGATCAATTGCATCGACGTCATCTTCATCCCCAACACCCTCGGCCCCACGAATGCGTTTACTAGAACTTTGAACAAAGTGCGGCTGTGCACCACGGTCTGCGCCTGTCCCTTCGTAACTGGACACCATGACGACAGGACTGGGTGCGCGCATATCGGGCGCGGGACGTTGCCGAGCACCAACCCCATGATTGGGGCAAGGAGTATGGTCAGGAGTTGTGGTGACTTCCAGGGTAGGGGAGACTTGCGTTTTCTGCGGTAATGATGCAGAGGTGCGGGCCATGGATTGATCCTGGCCCTGTCCACTAGGCTGCGTCTCCCTAGATATATCAAGAGAATGAGCTGTAGATATGCCCAGCTTAGGATCCGACAAATCTTGCCTAGTGACAAAGTCCGGGAAGGTTTCTTGTGACTCGGAGTAGAAGGCTTCCAGATCGGTGCCGTGTAGGAGGACCTTGTTGGCCGAGAATCCGCTATGGCCGTAGTTGTCCAGTATATGAGGCCGGGTTGGATCTTGGGAGACAAATTGCCGCTCCCAGATGAGTTCTTGTGGGGTAGTATGTTCACTGATGTGGTTGTCTGAGGAGCATTCCGTTGTCAAGAAGTCGTCAAACGAGGACTCATGATGGGACGTCGTGTCCTCCTCGAAGCTGAATAGATTCGCGGACGGATGGAGGATCCCAGGACTGGCAACGGGTAGATTGAACGCTGGATCTGAGGGCCAGCAGTCTAACCCGTCGCGACCCTGTTGTGAATCTTGCTGCGTGTGGGTAGGATTTGATGTTATGCTCGCGTTGCTATTATGGTTTCGATGCAGTGAGGGATTCGTTCGATATACTCTAGGTGCGGTCAAAGATGAAACATGCTGAACATGCCTCTGAGGATCTGGAGGTTGAGTGTGGAGGAACGACATGGTCTCTCGTGACATCGGAGTACAGGAAGTAGCAGAAAGAATGAATCCCTTCTACTGCGATCCGTTGTCAAGTGGGGAAGGTCTGTTCGGCGCCAGGTGATCGAGGCGTTGAATCATGGCCCGAGTAAGTTCGCCTGGAGAGGAGCTGCGGATTCTAGCAGGCTGGTGGGCCGGATAGTCGCTGACCGGGCCCGGCTTAGGTAGGGATGCAATCTGATTCTAAAGCAGACTTTGTGCTTGATCAAGAAACAGATCGAGCCGCAGCAGGTTGCGCCCAAGGTCCAGTGGAGTGTGTGGAGATTTTGCGTTCAGACAAACAGCCCACGATGTGTGAAGATTCAATTGACTCGCAGCTAGGTACGGGTAGGAGACTAGGAGGGAAGAGGAGAAGGTCAAGAAGGGATCGGTGAGTCTGTGACACCGGCCGGCTGTGTCTCCTGCTATGTGTCGGACAAAGACTGGGTGTAATGTGACTGGTCGCTAAACAGGCGGGAGGCTGAAGAAAGGTTCGGAGCAGATAGACGTCAACGGGGGTTGGAGGGGAGGGCTAGCGTAGTCACCGGGCAGACCAGCGGGCAGACTCGAGGAGTGTAGGAGGTAGAGAATGTGTCAACATGTCTATACGCAGATGGACAGCAGTATCTCAGGATAGGAAGGAAATGAAGCCTGCGCCGCGGAGCAGACAGCCTGATCAATCAGTCGAGGTCGGCGCTGCGGCAGCAAATGGCGGGACAAGTCGCCTAGGCGTAGCTTGAGTAGAGGGGCTTAGGAACGATGCCAGGAGAGATCAAGGATGTCTCCTTGGACAACGGTGCCAGTGTTGTCGCTGCAGGAGCGGCGGTGGTGGATTGAGGTGCGGTGCTGTGGTAGTAGAGCGCAGCGAGGTTGGCAGCGGCGCAGTGGTGCAGCGGTGCAGTGGTTCACTGGCAGGTGGAGTTCCGGTTCCAGCTCCAGTTCCAGTTCGCAGTCTCGGGTGGAGAGCTGGCATGCGGCGCGCCTAAATCTATAGGCTATAGGCCATCGCCCGGCAGCGTCACGGTCAGGAACTTGAACGTGGAGTCGGAGAAATGGTTTCTTTGCCCGCACCAACAAGAACATGAACATCAACACAGCCTCCCGCCAACCGCAGCTGTTAAAGCTACATGTAAGCTACCGGGGATTCTGTCCCTGTCCGCACTCTGTAACTTGGAATCCACCCACCGGTGGGCGCGGCGGGACATTAAAGTGACAAGCCACGATTTGAGAAGGCAGGGCGGCTGGATGGAACATACTATGATGCAATAGATCGTGCGGTGCTCCCCGACGCAAGGCAACCGGCTCGAAGATACCTTAGGTGCTAGGTATGAAGTTAGCTGGAGACAATGTTAGGCGGGCATCCGAGCTTTGATACGGGGGGAGCCTCCGCCCTGCCACTTTCACCAGTGGGCGGTTTCGGCAGCACAGCCCGGGATCAGCCTTACCGGGAGCACGAGCCCGGTTACAATTCAAGTCTCCATTCACCGACGGGATGTCAGCCGCAGGAGCCCTCAAGGCTCAGGTGCTTCGGTGTTCGGGCTTCACTCCCTAGGTACATGTACGAACACCTTAGGTTTAGTTGTCAATGCCACCCAAAGACAGAGAACAGCACCAATTCTCGCTACAGTCACATGGCACAACACAGCCCGACGAGATGTTCTTCCGAGGACCACCCTCTGTATCTGTCCTACGCAGCTCTTGTTTCTCTCCTTCGTTGTTTCACTCAAGGATGTCATCGCTTTGTCATCCCGGGTACTTCATTTACGAGGACGATATCAACAGTCTCCAGCTCCTTCATGCTGGCTGAGAAGAGGGAGGGCCTCCGTGAGGCCATCTGACCTGTAGACGGAGGTTTCAGTAGTCTGTTGGGCGACACTATCGGAGAGCAAACATATCAAGAGCATCGAGCGCCAGGTTTTGGCCGACTCTACGTTCTTGTATGGCTACAAATAGATACCTTCTCTCATAGCTCCAGTCACATCTAGATAGGTCGCCCAATTCGAAGCCGTGAAAACCACAAAAGTAACGGCCATCAGCGGCAGGCATTTAAGCAGCGTTGCTTTCAAAGGGCCAACCCTTATTACTGTGGCCAGTTGCTCGCCGCCCTATTGTAATCCAGAGCCAACTCGCCGCACTTGCCGCATCCGTCGGCAGCAAGTCTCAACGACAATCCCCATGATCTCGCAAACATCCCGTCCGTCATTTGGGACAGCATACTCGCACTGCTAGCAGGACCATATTCATGGCTCCGATACGGTAGAGCGCGAAGAACATGCCTGGCCCCCGCTTCTCGCTGCCTGCCTCGCCTCCTCGACCTGCAAAGTCACCGCCGAACCACCCATTGACAAAAGTCCAGAATGCCGCCAACCGTGCTCCCTCTGGTGGCCGTAAGATTCGGCCGCTGGTCTACGCCATCGGCATTGCTGGAATAGTCGGCTCCGGTGCCTTAATTGGCGCCATACTAAAGATCAGTCACCAGGAAGAAGCGCAGAAGGTTACCTCCATCCCCCACACTTTTCATCTGTGTAGCAAATGAATCTAACTAAGTCTTTTGCACAAGGGCCAGGCCCAGCAACAGGTTCAACCACAGGGAAATACCATCCAGCAGAACGAACAGCCGGACTATGCCAAATCGATACAGACCTTGGAGACCAAACGTGGCCATCTCATAGGGCAGAAGATTCAGCTGGAACGCAAAATCCAGGAGCTCCGCGACAGTCAGCGCAGGAGGGCCGAAGAGGAGGCGGAGAAGAAGGAGTTCAGAATGAACAAGTGAATATAAAGGATGTTGATGGAGATGAACATCCGCCAAACCTCTTAGACGGTTCAGCTTCGCCTTCACCGTCAGTTGAAACGCCGCGCCGAGTAGTACCTACCGTCGTTGATGATCAGACCGATATCGATAATTTGCTACGCCGCCCCGGCCTGCACGCTTGTCGAGCTTCGATGGCCAGATGGTATGTGTTCCCTCCATCGGGTGAGATATCCTCCATCGATTAACAGCGACAAGGCGACAAACAGATGTCGAGAAGCAACATGCAGTCCATACCGTGCAAAAGGGCCAGTGGACGGAGTCAGCACAAGCAACAACAACCTACAGCCAGAGAAGCGCATACCGATGCCACTTAGCGCAACGGCTGCCCAGTACTAGCATCTTCGCCTAGGCGTAACATGCTCAATCGACTGGAGCTTATCTGCCGGACTACAATGTATATCGGAAGCCAAAGAGGGTTGGGAGAGACATTTGGTACTTGGTATTTTAGGCACAGTTGGTTGGTCCACATGTCCAAATGACTCTTCGAACGCAACAAAAAGACGTGGATACAAAAAAAGCGACCGAAGATGAGAAACCACACAATTCAATTCTTGACTCCTCCATTTGTTTGTAGACCCGTTTGCGTTGCCTTTTCCGCCCTGGCCCACAACCCTCTGTCCACCTCGATTCCTCTTTCCAAGGGGCCCCAGCCGCCGCCCAATGAATCAATCAATTGCCCTATCGTGGACTCCAACATGGCCCATACATATACACACAGAGAAACAATGGGAGATGAGGCTCACTTTCCATCTTCCAAACCACGGGTGATTGACGATTTTCCAAGGAGATGCCGTATAGCTGTATCTGCGTCTGTCGCCGGAGTTAACTCCGGTCGCCACGATCTCCGTCGACACAGGTGGGGTGAAAACAGTGAAGAGAGCGAGGGGGGAAGGGAAGAGCAGGGGGAAGTGAAGCACACAGACTTGGTGAATTGCACAGTATAAATGGCCAAACCCCTCTCATTCCAAGGGGGTTTATCCCAAATATTCATCCACTCTGACCATCACTTTGAGCCTCCCACGGGGATTTTCTTTCCTTAGTTGGTGACTGCGCCGCCGGAACGTGAGAAACGCCAACACCTATCAGAAACCCGAGATCCACCACACCACACCACCCATCGTCGACCCTCATCTGAAACTTTGAAGGTACTACTTCTTGCTCGAGGGTCCGAAGTCGGCCTCCACGGCTTTCTGCACATTCCGCTGTTTCTCAACCTTGAATTCGGACACAATGGCGATGTGGTCACTTGGAAAGTGGAAGTTTGGGAATCCAGGGACACGTTTGAGGTATTCTGGGTCAATGGCGCCCAAAAGTCCCACCACTCTCAGAGAGTTGCTTGAATACCAGATGTAATCCAGGACGTCGACAAAGGAAGGCGTGTAATTGGTGAAAGGCATCTCTTCGTCAATTGCGGCGTAGGAGGACTTCAGCGTGAATTGATGTTGCATCCCGGCTCGTGAAAAGGCACCGTAGTCCCTGCCGTCAAGGTCGGCATGCTCAGCATTCATCCCTTTTTTGGTGAACAGATCATATACTGCGGAACCTGCACCGGAGTTGAAATCACCGCAGATGATCAGCGGAATCTGAGGTCCAGAAGTATAGGATAGGGAAGGGCCTGGATCAGGAACTGGCTCGTCTTCCGCATCCGAGAATCGGAAGACTTGTTTGTTTGTCGCCGGTGGAACCTTGGTATACTTTTCGGCAAGCTTTTGAAGTTCTTCCATCAGGACAGCTGCCTGGATGAGTTTCACATCTTTGAATGCGGGGTCCCAGTAGATGTGCGCATTGACAACAATGAGCCTAGCACCCGACACACGGTTTTCCAAGAGCACCACAGTAGCGATGTCATCCCTCTGCCAAACTCTGTTCAGCATGTCGGCAGACGCCTTTGCGCCAGGTCTTTCGACAGCCTTTCTTCCAAGAACCAGGTGCTGGGTGTCTAGAACCATGTACTTCTTGTCCTTCCAGAACGTGCCGCAACCATCGACAAATCTCGCATTGTCGCCCAGTGTCTCTGCTCGGCTTTTTTGAGCATAGTATCCTTTGTAGCCAGAGATGGACAGCTCCCCACGGAAGTAGTCATCGTAGCTGTTGCGATCCAGTTCTTGTAAGCACACAATGTCGGCATTGATTTCGCGAATCTCTTCTAGGATCAACGTCTTGCGGAAGCCCCAGCCTAGGACACGCTCCGGTACATAGCCGTACTGCTGTTGAGTGGCGTAGCGATCGCACAAGATATTGTAATTCAATACTTTGACGGTATCCACGTCATCTTCAGACACCTCTTCAAGCTGGTGCCACTCTCTCTCGCGGGGCGGAGGGGGTTCTGTATGTTCGTAAGCTTCTGCCTATTATGAGATAGGGAGGGTAAAACAAACCTGGCATGCTCTCACGGAGATATTCGATCAACTTCCTAGTCCCGCCTTCGGTGATTTTATCTCGTTGTCCCTGCTCCAGGGGATTGCCATAGACACCAAGCATTTCCAGTTTATACAGGAAACCTAATTCGTAGCAGAGAGTCTGGATATGGTTGTTGAAAAGAAGTAGATGTTTGAGGTTTGTAAGCATCCCTATCTCTTCTGGAAGTTCGGTGAGCTGGTTGAATGACACATCCAGATACTCCAGGTTCCTTAACCGACCGATCTCGGGTGGCAGGGTATCTAATTGGTTGTACATTAGGTCGAGACGTTTGAGGAAATGGTATGACGGATTGAAAAGTACAGGGGATAGTGCACAAAGACCTTGTCCACCCAGGTCGAGTTCATCCCAGGTTTGTTTGCTTGCGGTCGGTCCGTTTGATGTCGCAGTCCGGTTGCTATCTGTCTGGAGCTCCTCCGCGGCTGCTCCCAACGGTACGTAGTTAACCGTCTTTGAGTGTTGTGCGACAGTCTTCGCGCGCATGTGCTGTCCGGTCAACTCCTTGCTCTCTTCCCAAAAATGTCTTTGTTCTCGCCAGTACTCGCCATCGAGATCATCCGGATCATCTGAGGGTAATCCACTCCCATGGCCATTTTGCAGATGTTCGTGCGCATACGTGGGGAGGTGGGGAGTCGCGGATGGGAAGCCGCCGGACGAGATGGTATGTTGGTGGCCTAATTGCGCGCCATGATGGTGCTGCCCGTGATGCTGTGTCACATTATGGTGAACATGGTGTTGTGGCTGGTATTTTGGCATTTGAACGGTGCCATAACGCTGGTGATTCTGCGCCCCATTCATCAGACCGTGCTGAGCCTGATACCCGTTCTGCGAGTACATGTTGAAATTGTGGCCAAGCGAGGGATTCACAGGCGACCTTGAGGGAGAGGGTGTGTCGTTGCTGAAGGGTCTTCGGGCCCCAGATGGTGAAGCGGCTCTGTTCTGATTCCGATGATTGGTGTGCTGCGTGGGATAAAACTGCCCGGCTCCAGGCTGATGGAACCGGAATATACCATCTGCCATCTAACGTGGCAGGGCAAGTTGTGTGGCTTGTGCCCGAGTTCGAGTTCGCAGAGGTGACGCGATGAGCAAGGAGAGCGGGGGGGCTGGGACGGCTTTGTGGGTGAATAGGGTGCGGGTAGAGGGTAGAGAGAGTCTTCGTTTCTTCAACATGAGACCCTAGGCGGAGCTCAATGTCGAAAAAGAGATCGCGCAAGGCTCAGAACCGGGAGGTGTCAGGCGCCGCAGCTTTCTGTCGAGACGGCGTGCAGGTAAGGTCGTCGTACTGCGGTGGTTGGGTGAGTGCGGCTCAAAGCTCGAAGACGGTTGGGGCAGCCTGCAAGGGGTGGCAACTGGCGGGCAGACCAAGGGTCTGTAGTCGGTAGTCGGGTGTTGACTGGATATCAAAGTGATATACGCAAAGATATCAATGGAGATGGTTAATAAGGTGAATGAGTTTGATTTGCGCGCAGAGAGAAGGACATGGTGCAGTGGGATAGTCGTAGCAGCAGCATGGCACTTGACTGGACGAGCATCTCAGACTTTGGTTTGCACGTGACTAGTCACGTGAAGAAGTCACGTGTGTTGGTCACGTGGACAGCTCAGTGATGCGAACCAATCATGACTGATTGAAGGAATAGGGCCACCGTGGCCATTCAAGTCTAGAACCAGGACTACGCGCCCACCAACTCCCGGCATTTTCAGTGCCCCACGGCTTCTTATACTCCCCGGGCACCTAGGGGTTGTGGCCCCTGAGTCCAGCTAGCTGTCCGTGGCAGGACATCCATCCTAGGCGCTCCGGAGCGCATGCCCTGACTTTCTTCGCGGATAGCAGTTATGTTAACCCTAAGGTGAGAGCCATCTCCTGCTTCCCAGATCACTTATCTCCGCACGCTTCGCGAAGCACTGTATCACATACCGGTATTTGTTCTGACTAGCGAGCGTGTTGTAGCAGCTTGGGCGCCCTGAACCTGAATTGAGAATGATTCCACCGAACGGAGCATGTGATGCAGTGCAGGCCTGGAAGAATTCCATTCCAGGTTTTCGGCGTGGTTTGCTGTAGAGAAGCCGGGATGGAAGCGATGGCGTCAAGAGTAGCGCTGCTTCATTGAACGGTACTTTTTGAGAAAGTAGAGCGCCTCGATTTCCTTCTTGACAAACTCGGCTCTCTTGATGCCTTGCTGGATCTGCTCCTCGTCCCTCAAATGTGCCTTGGACATGAAGGCCTTGTGTAGACGAGGCCGGAAATACTCGTAGCCGAGGGGATAGTGCTTTCCCATCTCCAGCAGCTCTGACCATATAACAAACATCAATCAGCAAATGGAATGGAATCGAGGTTAGAGCATTGCCAATGCATTGGCCATGCCAGGATCATGTCAAGTCACACCTTTGTATATGTTGATGACTTGCCTTCGCAACTCGGGATTCATTTTCAAGTTCAAGTTCAAGTGCAAGCGCAAGTGCACGTGGTTTCAATGACAAGGGCACCTGGATGCATTAGGTACTAGGTACTGTATTGCAGGACGGTCCTGGCCCTGGCCCTGTCCCTCCGAGTCGTGCTCAGTTGCGGTTCTTGTTCTCGTCGTTTTATGGCCGGGCTGGTCTGACGTCGAAGGAGAAGGAGACTGCGCCAAGGTGACGCCACGGAAGAATCGATTTTCCGGGGCCGATCATCGATACATCATGTATAAATGACCACTGCCACCTCCTCGCCACGGCGAACTTACTCCGCACAGAGTACCTGTACTCTATGAGGTATGATGTGAAAGTAGTCACCTAATTGATTGTCTGTCCTGTTACTACTCGAGCTACTCCAAGGTAGAGTAGATGGTCATCTTTGCGGCATGGCATTCAAGAACAAGGCACAGACAGGTATGAGTATTGAGGATGATTGACCCTGGCACGCTAATACTAATAATGTAACTCCTTGTTGACCAGGTTCACAAAAGACGTGCCGGGCACGCCACTCAGAGCGGTGAGATTGTGCTCGAGGATATCCAGGAGCCTCCTCGAATAGTTGCTCGACACCCAACTTACATGCGGGGTGATCAACAAGTTGGGCGCCTTCCACAGCGGGTGTGACGGTGGCAGTGGCTCGGGATCGGTCACGTCCACCGCGGCGCCCCGAATCAATCCCTGTTCCAAGGCGGCAATCAGATCTCCGGTGTTCACATGCCCGCCCCGGCCGACGTTGGATATAAAGGTCTTCCGCTCCGCCAGGATGTCGAACTGCTCCTTGGCGATCAAGTTGCGCGTCGCCGCCGTCATCGGCAGACTGATGACCAATATGTCCAGGCCCTGGGCCAGGAACTCGTTCAGCGCCGACTTGGTGGTTCCATGAAACCACCGAGACGGAATCAGCCCGTCCGGGTCGCCGGTCCCTGGCTCGCAGTAGCTGTCGTCCTTCCGAGACTCAGGCGTCGGCCGTTCACGCATGGTGAAAGCTACCACGTCCATGCCCAAAGCTCTTGCCAGGTTGGCACATTGCCGGCCAATGGCGCCATAGCCTAGAATGCCCCTGATATGCCGTCAGACACTCTCGAGGACTTGGACTTTTGACTTTTGACTTTTATCTTTTGCCATCTGCGTCCTGCATTCTGCGCGGGGGTGGTCACTCACATTCGCAGGCCCGACGAATCCTGCACGCGGACTTGATACGCCGGTTCCCAGTAGCCGTCCGTCATGTATGCCCGGTACTTGTCGAATTGGTGCTGGTGAGACAGCCATGATCCAATGACCCATTCGGCAATCTGGGGTCTTTTTTCCACGCCACGGCGACCAGCCAGGCGAGTCAACCTCCACTCCGAGTACACATGATGATGGATGGACAGGAGAGGAGAGGGAGAGGCAACAAAGGTCAGGGGTGGGGTGAGGTGGCAAGGGGCAAAGGGCAGATGGCAAACTCACGGATGGGCACCGTTGGCCGTGCAAAAGGGGATATGTGCCTGCTTGTAGAGTGGGTGTTCGATGCACTGGTCTGCCCCCGACGACGTCAATTGCACGAATCGCACCTTGGGCAGCAGCGATGCCGGGGGAACCAGATAGGCACACACGATGGTGACACCGTCGAAGAGCTCGGGCGCCATGTCCTCGCTGCGCATCACCCCCGTCGGGGATTTGGTGTTCTGCCAACGGATCTTGACGCCTGGGAACTTGTTCTGAAGGCGATCGATGACCTCCTGCATCGGATCGATCGGCATCATGATCAAGACGGTATCCTGGCTCAGGCCATTCTCATGCGCCGCCTGTGTTGTCGCCATCCCGGCCCTGATGTCCAGGGTATGTACTGTGAGACAACTCCTATCCGCGTGGCAAAGGAAATGAAATTGGTGGTAAGAAGAAAAAGCTGTCTATGGGCTGTGCTGTGCTGTACTCCGTATGTATGCTACTAGATTGATACAGAAGTATATATGTAATGTGTCCGGTACAGCATGCAATTATTATTATATGTAAGCGATAACAATGCGACCCGCCCTTTGACTACTAGTTGACTGCACAGATATCTAGAGACTGGAGACTGGAGACTGCGACTGTGGACGATAGCTAAGATAGCGCTAGCCTGGTCAATTCGGCACACAGAGTCCGATGTCTCTCTCCTTTCTAGGCCCATGCCATCTGATCTGATTCTCCAGGGCGCTGATGTCCATGTTGCTCGCTGTCGGACTTGAAAGTCCGACTCCTCGACAGACTAGGTACTTTGTAGAGTCCGCTCCGACTCCTCCGCCATGCCATGCCATGCTAGTCCAGGAGTCATCAACGGCCTGCCTCTTTTGCCTGTGGCCTGTGGTGCTTGCCCTCAGCGTCTTAGGAGGAGTACGGAGGAGTACAGGGAAGTACGGAGGAGTACAAAGAAGTATGAGAAAGTACGGGGGAGTACTCTGTCTTGATGACCGCCATCGTCATCGTCGTCTTAGTAAGAATCCTTAATCCCTCAATTCAGATCGTATGCGTCCTCGTACTCCGTCCCTACGTACGTATAGTAGGTAGGTATGTCCCGTGGTCGGTACACATATCCAGGCATGAATAAACACTGAAAATAGAAGCAGCCATGGAATCCAGTTCCTTAACTGCCCGAGAGATGATAGCTACCTACGGTGAGTCACCCTCCACGGGCCCTTTACTTAGATACCTTAAGTACCCTAGGTATCTACTAATGTGTATGAATGAAACACCCAAACCCACCTCTGAGAAATGGAACTGGCATTGCTGGATTCTTAGAGTTTAATCCATCGAGAGGAAAGGGAATAGGAAAATCACCCCTTCTACACATACCACCCGATGCCCATCTCAATCTCTACCTCTACCTCCATCTCCACCTCCGCAACTGAACCTGAACCTGAAATGAGCTCCCAACTGGGACTCAGACTTCATCCTCCTCTCCACCAACGCAGTTCATTCTGGTCGATTTTCCACGCCCAAGAATTCACCTACACTGTGTCTAACAGCCTGCTCACGTCGCCCACATTTCATGTGATCAACCCACTCAACCACGACGCCAAAGGCGACAAGGTCTCTGTCAGCTTGCCTATCAAAGCCGTGTCGGGCTTGGGAGACGAAGAAATCCTCGCGCTACTTACCAAGGGATTCTTTGGTGGATGGGTTTTTGCCATTGAGGGCTGGGCGATGAGAGCTTGCGGGGGGATCTTGCCTGCAGCGTATACGGGTATGTTGACATATCCGGGAGATCAAGCTCTGTGGATGGTTCGCAGTAAAATCCCGGAAATAACCCTAACCCTACCTTATATCGGTCTCACGTCTCACGTCTCACGATGTATCCCTACTAACCAAGACAAACAACCCACTGACACTGGTCGTCAGGCTTCAAGGCCAATCAAACCGCTTCGAAAAGAATAATATGGAAAAGCTCGGATATCTCAGAAGACAGTCTCGTCCCTATCGGTGACATGCTGTTCGACTTCGCGCTGGTCTCGAAGCACATCCAAACACGGCCAGACTCAATCCCACCATCGTCCAGCTACGGCTCTAGCTACAGCTACAGCTACAGCTACGTGGACTACGGGTTTGGGTCCGACCAGAGGAATTTTGCTGGAGCTCACCGTTTTGTCGTCACTCGAAAAGAACAGGACCAGCACCAGCACCAGAACCAAGACCAGGATTCGAAAGAACAAAAAGAAGAAGAATATATCGAGTTGTCCATCGAGTGTTTCAGGTGCAATCCGCTGATCAATCAAGACTCATGGGCAGAGTACCTTCCTTGGCTTCATTATTGGTATGCACGATTCTTGTGGGCGGAGGCGGTGAGGACTGTGTTACGACACCACCCAAAGGCGACCTGAGTCTGCCTAGGTATATATGTACGATACGGACCGATGTATATTATATATAAAGCAATTTCTCCTTCTAGCAGCTACCATCGACTATCTACCAAGGTCGTACAAGACATCCTCCGCATAGTTGACCCGTGGCGTTCGTTGATTGGTCTATTGTTCGAATACTCTTCCCCCAACACTGGTCAAACATGCTGAATCTGACCTGGCCAAGTATAGGATGAATGTTGATGTTGAATGCCCAACGAAGGCCGTCTTCCAGGCCCTCAAGTATACCCCTTGTAATCCATCTGATACAGCATACAGGAGGTCAAGCGATACTACATTCCTAAGCCGAACCCGACGCGAACCTCGACGATTTCAACTTGACCTTTCATTTCGAACGACATCTCTCACAGCAGAGAACGATGTCTCAAAAACACCGTAAGTGGCCAGGGGGAAGGGCTCTGGATTGTTTTCGTCTGGCTTACTCTCCTAGCCTATCGTAGCCTCCATGTTCCCAACGATGCGCCCTTCAAATTGAAGCCATCTCCGGGAAAAGGGTGGGGTGCATTCGCCACGAGACGAATTGAGCAAGGGGCCATGATTTTGAAAGAGAAGCCACTCTTCGTGCTCCGAAAGCCGCATCAAGAGATCACGGAAGCTGATATACGAGCAGCCTTTGACCGGCTGGGGCCGAGTGAGAAACGACAGTTCCTGCTACTCCGCGACAACGGCTCGAGCCCTTTCTCGAACATGGAACGACTCTGCGCCGAGAACTCGTTTACATTGTCAACCAACTCTCCAGGACATGGTCTGTTCCTCCTTCACTCGCGCTTCAACCATTCATGCGTACCCAACTCGAAGGTCCCGACCACGGGTGACGAGGTTATCGTGAGCTATGCGACCAGGGACATCGATGCCGACGAGGAGATCACTTTCTGTTATAACACGGACTTCGAATGTAGGACCAGACATGAACGCCATCAAGCACTGCGCTTTACATGTGACTGCAAAGCCTGTCTGACCGGTACCCCCTTCCAGCAAGTCAGTGATATGCGACGAAGACTCCTTCGAGGCTTACAGTACCTTACGGTCGGCGTGGATTTGGATGGACGCCGACAAGATTCTACGCTAATCATCGACTCCAAGCTGAAAAAGGCAGCCCAAGATTCCAGTATCCCTCTCTCGTCTAGGTTGTTCTATTATCTCCTGACCATGTGTCTACTGGCAGAGGAGGGGTTACTGGACGATTTCATGGTCGAAAGATACAAACCTGCCATTGAAACAGCAGTTGCCTTGTTTCGGACAGAAAGCAACGTTGTGATCGTCCGGCACGTCATGGCTCAGAAAAGCTGGCTAGGGAAGTGTGGCATGGCAACGAGACTCTAAGGGCGGGAAGACGACAGCGATTCTGCCATTGCCGCTTGTATGAGGCGAGATCAGCAATTGTGAACGAAATTGACAATTGAATCTCAATCTCTATTCAAACTGGCCGAACCTGACGAGTTTTGGAACGTCCGAAAACTAGCAAACGCCCCGTGTTGGATAACGGCCTGCAGTTCAAGTCGGTTATTGAGGGCGATCGGTTCATATGCGAGGTCGTGTACTGTTCAACCTGACACCCCTATTCCTCGAAGCTTTGCAGAGAATCGTACTGTATCTGCTCCTATGCTATCGATCTGGTCTCCAGAATTCATATGAAACGCAGAAAATGCCTTTAGGCTGGTCTGTCCTGACTCGGGCTGCCGAACGAGACACTTCCGAGTCTCTGTCTGCTACTCTGTGATCTTTTGTTTGTGGAAGATACCTAACCGGCACCGGTCAGTCACGCCAACATAGGAGACAGGAGGGATTCCTTGGGCTGTCGAACTCGCCGTTGTCGGACGTACCAGGCACTTCGGGCATCCACGAATCCCGCTTACTGCAGAAGAACTCTCCTTTGGGTGGAAGATCCGTGGGTTGGTCAAGGGTGCCGTAGAAGATGTAGATGTTATCTCCCGCGTTTGCCTGGCTCATCCACGTGTTAGCTAGTAGTCCGTTACTTGCCAGTCTCACCATGTCACTTTCTTCAATCCGAACTGGACGCCAGTCCCGAGGACAGAAAAGAGAAATCAGAACTGACCCCATACTCCAAAAGCCCACTGCCGCACTCGGAGCAGAACTCGCGATGCAGGAGCACTCCGGCACCATTGTCGGCCTCATGAACCTTGACCACGTCCTGGCCCGACATAATCTTGAAGCTTGACTTTGGTAATTTGGTGGTGATGCCAAATGGGCCGCCGGTGAATTTCTATAGGTTAGAGACAGGTAAGACACGTCCATCAGTGATGGTATCGGTGGCCACGCACCTTGCAATTCCTGCAATGACATAGACTCGTCCGGGCCTGGTCCTTGTCGTCCAGGTCGACCTGGTACCGAATCTTGCCGCAATAACACCCACCGGGGAACTTCATCGCTGCTGCTGCTGAAATGGAGACTGTCTAGGCAAGGTACAGTGACTAGGTACCTTGGGGATATGAGTGCGAATGTGAGTGTTGTTGCCCTGCTCTGCCCTGGTGTGTTCTGTGTCTGCATTCTGTATATTGCATATTGCATATTGCATATTGTATCCTCGCAGTCGCAGTCGACGACGTCATTTCCCCTCACTGCAACAATTGAATATTCAGCTTCAATTCGGCGGTCGGAGTGTTCATCCGATTGGTGGCCTTCCACTAATTGGCCAGTGCAAAACTCTCCATCTTTCGGTCGTAGTACTAGAGAGTACTCCGTACACCTTGTAGGTCGAAGCCGCGGCCCTCTTTATCTTTGGGGCCGAACCAAACCACATATCAACAAGATGTATGCATCCTGTGTACTATGTCTGTAGGAAGTCCTGCAACCCCAACCCCCGGTCCAGCTGCCCTTCCCCCCTACTTGCCCTGGGTAGCCCGGGATGGATCAGATGTACACGGTAATGGAAGACAGGAATGGAAGACAGGAATGGAAGACAGGAATGGAAGACAGGAATGGAAGACAGGAATGGAAGACAGGAATGGAAGA